TTAATGTGGAAGGGCATGCTTTTGTTTTGAAATAAAGTGTGCACTACCTCAAATAGACTGAAAGAACTGAATGAAAAATAATCAGAAAGTATAAAGAGGACCCACAAGCTCTTACCTCGTTTTATATTCACAATAAATGTAAGACATCAATGTAAAGAACTACTTCCGCCCTCAACAATGGGCTTACACAGTGTGACTGTGTGCTTAATTCAAGAACAATGTTATTAATATGTTTTCATTTAGATGAAATTTGTCCTTGAGTGCTGGAAGTGCTGCTAACAGACTTTTCTGTATTGTACTGATAACACAGGACGATGTATGTGTACAGTTCTTTTAGATGTATGAACTGCACACCTTTCCAGCACTCCAAAAAACCCACCATTTTAACACCATTTATACATGCCATGTTTTGGCTTAAATCTTTCAGCCTGTTTCACTGTGTGTTGGTTCAAAATTTCATCAACATCATTATCTCACAGTGTCAGATAGAGAAATGCAGAACGTGGTTGACACCTTCCAAGTTAGCCCATCTGTCAAGAGGATGCACCAAGAGGACAGAAGCCTTTACACCTACTCAGAGCTTATGATTTGAGCATATAAAGGAGCTATCACAGATGGTGTGAACACCATTACATTCATTCATATTACAGTCATACTAATTCGAGTTTGAAACAAGTATAGTTGTTGCAGCCCCTGCAGGGCACCATAAATGTTGCATGTGGTAGTTTAAAATTGCTCCATATTGATGACAATGAACTCCAGTGGTTTTAACAACAACTAGACCTGCAGCAACAATCAGAAAAGCCAGTCCTGACAGGTATCTGAAAGTATTGGAGTATCTGCATGAAACATTGTCCAGTCAGAGGGGCACAGAGGTGTCTCAGTATACTGCTGAAACGAATGAAGACTTCATTTTAGCCCTTTGTTTAACAAAGTAATGCAGTAGGTCATTTCAAAGTTGTAGATGTGCACCTTACCTCATCTGAGACTTTCTATCAGCCGAGATCTACAAGCAGACGTGTTGGATCCACATTTCAAACATGTTCATGCACAGACAGTCCATTTAAATCCACACTCAAAGCCCACAGGCTGTTTTTATCTCCCCAGTCATCAGAGCTGAATCATTGTGCCTCCTAACTTCATGTTCAGATGGCCCTCTATCACTCTGCAGCCCTTTGTTTCTCTGAGCCATAAAGCCACTCAGCCACTTGTACTCTACATGCACTGCCCCCTATGTCTGTGTTGTTTGTCTAAACGGCCACTAGACTTCCTTCAATTCTTTCCCAACTTAGTTTTCCTGCCTGTGTTGCTTGGTTTCCCTGGACAGGGCTAAAAATAGGGACTACACAAGGTAAGGCAGAAAAGAGCAGAGCAGGAAATGGATCACAATATGCTTGTGCGCACGTTGGTGTTTGTTTTTTTGTGTGTCTTCCTGTCTCAAATCCCGACAACAGTCATGACAGCTCTTTCCAGTTAATGTCCAGGAGAACTTCTCAGTATATAAAAAATTGGAGCATGCTGATGATTAATTTCACCTTTCATATTCCTAACAATTAGGATTGTGTGTGTGTGTGTGCGTGTGTGCGTGCGTGCGTGCGTGTGTGTGCCTAAATCGTTGGTCCACGCTGATGTGAAAGGGTCAGCCCCTCCCTTATTCTACTCTAATGACGTTGTACACATTGTTTTGTCTCTCTGTGCTTCTAAAAATGTCTGCCTAAACAAAAACACTGACTGCACATCCTGCTGCCTGGCTGGACACAAAGAATTGAGCTCTAGCTTTTGTCTCTCCCATTTTCTCTGTGGGGCTGCTCGCATTGAGGCTACAATGAGGACAAGGGCTTTACTGAGGGGCTGGAAGGGGGACTGAGGTCCATGAACATACAACAGAAATAGGACTGAGCCTCATTCTGAAAGATCAAACCCACTCCCATCATATCTTCAGCCACATGAGTGAAACACTTTACAGCATTTAGAGCATCACAGAGGCGAGGGAGAACTTCCTTTAGCAGGCAAAAACCTTGAGCAGAACCAGACTAATGTTTGACAGTCACCTGCTGAGACTGAGCTGAGTTTAGAGAGGGAGATGAAAAAAGAGAGATGGACAGAGAAGAGACTGTTAAAAGGAGATGGAGAAAGAGAGAGATGGACGGAGGATGATGATGCATGTAGTTTGAAGCAGAGGAACCTAAGGCACAATAAAGCACAAGGACGTTGAAGTCTCATGTGGTAGTGCTCTTAGCTCCTTCACCATTTTGATTACAACCACAACAAAAACAGAATAAGAATGAGAAGAAACAGAACTATTTTGCTTGCATTTTTAAGGAATTGGATTTTATGACTGTAATAAAACATAATCATAAATTAGCTCTGTTTGTGAAAACACACTGAGTATAAAACTTGTTATAATAAAATAATGCCATCATTTACCTCAGATCTTTAGCTGGTGTTGGGAAGTACATTAAAATGTACATCACAAACCAAAACTTTGAAATTGCATGCTGGTAAAGCTACTCTTGCAAGTTCAAATCTCTTGGTCTCTCTGATCTGACAGTTCTTTCTTCAGTAGCAAATGCAGCTGTGTTGATTATTATGTGTTTAAATGTGTTTTATTTGGTTATTTGGTTATTTTATTTGATTAATATCCCTGCCTGCTTTGTGTTTGAAAAATAGGACAATTTGCTAACGGCAAACCGGTTCATGTCTGTATTGCATTGGACATATCGTACACATTAGCACAGTTACTCTGGGTAGACTTATCCGGTTGATAACCACCTTATGTGATTGTTTAGCATGATCTTCTGTGCATACGTCATATTGAGATGCCAGCTGTATTGTTGTAATAATGCAGAAATCCTGTAGGAGGGCAACAGAAGTTACGCACCATGGCTTTAAACTTGCCTATAAGTGTAGGCCTCAGCTGCTAAACATGACAAAATACTGTATATATTTAGCTACATACAAAGTTTATTAACCCTTTATGGTGTAGTGTGACACAACTGAAACGAAGGTTGATATACTAAACAATCAGGTTATGAGGCTGTACATAATAAAGGTGCAGTGCGTAGTATTTAGCAGCACTCATCGGAACATGATAGAAATAAAATATATTCTTTTGTAACGCTGCAATGCAAGCACTGAACAGACAAACAAGTAACATATTTTTGTATCAAGCAAGCAGCAGTGTTAAATATGCAAGTTGAAAGACAACAAATTCAAAGTAAAGAGTTTTTGTTGTTGATGGTTGAATTTATGCTGATGGCTTTATTTGATGGTGACAAATTGACAAACAGAGCATCATACTTAGCATACATACCAGCAGCTTCTTGACCTCAAAAGGCCACCATACAGTATCTTTACTGACTGAAGGTATCTCTAAATATTCCTATTTCTTGCACTGTACTGTTAATGTTTAATTGTCTAAAATAAATTTCATGTTACTGAAGCAGTATATAGAGCTGCATTGTCATCCCCTGCTCATATTTGAACTCTCTGTTTCTGTTGTTGTCCCCGATTAAAGATATCAGGGTCACCAATTAAAGACAGGACGTTTCTGGCTGGAAGTGAAATAGACTGAAATTGATGCAGCTGCTTCTTAATTATCCACACAAGTCAACAAGATTATCTGAGACAAGACAGGCAATTTTCATATTCTGATTTTTAATGCCTGAAATTTCTGTGAGGGGATTTGAGGTTGGAAAATACTACCTTGACATGTACAGAACAAGATCACCTCTGACCCCATAAGGTGGGCACAATGATCAGCACAAAAACCAAAAGTTAGTTACAGCAGCTTTAAGCCTTCTTAACAAACCACTCTTTAACCTCAGCTCTGTAATTGTGAAGTGGACATGCAGTGTAAAATTAGGCTCTACTCTAATCCCAAATCATTGACATTTTGTCTGCTGAAATGTCCAAAGGAGGGTGTTCGAACTGAGTCACCATCACGTCTCTTTGTGGTCACATTTGAAGTATTAAAATAACTCTTTTAAAGTGAAGTTAATACATTTGTTGGATTACAGCAGAGACAGGCTGCTAAATGCTGGGAAGTAAAAACTTGACTGTGATATGAACATGTGTACACTATCAGCTGTACCTGAGGATTAGGATGGTTATGTGGACTGATGTGAAAATTCAGACACCTTTAGTACACATACTGTAAATCAGAGCTGAGTTTAACATGTCCAAGCTCAAAAAGAGTTTAAGAAGGACTCACCTTGCTGTGATCCAGACAAACATTACTGCCAGCTGACCCCTGCCACACAGATTATAGTCCCATGTTATCAGTTCTCATTAGGAAAGCCACTGGTTCTCAAATCCATAGTGGAAATTCAGCAAGTCAACTCTATCACAACACTCCCACAAACCCCCGTCCTCTTTTCACTCACAGAGTCTATAAATAGAGTCTAGAGTTTACTGGAAACAAAGGTTGGTGTGCAGGACAGCTCTGCAAATATCACTGGGCGACCTTGATACAGATAGAGGCAGAAGGGAGGAGTAGACCGAGAGCAAAAGAGAGAGAGAAAGAGAGAGAGCCAGGTGGAGGAGAAATGTGTGACTATAGCTGATCCAGCTTAATCTCCTTTGTCAATATCTACAGTTCCCATATGCTTATACAGTAGGGGAGAGTGGGGTAAGTTGAGCCAAGGGGTAAGTTGAGCCACCCCCTGTTGCTTGGAAATGGTAAAAAAAAAATGATCATGTGACCAAATACTTAACCCGTTAATGACCAAAATGGGCATCAATTCATGGAGTCTGTGAAAGTCAGAAACATTTATTTCCAAAAAAAAATTTTCACTCTTGAAAGTAAATTTAGTCTGTCATGTTTTATTAGAATTGTGTTCAGACCAAAAAAGATCATTTTAAATTTGTTTTATACATCAGTTGTGGTATCTATGAGCTACAACATGAGGTCAAAAACCTAGCATAAAAGTCCACCATTTTAGCTTCGAGGACAACTAGAGTCATAATAGTGGTTCTGGGGTAAGTTGGCCATTGCGCCAGGGGTAAGCACAAGATGCACAATTTTGAAGTACACAGACAAAGAGACTTTTCAGCACTTTTTATGTTAAAGTAAATATACTGCTGCAATTGAAGGACTGCAGACCTCCAGCAATGGCTGTGTTAGATAAGTTCAATAGAACTATGAACCAAAAATGAAAAAAATCACAATTGCAACACTTTTTTCCTTATGAAGATCATTCAGCTGCAGATCTTTGACCCTTCTCGACCACCATAGTCATGATTCCTCTATATTCTGTACTCTGAACAAAAATAAGAAACAAACAGACAAAACATGGATTTTATAGACAATTCTGTGTTTCTATCCCCATAAAGGCATCACATAGTGGATGATGTTTTATCTTAACTCAAGTAAATGACTGTTTGTTTCATTTAGTGTGTTTCTCATACAGTGCACAATATATGGGCTTTGATTAGGTACCTGTCTGTGTATATGCGAGTCTGTGTGTGCGGATGTGCTTGTATGCCTGTTCTTTCAAAGACACTCACGGAGAAAGTGTACAAAGCTGTGCTTGGAGAAACTCTAGATGGCTCACATGTGTTTGAGACAGTCTTTTAGCCCACAGTGTCAGGTCAAAGTTTTTCAGCTCAGACTCTATGATCCTGTTTATAAAAATAAACTGAACATGGTTCAGACTGACCCATCAGGGACTCCTTTAAATGTGGAGCTAGGAAAGAAAACCAGTTCTTTTGTCTAAGTTGATTGAAGTGAAGGTAAGTTATTCAGCAGCTTTCCAAGTTCAACAGCTGGGTCAAAGGCCAGAGGTCCAACGGTTTAGTCTAATGTCTGAACACTGTTGACAGCACATAGTGTTGAAACCACAGACAGTAGAAAACAGGGCCTGAGCTTCTTTGAAGCTGTTGTTCCCAAACTTCAGTGCTCCCCAGTATGTCAGCCCGAGACTGCGCTGCGCTTCACTGTGCTGACTGGTGGGTCCACCATTCTGGTGTCAAAGGACTGTGAAAACTCTCTGAAACTGGGGGGATTACTTTATTTCTATCTGCCAGGTGGTGAGCAGTGATATTTTTGGGAACTGCTTGACCTTGACTGGTACTGATTGAAATGCCGTAATTCCTCAAATATAGGTGCCTCTTTTATTTGCTGTAACTGCCTAAGGTCTTGGTCCTTTCTGTGGAGCAGGCTTGTATCAGAGATTGGTCTTGGTTCTGGTGTCCCGATTGTCTGCTCAGTGCAGCTTTGTTTGACTATGTCCTCCAGTTTTGTAGAATAACATCACTGTGTTAGTTTACTGAGGTCCAGAGTGCATGGATTGGCCAGGTTATGATGAGAGAGCTCTCTGCAGGATCATAGGTCTACGAAGCTACTTCAGGCAGCCTGATGCTCTGGTCTACTCTATTATCATGAAGATATCTCAGTATAGTTTGAGTTTGAACTTTACCCCCACAGTTCAAATGAAGGTTTGAACTCTTCCTGATAAAAAGTGACAGCCCTTGTGGACAGACCACCTGAAAATGAATCTTTAATTCAGGGTTTATATTTGAAAGACAAGAACATGGATTAATTCTGTTTGAGGAAGCGATAAAGCTTGTGGTTGCTTGAAAAACTTTTTGTGTCATATAGGAGACCAGTATCAAGCTCCACTGATATATCTGAAACAAAATCTTCAACAACTTGGCATATCTTAAAAAGTTTTAAAGTTTTTCAGATCATACAAAACACAGCAAGTTACAGTGTTGACGATCAAACTGGCAGATATCAATACCTAATATTTACTTTCAAAACCTTGACAGTACTTCATAGCAGTTTGAAAAGGTGTCTTTACAAAAGCTCCACATTGAAAAACACTGGTGTGAAAAACTATCAGAAAAAGATAAAACTGAAGATCTGTAAAAGCAGGTTTAAAATCAGGACGTCAAACATGAATCTGGACTGTTTTGCTTCAAAGGCAAGTATTTGGCAAACCAACATTGTGGTACTTCAAATCATTTAAAGGGACCCCCCTGATAGAATTAGATTGACCCCCCATCTAAACCTTTCTCCTTGGTTTCCTCTGAAGATCATTTTTGGGGATTTTGTGGTTCTGGTGGACACGTGGACAAATCCAGACAGTTCATCTTCAAGTGTTGAGAACTTGACTACATAGAAATCACAGATGTCCTCACAAGTATAGTAATACAAGCTGATGTGTGTGGTTTCCATGTCTTTTGTGGCCCCTAGTGTCCGTCCTGGCTCACTGTGTTTGTGTCCATGTTGGGTTTGTTGCTGCCTCCACACAGTAGTTGTCAGGTGGAGTGACGCCTGGCAGACACACACATTGTGTTGTTGCACTTTGCATTTTACACAACAACATCAGGGTGTTAAGTTCTGAACGCTCATCATGTCTGCGGATGGAGAAAAATATCATCACAGTTTCATTTATGAAGGTTTGTTTTTGTGGGTTTACGTATGAATGTGCTTTTTTATCCATGTATGCCATGCGGCACAGGTCCAGAGTGTATCCAGTGAAGCAGTAGCAGGTGTAACCCTACTGAACCCGGACACAGCGACTGTTCTCACAGCCGTTCAGTATCCCACACTCCTCTGCTCACAAGCCTTCAAATACTGTGACACAAAGAGACAGCCCAGTGTTTCACTTTGAAACCATCAGGTGACTTTCACGGATGTCGTACTCACAAAGTGTCCAAGTCTATCACAGACTGTGGATGTGAGAGTTTACACATTGTGAGGTGTCCAAATCTTTTGGGTGTCTAATTTGACATTCCTGCTTATTTTCGAAAAAATTTCCTGAAACACTGTCCCGCAGTGGTTTCCAAAGTTCTGGTGATGTCTCATTGAGTAGCTGAATAAGAAGACTCCTATCTGGACTCTGACTGCCCTGGGATGTCCTGTACTGTGCCTAATGGAACTATATTGTCCTGTTTTGAACCCTGATATGTTTTGAGAAATACATTTCCTGTCTCTGCTGATTTTGTCTTGACCCTCTGTGAACCTTATTCATTCTCAGCTTCACTGACTCGGTTCAATAAAAGAATGGGCTTTGTAATTACTATCAGATGCTAATATTTTAATTTTAGGCTGGCAGTTTGTAATTTCTTTCTTTTTTTCTAATACCACTGTGGTTCTTTTTTATGTTATCATCTCTTTAACTGGAGGATTCAGCCCAGTGAAACCAGCTGATCTGTTGATTTTCACCCTCATGGAGGTCTATGGGCTAAAATGTAGGTCTCACTGCCGCTAGATGGCAGCATTGCATTGATGCAATGCTGGTAAATGAGCACTGAAGTAAATTTTGAGGAGTGAAAGAAGAAAACTGCAGCTAATGAAATACATTTTATTTCATCGTCAGCACATGCTCACTGTGTTGCTGTCTATGAATTGTAGCTCCTGTACTCTCTGTAAAATTGCATAACTACTATACTTTGCACAACATGCTGCTTGAAGTCAACAGGACTTGGTGTTTATAGGGCCCCAGCCAAAGCTGCACCATTTTACTGGGTCCCCACGTGAACAAGAAAAAATGGCTCTCTAGAACACCCTACAGATTATCATGCTTGAGTAGTTTCTCATAGGACTCGCCGTACACTGGCTCTAGCGCCTCCAGACTTTAGTTGTTTGTTAACAGTCCACACTTGACAGTTATTGATGGGATGCAGCTGAGATTTGTTTAGGATAGGCCCCAGGACAAAAGAAGTCATGGGGCCTATTCTACGAAGCAAGTTCGCCCTAGCGAGGTAGCCTAGGAGCTACCAAGTTTAACTTAGCACGGTAGCCAGCGGTCTTGCTAAACGGTCTTACGACGCTGGTTATCAACCTCGTAAGTAGATCCAGCTTTGCTATGAACACGTGCACACATGTAAGGCGGAGCCCGCCGCATCTGACCAGTCGGGAACATGGACCAGTCTGGAGCGTCAGAGCCAGAGCAGTGGATTAAACAATAAAACAAATAATAAACAATAAAAAGTTTAATCCACTGCTCTGGTCAGAGCAGGCCGGAGAGCGAAGGACTCCGTACTTTACAAAGGAGGAGCAGGAGAAAGTATGAAGACTTCAAATCTATCATAAACCTCAAAAGCAACACCGTTGCCGTTGCAAAAGCACGAAAGGAATGCTGGCAGAAGAAAAGGGTAGTGCGCAAAAAATCTTTGATGACATTATCACCCTGAAATAGCCCTATTCAAACATGCGCTTTTTAACATGCACCAGACAGGTCTAATTCAATTATAAGATGAATTCATTCATTTGTTCATTTCTATTGTGTTTACATTTTTTGTGTGATATGTAGGCCATATGAGCCTTTCATAAAGGTGGTCATCCGGAAAAGTAAGTGGGTCCTTGCGGTCCCTGAAGACTCTAGCGCGCAGGAGTGCTCCTCGGACAATGCGTGCACCGAACGGACACGCCATTTTTCGAGAGAGCTCATTGGACAGTGGGCGGGGTTTTTTTTAGCCTGGCTGGGTCAGAGCAGAGCACTGCTCTGGGTTGGGCCATCCAGTTGCGAGAATCACTTGCCGTTCGCAACTGGATGGCCCAGCCAGGCTAGGGGTTTTTATACTCGGTGGGTTCAATCTGGAACCTAACCTGCCCCGGAGCAGGTTAGCCATTTAGCGTACGTTGCCATAGAGACTCGCCTCGCTAAGAAGTGAACCCGCGTCGTAGAACAGGAAACCCCGAATTTACCCTTGAAGTTTCCTCGCTAAGCAGTAATCCTACTTTGTAGAATAGTCTTGTCAATTTGTCTTGTTATAGTCTCCCTCAGCTGTGGAGGAGACCGTGGGCTCTATTTTTGTGCCTCGCTGGCGACGCGGCGCATGCGCGGCGTAAGTGAGGTCCGCCGCGCCGACAAGGCGTTCCCAAGCACAATTTGGTATTTTGGTGAGCGGTGCGGCCCGGCGTAAGTATCCCCCCTCCCTAACTCAGCTCCTCCCAGCGGCGTAAGTCGTAGCGAGGGAAGAGAGAGGGCGGGGAGTGGATTTAACACAGCCGAGACATGTATTGACCAATAACATAAGCTCCTCGTCTTGCCTTTAAATCCGCCACCGGCGAGGCATATTAATATTTTCATGAAGTAGTCAAGGAGATCAAGAGATGTCCGAAGATAGTTATGCCACACGATGGCGACAAAGGGCAGCTCCTCAACAAGCGTCCCTGTAAGCGCTGCATTGGGCGTCCTCCACACTCTCTCATATGAGCACAGATGGATTTGGTGTGTGTAAGTTTGGACCCACTGGTAAGAAAAACACCCTTTTTCACAAATAAAGACACTCACATAAAGTTGCTCATATTCAAACCTCACGTGACAAAGGTGGGTTGTGCGCACAGATCACAACATAAACTCCAATAATGGCATTAAAATCGGAACCATCTGTGCGTAAATGACGCATCGCGCTCCGTGGCCTGGCTCTTTCTTTCATAGATGTTGGCATATAAAATTAATTTGGCTCACAAAACTGAATATTATGATATCCGTATGTCGGCTTTAAGTAAATAACGCATCTGATCACTGAAACAAATCATCTGTTCAGCCGCTGCTGCAGCAGGACAGAGTGATGACACGGAGACGTGTCCAGGTCGAGCTGTGTGAGAAATAAGAGGAAGAGGAAGAAAGAAATGGAGGGAGATGAATTACATATCTAGTTAACTTCATCATGTGTGTCTATTTACTAGATATTTAATTTAATTTAATGCGGTTTCAGCTGTGTTGATTCGGTCAGGTTGTGTGTCCAAACGCGTGCCAAACGCGCTCATCAGATCAGATATAGATCAGAATATATCGATATTGATCTAAATGTATGTGCCGACTCAGATTATTAGTTGTTGGTGATTATTTATTGCACTGAAATGTGCCTGACACTGTGGAAACCTGCCGGTGAGGCATCGGTGACGTATGCCAATACGCCGCCGGTCTACCAAAATACCACTAGACCAGCTGCATTCCGCCTGTGCTGAAAGCTGACCAGGTTTGAATCGGTGAGCTTTCAGCGCACTTTACACGCCGGTGGCGAGCACGAAAATGTCACTGCGCCCGCTGATTCTGTCGACACCTCCCCCTGCCACGCCACCACGCCCAGCTTGGCGGATCTCGGCTCGCCTCCGTGCGCCTCGGTCCACAAAAATACCAAACTGGCTATACGCCGGGCTGCGCCAGATGAAAATACAACTGCACGGGGCTTGCCGCCCTCCGCCGCCTCACGGGCGTACACGAAAATAGAGCCCCCTGTATTGGAGGCTGGCTGATAAGCCAGGGAGGGAAAAAATCCAAAGTTACATGGCCCTGTGTGAAAAAGTGATTGCCCTCTCTGTTTTAACAGAGGGGGCACTTAACTGTGTTTTATCACACCTGAGTTCAATTTCTCCAGCCACACTGAGGCCTGATTACTACCACACCTGTTCTCAATCAAGAAATCACTTAAATAGGACCTGCCTGACAAAATGAAGTAAACCAAAAGATCCTTCAAAGCTAAACATCATGATCTAAAGAAATTCAGGAACAAATGAGAAATAAAGTATTTAAGATCTATCAGTCTGGGAAAAGTTATAAAGCTATTTCTAAAGCTTTGGGACTCCAGTGAACCACAGTGAGAGACATTATCCACAAATGGTGAAAAAATGCATCAGTTGTGAACCTTCCCAGGAATTGCCGGCCAACCAAAATTACCCCAAGAGCGTAGCAGTGACTTATCCAAGAGGTCACAAAAGACCCCACAACAACATCCAAAGAACTGCAGGCCTCACTTGCCTCATCTAAGGTCAGTGTTCATGACTCCACCATAAGAAAGACACTGGGCAAAAACAGATCTGCATGGCAGAGTTCCAAGACGAAAACCACTGCTGAACATAAAGAACAGTAAGGCTCATCTCAATTTTGCCAGAAAACATCTTGATTACGCCAAGACCTATGGGAAAATACTCTGTGGTCTGACGAAACAAAAGTTGAACTTTTTGGAAGGTGTGTGTCCCATTACATCTGACGTAACGCTGCATTTCAGAAAAAAAATCATACCAACAGTAAAATATGGTGGTGGTAGTAGTGTGATAGTCTGGGGCTGGTTTGCTGCTTCAGGACCTGGAAGACTTGCTGTGTTAAATGGAACCATGAATTCTGCTGTCTATCAAAAAATCCGGGCCTCTGTTCATGACCTCAAGCTGGAACAAACTTGGGTTCAATGGTCCAAAACACAGCAGCAAGACCACCTCTGAATGGCTGAAGAAAAACAAAATGCAGACTTTGGAGTGGCCGAGTCAAAGTTCGCCTGAAAAAGGCGGTTCATGCTCGAGACCCTCCAATTTGGCTGAATTACAACAATTCTGCAAAGATTAGTGGGCCAAAATTCCTCCACAGCGCTGTAAGAGACTCATTGCAAGTTATCCCAAATGCTTGATTGCAGTTGTTGCTGCTGAGGGTGGCCCAACCAGGTATTAGGTTTAGGGGACAATCATTTTTATCCACACAGGGCCATGTAGGTTTGGATTTTTTTCTCCCTTAATAATAAAACCTTTATTTAAAATTTAGTGTTCACTTGTGTTGTCTTTGACTAATATTTACATTTGTGTGGCAAACATGCAAACAAATCAGAAATCAGGAAGGGGGCAAACACTTTTTTTGCTCCACTGTATATGTAGGCCTATCATATCACATAGTCATTTGAAGTATGATTAGAGTAGTCCAAATATTTTCAGAGCGCTTACTTCCAGGAAGAGTGAAATAAAGCTGTGAAGGGTAGATACACTCATGTAATAAAGACCACACTAACTGCAACCAAGACATGACTAAGACATTTGGTGATCAAGGCAGGTTTATTTGTATAACACCATTCATACACAAGGCAATTCAAAGTGAATCAAGACCAAAGTATGTTGGGTAATGTAATCGAGTAGTTCAAAAATTGTTTCATAGTCTCCACCATCAGGAGGGTCTATTATTCTGAAAAAGTCATTGGTCACTGATAGAATGTAATGTCTTTGAGTGAAAAAAAATACAGTTTGAAATGGATTGACCAAACTATGACCACTGCTCACTAACTCACAAAATAAAGAAAGAGACAAGATTATTGGCTACATCCAACCCTGGAAAGAAGATGAGAGCTTGGTGAGTTATTATACTGTCCCTGAAAGAGTCCCACTGTTTGATTTAGGAGCTGAAACTGTTGGACTAGGTTTAAGGCCCTGCGTCAAATCTGAAGGGCAAAGGACCTATTTCAGGGATCAGCTGTCAGACTGAGGTAAGAGGATCCACTGCCGTAAATAATTTGCCTCATAATGCAATCTCAGCTTTTACATTTTTTGGGGCTCCTGTTTACTTTTAACAATCTTTTTGGGCTCCTGATATTTATAACAGTCTTTTTAGGGTCATGATATTTATAACACTGTGGGAGTGAGATGGCAAAAAGTATACAATAAAAGAAGATCAATATCATTCAGTTTGATTCAGACAGCTGGCTGCTCACTGTGAACCAAAACTGCATCTTTATCTCCACTTTATTCACATAATATAAGTTCACCAAGACTTTATTTTTGTAACAATATGGCCTTAGTAACTGGTCATTTTATGATTGTTTTCACATGATTTTACTACGACCTAGTTCTGGTAAGAAAATGATTTCAATATGAATCTACTCACGTAAGAAAATGACCAAAAAAATCAAAATCTTCAAAAAAAAAATTCAGAATGTGGCCTGCCATCAGCAAAAAAAAAACAAAATAATAAAGAAACATGCAACTTTAAACCACAATGATAAGCCTTACAGTAGTGAAGTCCATCTGTAATGCTAGTATTCGCCACTAGAACATTACAGAAATTGCTGTATACTCTCTAGAAAATGTGGAATAATATGCTACAACAGGAGTTTAGAACTTGACTTCAAAAGGTATTTGCAGGAACTTGGAACTTTTTAAAATTCTATAACTTTTCACCACAAAGGAAGTTTTGAAGGACCTGACTTTTAAAACTCTCTCAACTTTTTTGACATATAGCAGACACATTTCGTCCAGTACCATTCCTAAGGTCCTGGATAAAAGCTGGACTTGGTTTCTAAAGTGTCAGAACGGCAATAAAGCCTGTTTGGTTTAAGGTCAGTGAAATATTTTAATCTATTATGCTGCCTTGGTAAATCGCAGTTCACCTTCTGTACTTAAGACTGAAATGTGTTCAGCAGTTTGGTCCTATTGTGGACCTGGCACTAAGTGTTTGGTGTGCAGTGAAAGTGTCATTTTTCACCTGACACACTCATCAGTTCCACACCCAATGTAAATAGCAGGTGAACTTGCATCCATGTTAGCCCCCATGGATGTGGTGGTCGTGTGCGAAGCCGCATTACTACCTGCAGAAAGCACTGTGTGTCTGCGCCTCAGACCAACAAAACCTGGTCTAAAGGTTAAGAAGTACTTTGCTGATATTCAGGGGACTTTCTTATTCATGAATCGTGAGAGGGTAAAAAGGGGCTTAAAGAGCTGACAGCCTGCTTTTCTTTGTCCTATACGCCCAGAGAGGCACAGCAGAGTTCTCACTCATAATAAAATGTCTGTGTTTTTGCTGAAATTTTGTGAAATTTAGTTCTTTCTTTGGTCAGAAGGCTTGGAGATGGGAGGTTTCCTTGTCTCGATATATAACAATACTGCTCACTGCTTTCTCCTCACTGCAGCCTACCACTACCAAGCTGTCTAACCCAAGCAGCATTTCCTTCATGCAGAGCAGGATTTATTTCAGTGCTAGCAATACTGTTCAGCGCCGAGCTAGCACAGCAAGCGGAGATTAGCTGTAGCAGTAGCTCACACTCCTCATTGATCATTTGCTAACAAAAGCTGACAGATGGATTTCTCTAAAGTGGATCTAAGGTTGAGTCATTCCTAATAAGATTAATTCAGTCTCAGTTGTTTAAGGGTTAATGAAAATGTTTTATTGAGGTCTAAAAAATCCTAATTGCTTCCACATATTTTCTTTAAATATGCTGATGGACAGATGGAGAGCTGTTGGGGGCCACATCTGGCCTGAGGGCTGCCAGTTGATGTTTACTACTGTAGGACATAACAGAGGTCCACTTGCTGTCTAGGATATGATGGAGGTTCACCTTCAGTCTGCAGGACACATCATGGGTCCACCTGCAGTCTGTAGAATATGATGGAGGTCCAGAAGCATCCACTTTGCAGTCTGCAGGGCATGATGGAGGTCTACGTTCAGCCTGCAAGACATAATAGAGGTCTGGCTGCTGTCTGTAGGACTAAAGGAGATCAAGAAGTGTCTCCTCTACAGTCTGTCAGGGGGGACGAAGGTCCACCAGAGTGAAGTTCTGGCTAATAGGGATACTGTTTTCATCACACAGGAAGTTGCTGCGTATGGTGATGATGAAGGTCTTTTTGGAGAGGAGGGTCTGGATCTTCTCTGCTGCCACTTGGATGTGTTTTATCCCTGAGCTTGGAGCTGGAAAATGGATGAGTGAGAAAGAACCTTCATGAATATTTACCTGTTAAAACTTAGGCTCACATATTAATGAAACTATTCATCATTTTAAAATTAGTGGGTCATCAGTTAACTGAAAGTGAAAGTTTCATCCAAGAGGCCTTCATGTTGGTGTCTCAAACCTCAGTACAGCTTGTCAGTAGGAAATTTTCTTTTATTGTCACAGTTTGTTTAGTGATGCATTGATTTAATCAGGACTGATTAATAATGATCATATTTGAGAGGTTCACATTTATCAACAGCTCCTCCAAACTCTAACTGAACTCATTATAGATCATAGATCATTCAATCATTGGGCTTTTCTCTGGCCTCTCAGAAAGACACATAAACATGTGAATTTAATGAGAGAAATAAACTATGGGTTTCACAATAACGTTAACATACCAGGATGTATAAGTAAACTGTGCATGGATGAAATAACTCCTGTTTTCACAGAGAGAGATAAGCTTTAAATGCTGTGAACTCCCCAGAGTGACAGATAGGTAAAAGTGAAATATATATATATATTCTCCTGCAGGTGGCATCAGTGAGTCAGTGTGCTCTGATCAAACTTACACCTGTATAGTATTTTCAATCCACACTTCAGCTGAGGTCAGTCTGTCTAGAATACAAACGGATGTCTTCCCAGAGACAGTGTCTCATCTGGGATCAGCTGTTAGCCTTGTCTCACCTGAGCTATGATGGAGTTTATCAGGTGGAGCTTCCAGGATCTTCTGCAGAGGAACAGGAAGAACCTGAACACACACCTGTCTTGTCCCACGCCCACAAACTGTCAGCACACCTGGCCTGAAACACACACACACACACAGGGCCGGTTGTCAGTGATCACATATGGAGAGTATTTAATAATGTCTCTTTCCCCCTTATTCGGACATTTGTTATTTTACTTTACACTGTATAAGCTACACTTCTGCCAACATTAGCTAACTTTGATATTGCTCTTATTAGTCCTGATGACAGGTTTGCCTGTGCCTGGGGCAAGGCCATTCAGGAGAGCCCCCATGGTACTCTGGAGCTTAATAAGCTTTGCACAATAAATATTGTAGTTGTTTGAAGAAATCAAATAACAGTTCTTGTATTAAGCGTTGAAAATGTTGAAAATGCGTCCTTCCTGACCCTTTGAGGATCAGGAAGGACTCACTCTGAGGTCCTCAGATGTACCTGTAGTACCGCCGTACAGCTGTGTAGGGTAGGCAGGGGTAACAGGGGCTGTATATCCCGTTAGCATCAGTGTCGAGCTCAGTAGAGCAGCGACCGCAGCCTGTATAGGTGATGTCACTGCTCAGCACCTCCAAGATACCTTCCAGTGATGTAGAACTGTCCAGTTCAGTCTGAGGTGCATTCTGGGAAAGTGGTGAGTGCTGGAATGTTAATGCGACAACCTGGACTCTGAGCTGGACCTCACCTGGTGGAGGAAAGAACAGGTCTTTGTTTACCTGTTGAGGGTCTTTGAAAGGTACAGTAACTCTAATTAGTGTAAGGTTTCTCTTTCGTGTTTAGGTCCCAGGCAAAAAAAAAAGAAAAAAAAGAAAACACAGGGTAACCCACCTCCATTAAATGTAAGGTAACCAATGACATTTGACCTTGGATGGCCTTAGTCTTACCATCTCAGGTAATTTTAATGATTGTACTTTGTTAAAGTAATGCTGTGATTGACATCTGTGACACCACAAAGACCACACCATCCTTTCCATAAAGACACCAGCTTCAGACAGCTTCAGTGACAGGGCCTGTTACTATAGCAACTCAGGAACACAGTGAGAGAGAGTGGATGCTGCTGGCGGTGCAAAGAATTGATCAGTGCTGGTGTTAAACATGTGGTTTCAACTGTTGAGCTCTGACCCTGAGTGTCCTCAGAGCTCGGAACAGTGACACACAAACGCAGAGTTCATCCACACTGGATCATCTTTAATGGCACAATGTCTTTAGCAGGTAACTAACAGACTATACTCCTGCATACAGTCAGCCATAATTACAGACATCTAACTCAGCTCACTGCTCTAAAACAGACAGGGCTCAATGTCAGCAGGATATTTGCAGATGACTTAAGGTCAGACAGTACGCTGAAGCTTTTATCATAAAAAGTTTTATTTTATTCTGAGCTCAGACTCAACCCCTTACATAAACCACTTGAGTCGAAGACAGCTCTCATCACCTGCACCAGGTGATGTTTCTGAGCTGAGCTGGTGGGTGATCTGATAGTGTACATGCTCTAACTCACCGCTATATTTCTGGGACAGCAGTGTGTCCACATCCAGCTCTATGCTGCTGTCTCCTAGTTGAACAGGTGGTGGTCTTAGGAAGTCCCTGGCCAGGGGACTGGAGGGGTCCAGAGGCTTCAGGGTGCTCCAGGGGGTGGAGTGCAGCTCCAAAACATCAGAAGTCAAACCCTCCTTCACCAGGAGAAAACGGACATCCCAGATGATGTCTAAGACACATGCACAGGGTTCTTTCTTCAGAGCAACACACCAGCTGTATCTTTACAATTCAGTTATTGTCTTTGTATGATGTTTGAATCAGTTATTGCTCTTGACCGCAAACACCTCAGAAACATTTTCTAATTATATCACTGCAGTAGACGGCATTAGTATAGCATCCAGCACCACAGTTTCCATCTGCTTCAAGTCCTCCAAGCATCATTTTTATCACTGTTATAAAGCTAATGTTTATGTATGAGCATCAGTCTCTTCATTTTGATCACTGTTATAATTTAATGTTAATATTAGAACTTTCTAACTCTTTCTGCTTCAATTGTTCTTCAATTGATATTGTTCCACTACTTACCTCCTTTTCATTAATACAAAAGCTATCACAGCTCATCTATGACTATAGACCTTTACACAAACTGAGATCATTCTATTATCATTATTATGCTGCTCCTGTAATTAGTCTTCACACTTGTTTCATTATCTATGTCATTATAACCATACATCTGTATGTACTAGTGTCATTTGTCTCCATCCATCTCTCTCTTTCTTCATCTCCCTTTTTTTCTCTAAAATCCCAGTGCAGTCACAAAAGCTGACTGTCTAACATGAGTCTGGTTCTGTTCCAGGTTTTCTCTTGTTAAAGGAAGTTCTACCTCTCCGATGTGACTTGATATATGAATAAAAATTTATTGACTGATTATGGAATTTCAATTGTTTTAAAAATCAAAATGCTTTTTTTTATCATTGAGATTTTTTAAAAGTGTATTCCATTTTGACATTCCCATGACATATTCCATAATTCATAATCATATGTTATAAAAATAGACTTATTTAAAATGTTCATATAGTAAAATTTTTATCATACCATTAATTTGTCTTCGGTCGTTTTCATATTTAAGTTGTTTTATTTTTGTTATTTACATATTTAACTACTGTAATTTTATAATACATTCTTAATATTTTATTTTCAGGTTTTTCTTATTTCAGACTATACTGTTAAATAATTTTATTACTTAGTTTACTACAAATATATTGATTAATCTAATTATTTTATTTGTTTTGTTATATTTCTAACATTTGGTACATTTTTTGTCATATTTTTTTTTTAAATCCATTTTTTGTTTGATCAAGTTTTTCATTCACTTTTAAATATTAAAATCATAACTATAATATATTCTTTTTCAATGCTCATTTTGTTCTTCCTACCTTTACTTTTTGTTTATGTATTGTGATATTCTATAGCTATTTTTTTCTATACACATACTCATATTTATTTTAGAATTCGAATTTGTACTTAATATTAATTTTTTTTCATCATTTTACTTGTCTAAATATTATTGTTTGTTTCTGTTCCTTTTCATATCATCCTTCATTTAAGTAAACCCCTTGGAGACCAAGTGGTGCCATAGTGTGTGTGTGTGTGTGTGTGTGTGTGTGTGTGTGTGTGTGTGTGTGTGTGTGTGTGTGTGTATACCTCTGTCTCTGTTGATGAGAGGCAGCCAGTCCACAGCTGCTCCCCAAAGTAGCAGCGCCCCCTGGTGGCCTCCTGGTTGCTCCACAGTCAGAACAACCTTCGTCTGAAGGGCAGCTCTGCAGCGAGACTCTGCCCCACTGCTCCACGCTGACAAACGCACAAATCAAAGAACATTCATCCGTCTGTTTAAATTCTAGCATAATCAGGTGAGGAGACTATTAAGGTGATGATGTTTAAATTTAGTTTTTGAATGTTGAACTTGTTGACACTACCGGTGAATTGGGCAGAGAACAGACTAACATGGGCGCAAAATGAAATTCAGCCCCAAAATTAGTAAAAGAAGGGAGAGCATCTGTGAGCTGAAACGAAGATATCTGAATAAAAGTATGTGACATGGGAATGAGAAAGCCTGTGTCTGTTGTACAGGAGTTGGGAGCTGTGCCCTCTAGCACGAGACACAAGAAAACCCACAGACAAAGATAGAGAAGTGAGGTGTCCATACAAGTGGTCCCACAGGGACACTTTTGGGGGGGGGGGGGGCTGCATACACCTGACTCTTTATTTGAACTACCCACCTGTGCTCAGATGTGTTAGTGTTATACGCAGCAGGGCATGAACCAGTGTGTTGACCCTCAGAGACTTTAGGGCGGCATAGGGGAGGCGGTTGAAGTCCTGAGGTGGGCGGCAGTTCAAAGACACCAGCAGGGGGCGCCGCTCTCTGAGGAAGCCATACAGAGAACTTAGCGAATGAGCATCAATCAGCTGAGAGGCTGGGGAGAGAGAGAGAGAGAGAGAGAGAGAGAGATCAGGGAAGGAGATATTTGTTGAAGAACAGAACTAAGGACTAACATTATATTTTAAATTTCTTATGGGTTTCTTTTTTTTGTAACTTACAGCACTCTCGACCCCTTTAAACTATTTGGAGGTTGTGTATTTAAGATGGTATTTGGTTGTCTTGTTGTGTCAGTAACTCCAACTGATTAGTTGGATGTTATAATGGTACCTGGTTGTGATTGGTTGGATGTTATATTGGTTCCTCTAGCTTATTGGTTTGAAGATGTGTTTTTGATGGTTGTGATTGGTTGGAGGTTGAGTGGGTACCTGGTGGAGGGGTTGAGAGGGTGGCTGGTCCCAGGTTGAGCAGTTTGCTGCTGTAGGTGGACTGCAGGATCGTCTCTCCCCTCCACCTGTCTTCATTCACCTGTAGACCTGACAGGAAAGCACTCTATCAAGAACACCTTTCCACAATCCAGATGTGTATTAGTCGTATTCATCACATAACACTTTACGTCTTTACCTTTTTTTTTTTTTTTTTTTGATTAAGTGATGCAAAACAGAACATGACAGGTGAGGGACAAAAAACTAAGAAACAGATGTGGGAGATGAGGCAAGACAGGCACAAGCTGGGATAACAGTTTACCTTTTTTTGTGTGTGTGGGGGTGTGAGTGTGTGTATGTATGCCTATATAAAGTGCTTGTTTTGGGGAGTTATAAGAAACAGATAACATTTGAAAATAAAGATACTAACTCATACAAGTAAAATGAATAATGCGACAGAACAAAAGGACAAAGCAAAAACTCAATAAATGGAAGAAAGAAAAAATTAAATAAAAATATATGCATACATATAAATATACACATAGATCTAACTCTTTTTTTAGAATTTCCCTCCTCCTTTTTTTAATGTCTTTACCTGTGAGGAGCAGAATGTCTCCAGGTGAGACAGTCAACACCCAGAATGCTGCTCGCCGCCACAGCACCACCTTCATCTCCACACCGGATTGGTCTGTTACCACGATGGACGCCAGAGGGACAGCAGTCCCTGCAGCTGGTCCAGACTTCACCTGAGACCCATGACATCAGATACTTCAAATATACTCAGAGAGAGTCTGTATAATAACTGACAGGCTTCATCAGGTTATAAGTTACACACCTAACCATAAAGTTATCTTAATGAACCTTGATCTGACACTCTTAAATGTTGTTAAACCGTCAACTAAAATACAGAGTTGGAAATTAACAGATAGAATTCTGATCCTAAATCAAGAGCCATTATATTATTTTTATGAGCACTATTAATCCATATTTCAAACATGTTGTTTTAAGTTGTTTGTTTGTTCAGGACTTTAAACTGTTAATGGAACAAACTGTCTGACAAAAAAGACATATTTAGTACAACCTAACATCAGCACGTTAGCATTTAGTAGAGAACAAAAGGTCCCACAGAGCTGCTAGCTAAGCTCTGTCCTCTGTTAGCACAGTGTCCTCACACCTGTCCTCACCTTTACCTCCTTCAGGTAACATGGGTGCACCACAGCCACCAGCACAGAGTACCTTGACCCCTGTCTGTCACACTTGGTCAGAAGTGTGAATTGGCCTCTAGGCCTGGTGGCAGCAACGGTGCTATCTGATGGCCCCGCAGACACTTTGGTCCCCGGCTCCTCTGGAATACAGACTTTCTTTGCCTGAGGGGATATGCAGGGGGGGCTTGGGGGATTCTTGGACACTTGTTGCCCTGCCCCCTGGGAGCAAAGAACTCCCTCCTCAGTGACCTCGATGACCACACCCCCCTCCTCAGCTCTTGGAGTGGGGCATGGTTGACCGAAGAGCTCTGCAGACGCCCCAGGGGATGAAGTTTCTGGACTGAAGAGCTCGGGGGTGCTGGATGAGGCGGAGGGGGGAGTTTCAGTGGGTTTGGATGGGGTGTGAGGAGGTGGGGTTTTCTCAGGGGTGGATGCTGATTGGATGTTACAGCACCTGCCCCTCAGAAACAAGGCCTGACTCAGAGTCCAGGTGGACAGGTACTGAGCTCTGGTGGACAGAGGAGGGATGGCTGATAAAGACTGGGGTTCAGATTCAAGTAGGCCTCTAGGTTCTGGTTTCTGCAGTACTGGTTGTAGTGGTTCTAGTCTCACTGGCTCTGTTTTTTGTGGTTTGGGTCTTGGTGTTTCTGCTTTTGGTGGTTGTTGTAGTTCTGCAGAGAAACAGCTTTCCAGGTACTCATGAACTGAAGCTGAACAGTGAAGGTGTCCTCCTGGATCAGGTCCGTCTGATCTTGTCTGTCCCTCAGAGGAAGGGTCAGATTGTTGACTGAGGGCTTCATAGTGTCTGCTTTCTGAACTCTGCACAGACTGAACAGCTCCATCCTCCTCTAATGACCGTCTCTCTCCATTTCCACCATAGTCTGTAAATATAATCAACATATAAAAAAACATGTTGAAGTTCAGATCAGACCTGTGAGAACCCTGAACGTACATCCACCGACCGCTCTGTTTCAAGCTCTCAACAAGAAAATTCAGGAGGTTTAAGAATTGACATTTTCACTTAATATTACATTACATTTAATAAAAACATACGGTAATTTCCATTAACCCACTGTTTCATTTTTCTCACTGTATGGTCACTGAATGCATCAACATTTCTCCATGTTTGGTCCCTGATTGCATCACCTGTCAAGGGCTTCAGATGTCCATCCTGCCAGGTGAGTTCCAGGAGTCTCCAGGTGACAGGTGGAGGTTTCTGTTCCTCAGTCCCAGCTCCTGACACCGTGGTCCAGCTGGAGGAGGCAGGCGGAGCTCCCAAAAAGACATGGATCTTGGGCTGGTCACACATGTGGTCTTGCTAGTCAGATAACTGTCAATATCTCTTTAGCACTGACAGAAATCAAACACCTGAGACCAGGTTGAGCTGAGAGGACTAGAGTCCACAGGTGGATAGGTGGGAGGATGCTTTCGCCTGAGTTTCATGTTGATTATAGTCAAAGGGTCAGGATGAGTCTCTGTGGAGATTTTTCAGCTCTGATATTTTAACCTGTCTGATCTTACACAACAATGACTGTGCAGAAACAGCTTCTAAAGCACAGCTCCAGTATGGTGATGGATGCAGACAGGCAGAACTGTTCACAGCTGGCAACAATAACCAGCAGAACTCAACCAATCAGAGAGAAGTATGCTGGGGGAGGGTCAGGCCCATCTTGCAGCATGTTTCACATGTTGGTCCAATCCTGATGTAGTCAGTCTGTATGACTTTCTGTAGGTCTGTGGACCAAACAGCACATAGAGACACATGACAAACACTTTATTACACAGGCATGTTCAGTGCTGCATTCTGATTGATCATCACATGGCAGCAGTTCATAGCAACAGTCTGTCAATCCTACCCAGCCGACTGCTACTATGCAGAACTGACTGGAGACTTGATAAAGACTGGAGGACTGACTGTTATAAATTCTCAAAAAGGACAATATATATGCAATGTCCAGTCATGGAAAAAAGTGTTTTTAACACAGTGTTTTTAATGGACTCAGGAGCTCTTTCAGTGACCGGCTGGTGAAGCAGCAGTCAGATTTTTTTAATTATCACTCTCACTAAAACTGACCCCAAGCTGTAAATTATGCATCAAATGTATTCATTCTCTGGTGTTATGTATTTCTTGTTGTGTATAATAAGTGTACTGTCCGTGTTGTTTGCATGGGTTGATGAGATGGCCAATGAGTTTCCCCACTGGGGACTAAAAAAAGTTTCATAATCTAAAAGTGTTGATTCATGCAGTACTGTACTGCAGTACTTTATTAATGTTCAGTTTGATCGAGTTATGAAATGTTAAATTAAAATTCAGTTTGATGCAATAACAACATGACAAATCATTTGATAAATGTTCACTTTCATGCTGTAAGATTATAATACATTTTTTTGATTTATATTCAGTTTGATTTTAGTTTTGGGAGCTGGAATTCAGTAACTCAATAACAAATTATTTTACTAGTAAATTATATTAATAAATGTTTAGTTTGATGTAATAATATAATAAATTATTTTAACTATTTTTTGGTCTAATGTTTTAACACTCTGATAATTCATTTTGTTTTTGTCCATTTTAATTTTATGGTGCAAAGAAAAAGTTTGACATTAAAATTAAACATAAATCATTTATCAATAAATTCCAAGTTTGTTGGTACATCATGCAAAGACAAGTTATTCGTATTAATGTAATGTTTAATGTTCAAGTTCATAGATTACCTATGTTAAAAATTTTAAGTGAAATACAAGTAATATTAGCTTAGTTACGTTATGGGGTCAACAGTTGTTTTTCTTAGATGCAGCTCCAAGTGAACTGTAACAGGATAAAAAATGAAAAAAATCAAAATAAAGTTAACTGAGAATAGAACAAAGACAACTTTTCAAATGTTGAAACTAAAATTTGTTTTATTAAAAACATTTGTAAATTTTAAATTTGATGCAGCAACAGTTTGTCAAAAATTGTTCAAGAAACAACCAAACAGATTAAAAGTTGTGTAATTCTCTAAAATAGCTGGAGGAACATCTCCAATTTATGAGGTTAATATCCAACAGGTTAGTCACATGACTGGGTATAAAAAGGACATTCAGAGAGTCTGAGTCTCTCAGAAGAAGAGATCGGAAGAGGTTCACCAATTCTGTGAGGTTTTGTGAGAGACTGTGTGAGCTAATAGTTCAGAGAAATGTCCCTCAGTGTGAAACTTGAAAGACTGAGTGGATTTCATTATCTACAGTACAAAATATAATTAAAAGATTTGGAGAATCTGGAGAAATCTCTGTACTCAAGGGACAAGGACCAAAACCATGACTGGATGGTCCTGATCTTCAGGCCCTCAGGCAGCACTACCATGAAAACAGACAGGACTCTGGAGTGGAAATCACTGCATGGGCTCAACATCAATTCCAAAACCTTTTGTCTGTGAACAGATATATAAACATAATCCAGAAACACCAGAGACTTCTCTGGACCTGAGCCTATTTAAGATTGACTGAAGGGATGTGGAAAACTGTTCAGCCAGGAGCTTGACCTGCTGCTGTATGACACATGTGTGTGCTCTCCTCCTCTCAGGAAATCTGAATAAATCTGGGAGCAGTTGGAGTATACACAAACCCCTCCAGGTTTTCTCGGTCTGTTTGTATGTCTGTGTGTCTATCCTGATGACATCAGAGTCTCTCCCCGTGCTCCCCTCTACAGGGTCTCCTTCAGCTCAGTTACAGGTTTAGTTTCTCTCCACCTGCTGCCTTCAGTCACTTAGCATGACTTTAAACACCACCAACACCCTGCCTCTCTCATGAGTCTGAACACATATGTCTAATTCTCTATGATCAGGTGTGAAGATTTAGACCATGGTTATGTGTGCATTCGAGGGTTGAAAGAGTGTTTGTTTCTTCATTTTATTCTTCAACCTTTCCTAATGTAATGAAATGACTGACTATTTTCACACGCTGAATTCAGCGAATGAAATCTGACCACAGCTCTTATTCATATTCCCTCTGAAATGTTTCAGCGCTTTCACCAAACAGTAAAAAGTAAAACCAAGTGAAGAAATTGGTTCCTACGATTGGTCACATGTATTAGCTTTAACTTTGTTTTCCCAATAGTGTATATGTTGTTGGCTTCTTAATGTTATTAATATTCCATACTTGTATAAATACCGAAGTTAGGACTGACAGCCCACTACACTTATTCTGTCAGAGGAGGACCATACTGCAGGATCTTTTAAAATAACAGCCCTCCTGTTAGTGCATGTAAGAATTACATACACAAAATCGCAACAAAATAATAATAGTGTAATAATAATTATAAGATACACATCAAAGTATATTTTAATCAGTGCTTTAATCGTGCTTTTATTTTGTATGTCTAACCGGAAAGGTGAGTTGTTCTAAATTAGACACTTGACGTGCCTTTTAAATAACTGTAAAACATGATTCATAAAATACATCAAACAAGTTCAAATTAGGGCCTGGTATTTGCTTCAGAGTTTGATTTATTTCACTGTATGTATCGCACAGTCGACCAGAAACACGTTTAAAGGTCTTGTAAGAGCTAAAGATTAGCTTACCTCACTGACGCTCCTCACGTTTCTGTCGTTAAAGGTCTCGTGTCGCCGCGTGTTCGCCGTGTTTACTTCATATTTATGACCATTTCACCTAAACTCTCACCACCCAGCTTCACGGGTTGTCTTTAAAATACGAGTCCAGTCCAGAAATCCTCACACATGGTGACCTGACTCAAAGAAGAGTCACTTCTCTCTGTAAATACTGACTTTACAAAGGAGAAAAGCGGCGCCGTCAGTTTCGTCCGCGTCGCTAGCAATCCCAGCATGCTTTGAGGAGCGAATCGACTGCTTGCAATACACAATTAATGGAGGCGAACTAACATCGCTATTGTTCGCCCTCAGTAGACGAACGCGTTGCCACTGCGGCGGTGTAAGTTAACAGGAAGGGGTGGCAGGGAGGAGGAGTCGCTGCTGCGGTAGAAGTGTTCGTGCTCCCCGCCGCAAAAGCTCGCCTTCCCCTCACTGTCCAAAGCTCAGCCGAAGGACCTGCCTCCGCGTTGTGGTAAACTTCTTTAAATCCAACATGTATCGGTATTTCGGGGAGTTACTATCCCGAGGAGCGGGCTGCGTCCTGGCCTCTGGGTCTACCGCCGCTGCTGCCGATACTGCTCTGCCCGCGACCGCGTCCCTACTGCGCTACCGTGGCTACAGCCAGGCCGTGGACCAGGATGACGACCCAAACTTTTTTACCATGGTGGAGGGCTTCTTCGACCGGGGCGCTGCAATCGTGGAGGACAAGCTGGTGGAGGGCCTGAAGACCCGGGAGAGCCCCGAGCAGAAGAGGAAGCGCGTCCGCGGTATCCTAAAGATCATCAAACCGTGTAACCACGTCCTGAGCGTCAACTTCCCCATCAAGAGGGACAGCGGCGAGTGGGAGATGATCGAGGCGTACCGCGCTCAGCACAGCCAGCACCGCACGCCCTGCAAGGGAGGTGAGTGCTGCACACCGGCCCCGCACACTGGGACCATCACAACACACAGCTTTAACTTATCTATGAAATCAATATGACCGGATCTACGGTATCACAACATCAAAGTTTTCTGATCATCAGAGGGACCTCACAGAGACCGAGAGGGAGGAATGAGAATAAAGACGAACCTCTCAGAAAGTTCAAAGACCTAACGCTCATTACATTAATAATAATAATAATAATAATAATAATAATAATAATAATAATAATAATAATAATACTAATGAAGTAAGAAGAAGAAGAAAATAATAACAATGGTGATTTAAAGAGGGGACTCTCCACTTCCAAAGAGGAAAAAAATCTTGACAAATTGTGAAGTAAATAAATAAATAAACTACACAACTCAGTTAAATTCATAAACTGAGGCAAGGGTGGTCCATCAGAGAAACATTTTTCTCTCTCTCTTATTTTTAGTTTGTTGACCCCTGAGGTGTCTTTGGTGACCTCTGTGGGGTCCCAAGTCTCAGGCTCGTAAACATGCAGGGTTATCATTAGCAAAACAAAGACACTAAAAGATTATTGTAAAAATGTGTGAACTGAATGAAGACTAATAAACAGATTCAGCCTCAGACAGTGAAAGTTTATTCAAATGACTTAAGTTTAATGAAAATGGGATTTAAATAAAAATGATAAAGCAGAAAAAAAAGAATTGAAACAGCAGGTGAAGGTGCAGTGATGCTACTTTATCAATGAAGTTTTGTTTCATATCAGATTAAATGTTTTCAAAATGAATTTAATAAGTTGCAGCAGCTCTTTAGACAGTGTGTTGAGTCTCTTTTTGTATTATAGGGTGTTCAGGTTTGACCTGAATGCTGTCGTTGCTCTCTTTCAGATCAAACTGAGCTTAGACGTGACTGTTAATCCACAGGTGGATCTTCCACCTATAACACAAAGGCTCAGGTGTATCAAAGCGTTGTTTAAGCTGTGGGATGTACCTAAGTGACATCACAGTGGTACATGAGTGACATCGCTTAGGGACATTATCAACATAACCCCACATTTACCCCTGAATCTGTGTTTATGTGTGCGTTAAAGCAGTGTGTGTAAGTGCTGGCAAAGTCTGGCAAAGTGTTACATAATTATGTTTGTAAATGCAGCTCTGAGCAGGTTTGATGAAGGTGGAGAGGTTTCCTCCCCTGACAGGAATGCTGACAGTCCAGACCGACCCTGCGTGTGTGTGTGTGTGTGTGTGTGTGTGTGTGTGTGTGTGTGTGTGTGTGTGTGTGTGTGTGTTTGTGTGCGTGTGTGTGCGTGCATGTGTGTGTTTGTGTGCTCAGCTGCAGTGACTCTGGCGTTTTTTTGTAGCTGAGTATCTAAAATCACCTTAGTGTTTTTATTATTTACTACAAAAGTCAATGATAACCTCCCTGTAAAAATTAAATGGTTGTCATGTTTTTTCCTGCAGTAAGACTGTTCTAAATACAACACTGTAAAAAAATAAAATAGATGGGGTTAGATAAATGTAACTGCATAAAGGACTGTGAAAAAGATTGTTGTTTTTTGACAAAAGGAACACTTACTGTTGCACTGAAAACTCTAAATAAGTTTTGTAATAATAACTTCAGTTAATATAGACTACTTAAAAAAAGACATGAAATATTTATAGAGACATGTGCTGTTGACCTCATGGACATGTCACTGCTGTTAATGAAATAATCACAGTTTCATCAGGTTATTACCTGGTCAAATAGATATTCAATCTTTTGATTCAATCAGTCTACTGATTGGGTTTGAGTTTTTAATACAAGACTGAAAAAAATGAAAACCTGTAAACGTAACTGAAGTTAATCCATCAATAATACACTGTAAAACATAAAATAGTTGTATAATTCTGCTATAATGTACCAATAATACACTGCAAAAATACATTAATTTGTGTAATTAACTGCAGTTTATCAGTAATGCAATATAAACTAGAAAAGCACTTGGAGAGCGCAGACCTCCGCCAAGCAGCTCATGTCATGTCTGTCTCATGTCTTATATTGTGATTCACACCAAAACTTTTACTACTACGTGTCTTTTATTAACTTTTATTTGTGTTTAAACTGGTATGTTCACTGTTCATAATGTTCCTAAAACAACAAAGCTCATATTAGATACATAAATGCATGATTTATTATGCAATATTTGTAAGCGTACACTTCCTTGTATATTCATTGGTTATCTTTCAGCATTGAAAATTCCAACGACACCCTTATTTTTGTGTGTTCTGGATCACAGTATCCAGAATTTTGTCTGGATCAGGATCAACCTTTGACACCTCATAAAACTCATTGAGATCCTTTTGTGTAATTTTATACTAAAGACTCTGGCCGTTTTTATAGAGTTAAATGCAAAAATTCCAAAATTTGCCCTATCTCACAATGATAAAGAATTCTTCAAAAAATTCCTGGATCCAGAAGGTGATCCGGATCACCACCAAAATGTGATTGGATCCTCCTGGGGCTGAAACACACCTCTGGTGAAATTTTCAGGTCTGTAACTTTCTCCGTAAAGTTGCCAACAGACAAACAAACAAATAAAGAAACAAACATACAAACCAACGCTACCAAAAACATAACCTCCTTGGCGGAGGTAAAAATTAAAATGTTGAGCCACAATGTCAAGCGACACACACTTCACTATATGTAGGACTTTTTTTAATAATTTGTTATTAGTAGTAATTTTATTAATTAGTAATTATTATTGATCATGTAGAAAAAACTCATCTTGAATCATTATGAACAGCTCATCTGCATTTGTGTAAAACTAACCTGAAACTCAAACCTACCAATTGCTGGCAAATTTAACTGAATGTGTCATATTGTCTAGCTGGATTATAGGTGTGGGCATTTCCTTCTGCAAAGAGTAAATGCTCAAACTTAGGTTTCCCAAATGAGATGCAGAGACTCTAAACTTTGACCCTGAAGGCAGCAGCTCTGCTTTTTAAATTACAGAGCATTAAATGGATGTTGTACAGGAGTAATTCATGCTGTCAGGGGTGAGGGTCTGTATTTGTTGACCTGTGCAGGTAGAGTTCACCCTGAAACCCTCCTCCAAATTTTCCTTTCTTTCAGTAAATTTTGAGTCTGGATTTTAAATAAACCGAACAGCCAGCTCAAACCAAATAAAGGTGTTTGTAGTCCTGGATGTGGCCCTGATAACTCTAGTCCACAATCAGAGTTCAGATCAGGTCTCTGCTGGACTCTCACCTGTACAGATGAAAAGGTGAGCACAGAGCAAACACAGTTAGTCATTACTCACACTAAATCACACACACTTAGCTTTGTACTGTTGCTGATAATGATCTATTATTATATTTATTAACATTTAAATATATCATCAAGTTCTAGGTTTATGTGCATATCTTAATTTCAAATGATCTGTCTGCTGTTTTACAGTAGTTATTAATCTAATCACACCCTTATGGTAATACATAGATGGTGTCACTTTCTTTGTGTGATCTGAATTAAAAATACACACTAGTTGTTGCCTCCATCTCTGAGTGGCAGCTCCGTGTCTAACAGGACTTGAAGCAGTTTGTGCCTCTTCCTCGTGTCGTTTTAACTCTTGTGTGTCACTTTGGACAAAAGTATCTGCTATATGAAACAAACTTGAACACTTATCACCATCTCTATTTCTATATTTTCAACTGTTTATGTTACAGATGATAATGAAACCAAAACAGGCTGACTGTTGAACTGTATTCAGAGAGATTTAAAAAGATAGTCTGTGTTATTTGTAATTTCATGAGGATCCCAGTCAGCTTGGCCTCTTTGTTGAGAAACTGTCTGAAGCTCTCTTTTGTGTCTGGGGCTGGTTTCTGAAAAAGAGGCTGACTACCAGCCTCTGCAGACAGCATTGTTTAGATTGTTGTAACCAACTCTTACCCTAGCTCCACTCTCTTTGGGATGTTGTTTAGTCATTTCCTTTGCTGTCAGAGAGTCCTGTCATCATTTCAGTCTGTCTGCAGGTAGAGTAGAAAACATGCAGGTGTTGTTGGCACAGCTCAAAAACACAACAGCTCTCTGACCACAAGGTGTTTTAAGTACCACACCCAGACTGGATCACTACAGCTCCCCCACAGCCACTCCCCTCTCTCTCTCTCTCTAAAGCTGTTTGGTGTAAGTTCTTCTCCTCCTCATGTTTTAGTTAAAGAAGACCGAAATGTGAAGGTTTCTCTGCAGAAAGGAGGTTCATACAGTAAACTTATGCCCAATAGTTTGCTTTTGTGTGTGTGTGTGTGTGTGTGTGTGTGTGTGTGTGTGTGTGTGTGTGTGTGTGTGTGTGTGGGTGTGGGTGTGTGCGTGTGTGTGTGTGCGTGTGTTCTGCAGCTGCAACTGTTTAGTGCAGCTCTCTCTCTCTGCCTCGCGCTGATCACTTTTAAAGCTGCCCCAAGTTGTACTGTAGAAATGTTGACACCATATGAGCTGCCTTGCAGCCTTAGATCCTCAGGTAACACCCCGCCGTTCATTCCAAAGTCAAGGTTCAAATCTGAAGGTTCAAATCACAAGGGCCCCTCGACTTGATCAACTGGATCGACCTCCTTAAGGAAGAGAGGTGTGCAAAATCAGAGGCTTTGTTTGAATCACTTTTGAAAGTCACTTGTACAGACTTTCTTTTAAGTATTTTTACCTTTTTGACCACTTTTCAAGTTCAACTTCATTCATCTTGTTTGAAAACTTTAATTTCTTCATGCTTTTGTTCAGCCAATTTTATTGCCTGTCCCTATCTGATCCCCTCCTTTACTGTCTTTGATTGCATTCTTAGGGGATGGTTTAGAATTGATAGTGTCAGTTTTGGGAGAGACACACGTGTCCTTTGGCATGGTCAAGTCCTCTAGTTTTTGTCCTGCCTGTCTTAAAATGAGTTTTTGATGTTTATCTTTTTAGGAATCCGTTACAGCACCGAGGTCTGCATGGATGAGGTAAAAGCTCTGGCCTCTCTGATGACCTACAAATGTGCTGTTGTTGGTGAGTACACACTCACATTGGTAAAAATGTTAAATTTTGAAAGGGTGGGATAATTAAGACTCTATTTTCATCATGATGTTTTCTATATGAAGGATAGATTTTAGTTCATAGCAGAGAACAGTGGAGCTTTATTGTGGTTCAGTCATGCTGCTGTGACTCTCTGTGGTTGAACGCAGTGATTTGTTTCAGATGTGCCGTTTGGTGGAGCCAAAGCTGGAGTGAAGATCAACCCAAGACAGTACTCAGTAAGTCTGAAAACCACTGCTGAGAAGTTTACTTATTTACCTTGCTATACTTAAAAACAGTCAGTCAGATAGTAAGTCAGTAAGTCAGTCAGTCAGTCATAATGTCATGTCATAATTTACAGTAAAATTAATAAATGTCTTTTCTTCAGTATGACTCCAACCCCAGCTCTTTTCTTTGACATTGCCCTCTCTGTCTGCTTGACCTTTGACCTCAGCCTTCCACTGATCACTGCACCTCTGACCTTTGACCCCTCCATACAAAAGAATTTCAGGGATGTGATTCAGTCATAACAGACAAGTTACAAAACAGTTTAATCAAAAGCAGTGTATCTTCAGTCAACTTTCTGTCGTCACAATTCATGTCAAAGGAAACTAAATTCTGTTGTAAAATAAATGAAAGTTCCAGGAGAAAGTCTGAGTGTTCGCAGCCTGCAGTAAAATAACCAACACCCTGTACAAAAGAGACTAAATGTGGACCTTTGAAAAAACACAGCTGAGTTTACGGTGACAGACCTCCACACTAACCTTATGGTGGATTTTTACTGGTGTGTTTTATGATGGGTTAATTTCTGTGTTATTTTATCATGAGCTTTTCTATGTGTGTTTTTTTACGATGAGTCAAAATAAGTGTGTTTAAGTTAATATTTCTGTTTTTTGTGTATTTTGATAAATACTACAATATGGTCATATTTAGAAATTATACCCATATTGAGAAAGGACAAGTGGCATTGCTCTTTTTAACATTAAAAAGAAGAAGTTTATTGATCTCCGAAGGGAAATTCAGTGTACCTGTATGTGATTAAATTTGCACTTAAAAGGTAAAGAAGCATGAACAGTATTAGGAGGTTCTTGTTATCATTTATTGCTAATGTTCAAGTGAAAAATAAAGTTTTTGTGATGAGTTTTTATTTGTGTTTTAAGGACATTGAGCTGGAGAAAATAACCAGGAGGTTCACCATCGAGCTCGCCAAGAAAGGATTTATCGGTGAGTGCCAAACTCTAATACAATGATCAAAGTTTGTACTGAGGTGAAAGAAAAGAACTCCTGTTTGCCTGTAGTTAGGTATCAGTTATTATCAGTTATTATCTGTCTTCTGCGTGTTTCTTGGAAAGGAGGAACTGTAAATGGGAATTTCCCTTTGTGGGATTGATAAAGGAGTATCTTATCTAATCTTATCTTATCTTGTTAACCTGACAGAGAAACACCTGTCTGCCTGTAGTTCAGTGTCAGTCTATCTGACCTAAACATTAGCATAGATTCTGTGTTATCACCTATTGGTTACCGAGGCAGTGTTTTAAAGCCCATCCTCAGCAGCCACTACATGCAAATGCAGACTTTTCCTAAACTCCAGTCAACTAACCAAAAGGCAAGAGTCGGCTTAAAGTGAGGCTATAGCCTCCTCGCTAACAACTACAGGAAGCCCACCTGTCAGTCAAGTTAGCCACGCCTTTGATTATGTATATTTTCTTATTCTGATACCTACAAGAGTAATCTGTTATAAACAATCCACTTCCTGTTCAGTGTGTGAGGGAGAATGGTTGTGCTTTTGGCTGCAGAGGCCTCTGCAGACAGCCTCCAGTGGACACTAGAGGAACTGCAGGTTTTAGTACTTCAGCTAACAGGTAGACAGATGTGTTTGACCTGTGTGTGTGTGTGTGTGTGTGTGTGTGTGTGTGTGTGTGTGTGTGTGTGTGTGTGTGTGTGTGTGTGTGTGTGTGTGTGTGTGTGTGTGTGTGTACAGGACCTGGTATTGATGTCCCTGCTCCAGACATGAGCACTGGGGAGAGGGAGATGTCCTGGATCGCTGACACTTTCGCCACCACCATGGGACACTATGTGAGTCTGTCTCTGTGTTGCTCTCTGCATCTATCACTGAGGAAGAATAAGGATATGAATACAGAGATGACAGGGACAGGAGGAGGAATATAAATTCAGAGACAACAGAGGGGGGCGTATAACGTGGTGTCTTATTATAACAGGAACAGCTGTTTTTTTGAAGTCTCAGCTTTTAAAACTTTAGGTAAAAAATAGAGTCAAGCTTCACTCAGAATTAGAGCTTTAAAAAACGAGGCTTAGAGTGTTGACATGAATAAAGTCATATTGTGACTTTTAGGTCTGAGTGATTTATGTTGTACTATAGTTATGAGGTTTGATTTATATTCTGGAAATAATCGAAAAGCACTGGAGAGTTAAATCTGGGAATAAGACTGTACAGAAACAGGATTAAGGATTCAGGTGTACTCAGGTCAGCAGGGGGTTCATAGTGGCACATTTAAGGGGAAACATAACTTTAATTGTTTGCTTTTTTTGATTTAAAGTGGTGCTTCAAATCTGAATTTTAAATACAGCGTAGGTTCTGTAGATATCTTGTGCTTAAGGCCATTTTTTTTGCTCCTGTGCATTACCTTTTTTCCTACACTGTGCATATTTCTTCATGTCTGTTCCGGTCACACTCAGGAGTCCACAGTTTGCCCTGCAGTGACATTAGACACTGTAAGATATCAGCAATTACCATGGGATAGCATCTATAACATTAGAGACCATTAGGGCACATTAGATACCAATAGAAACCATTGTATAGTGTGGAATATATTGAAATACCATCAAATACCATGAGATAACATTAAATTCCAGCTGAATTATGGAGAACCAACTAAGGCATAAAACTGTGATAAAAGGCTAAAAGATTTTCTGACTCCCTCTGAAGGATTCAAAGGTTGGATGAATGAACTACACTTCAAAGAATTGAACTGTTGTCAGACACAGCCTGATTGTAAGGGTATGACTCTGGGCTCAGGGTCGTCCTAAGAAAATTTCTCATGATTTTTACTGAACGCTTAGTGGGTTAATAGGGGAGTGATCCCCATGTCAGTCATTAATGAGGCTGTTTCAGAGATATACAAACCACCTCACCGTTGAACCAAGGTCAACAGCTCTGACAGTGATGTTCAGCTTTTCAGAGATGCTACGATGTTACAATGTCCTTTAGCAGACGCTCTTGCCCAAAGCAACATTCATTTGAGAGCAAGAACAACACAAGCAAAGATTTTGACAAGAGGAAACAAGATCAGTAAAATCAACAAAGTTTTTCAAGTCCATTTGAAGGCAGGCACTGCCAAGCAGTGTTAAAGGCAATGGACCACAGTGAATAAAGGTTTTTATTTTAATAGTTTTTTTTTTAATTTGAAGAAAATCAACCAAGACGCAACCAAACCTCAGTGAAAGACCTCTCATCATCACCATCGATTATATTGTCTTTACCACAATAATGACCAAAGTACTGAGTGCTGGGTCACTCACAAAGAGCTAGGCACAAAAATCCCAGAGTAGAGCAGGACAGAGAGTTATCTGTAGCTGAAGACTCTTTCAACCACTGGGGACAACAGTGAAGACTAGTCTAGCTAAAAGCAAAGTGTTCTCTATAAAGCTGGGTCTTCAGCTGTCTTTTGAAAGTAGAGAGGGACTCTCTTGGATGGAGTTGGAGATAGATCGCTAACAACAAGAAAGATAGTCAGATAGCCATTGAGCATGTCTGATGCTCAGAGACTTTTCTCAGTCAGGCTGGTTTTTATCTCCCTCTTCCCCATTGAGTAAAGCTGACATTTCAGTGAGATCCAGCCTACTGCAGCGTCCAATCAGTGAGTGATTTTCAAGAAGGAGGCATGTCTGTTAGTGAGAAGACTTCCCTAAAGGCTGCTTTGGTGTGTCCTCTCTCCTCTCTCATGCTGTAAGAGGGGTTAAGAGCTTTGGATCAGCACTTACCATTGTGGGTCTGTACTTCTGGTTTGGCTGGATAGAGTAGACTGCATTTGGGGGCTTTGGGACCCACAGAGAATCAGATCAGGTCTTAGAGAGGTCCTATCTGAATTCAGGTTCAGGAGCTCTTTGCTCAGAGGATTCTCAGAGGATCATGGGAACTGCAGTTCAGAGTGTCTCCTGCTCTTCCTGTTTTTGCTTCGGGCCTGAAGTCACAGATGCTGTTCAGGTTAATGTTCATCTTCACGTTGATGTTGATATTCTCACTCTTTTTGTCAGTGTTGACATTGCTGTTGTTGTCAATGTCCTCTTTTCTGTTGTTGTTGCTGCTGCTGATGTTGTTGTTGTTGGTTGTTGGCAGAGTGACACCCCCTCCCTCCTCCGTTGGGGACCTGTGTCTAAGGTAAATCCTGTTCTCTTTTAGTCTGCTGGGGTCTAGAGGTCTGGTCATTCAGCTGGTCTGAACTGGACAGGAGCCCGTTGGTTTGCCCGTGGGGAACCCTGTTTTCTTTCTGCTGGTACCTGGGATGTAGGAGGTAGTGTGCTGTCTGCCTTTACCTGTGTGTGGGCTCAGGTGTAGACAGGGAGTCCTTCAGAGCCTGAAAGTGTTTAAATCATAGAGCTTTATAGCCAAAAAGAACCCAAAGTTCCTGATCAGAAACAAAACCTGGAAAACCTGAGTAGGAAATTCTGTTAAAAAGAGTTTGATGAAACTAAAATATAAAGCTTTTGATGACACAGTCATGAAGAAACCCCTCTCTTTTGTCTTTGTTAATCCTGGTGTTTTTAATGACAGTACTGCTTTTTCCCTCCATCATCAGCTGTGTTGTCACTTTTTCTGTCAGTGTAAACCACCCTCTGTCTGCCCCTGACTGTCTGTGACACGAAAAATCAAACATGAGAGGTGCTGAGACTGAGGAAAAACAATCTAATAACTGTCATTAAAAAACTTGGTAAAGTGCAGTAATGATGTTTAATGAGATGGATTCAGTTATCACACCTCACATCCTCCACGTTTCTCTGTCTCTGACATCCTGTAACCTGGACGGGCTCAAAGCTTTCTCTTTGGTCTGTTCTGGGGTTGTCCTTCAGAGAGTTAGCTCAGTTTGAGTCCTTTATATCCCAACACTCTGATGCTCTGTGTGGTTTCATCCACCAGATGAACAAGTTTAAATAAAAGTGATCTGTCTAGATGCTGATTGCATGGGTTAGAAAAATTGGAGTAGGTCTGTCTGATCACTGATTGGTTAGATGGGTATAAATGGAGGTGGTCTTTCTGGATGCTGATGGGTTAGTCAGCTTTTAAATTAAGGTAGTCTCTCTGGATGCTGATTGGATTGACAGTTACAAAGGAGGGCTGTCTGAATATTATTGGATAGTTGTTTATAAATCTAGACATCCTCCTGGATGCTGATTGGATGGTTAAACCCGGAGGGGGAGGTTTGTCCCTTTTTCACTGCAGTTTCTTTATTTTGAAATAGAGTTCATAATGCACAGTACAAACTAGGACGCAATTAAAATTATTGTCTTTAAAAAGTTAAAGTGAAAAAATCTATTGGCTGTTTTAACATAAAGACTTTTTGCAGTTACTGTAACGTTGTGGGTTATGTATTTTTTTACCTGGCTGTAGAGTTTTCCGACTCTCCTCACCATTGTCTGACTGTTGTTGAAGTTAAAAAAAAAAATCGCAATGCTGGTAACATGTTTCAGATGTTGAAAACAGTCCACTGAAAATGGCATTAACCCTGGTCTGGGTTTATGTAACTTCAAAGTTAAAATACAGGTGCCTACATCTGAACCTCTTCAGTGACTCTGAAATCATCAAAGTCTTCTTGTGCAGCCTTTTTCTGGAGGGTGTACAGTTTTCAGTTTTCTGTATGCTATGCAGGTAAAAAAAGATTCAGCACAGACAGACAAACTCTATTGTTTATCCTCTGTTTTAGATGGTCAAACACTTGTTTCACTGAACTGAAACATTCAGAAACTAAGTACTTCTTTTATTTTCTCTGAAACTGTTTCTATATATCTGTGTTTGTAAAGGACATCAACGCTCATGCATGTGTCACTGGGAAGCCCATCAGTCAGGGAGGAATCCACGGCCGAATCTCTGCAACTGGGCGAGGAGTTTTCCACGGCATCGAGAACTTCATCAACGAGGCAGCCTACATGAGCCAGCTGGGGATGTGCCCTGGCTTCCAGGACAAGACTTTCATCATCCAGGTACACTTAATACTCATCATCACCTGATAACAATCTGTGATTCAAACCAAATACAAAACAGCTAACATCCTCAAACACAGAGACTGTTCAGTTAGCACGGTTTATTTATGCTTAAAAAACTTACAATGTTATTTCATAATCCTGATGCTGTCCATTTCTAACTCATGATCCTGCTGCTGTCAATCACACCTACATTACCTAACTGCTGTCAATCACATCTACATTACCTAACTGCTGTCAATCACATCTACATTACCTAACTGCTGTCAATCACATCTACATTACCCAACTGCTATCAATCACATCTACATTACCTAACTGTTGTCAATTACACCTATATCATATAACTGCTGTCAATCACATCTACATTTTCCTGTTGCAGTATTCTTTATCTCATTCTTCTGCTGCTGTCTGTCATAATTTTATTATCCTGTCACTGTCTATCTCTTATCTTATTGCCCTTCTGCTGTTTATTTTTAACTCATTATCCTACTGATATCTATCTTTATCACATTATCCTGCTGCATCATAACTACATCACCCTGCAGCTATCTTAATCTCATTACCCAGCTTCTGTCTATCTTAATCTCAATATTGTGCCGCTATCTTTTACTATCTCACCATCCATCTGTCGCCGTCATAACTGCATTGTCTTGCTGCCGTCTATTTTGTATCTTACTATCCTGCTGCAGAGAACAATATCGACATTATTCTGCTGCTGCACATAATAACAGCATCATCCTGCTGCAGTTCACAATATCTACATTATCCTTCTGCACCCCGCAATCTCTATATTATCCTATCATCTCAACATCCTCCTGTCACTATCGTAACTGCATTGTCCTGCCTCTGTCTATATTAATCTCATTATGATGTCTATGTTGTCTATTACATCTACATTATCATGCTTCCATCTATCACATCTACCTTTTCCTTGCCTCTTTCATTTTTTATCCCATTATCCTGCTACTTTTTACAATACCTGCACTACCCTGCTGCTGTCCATCTGTCCTTCATTACCATGCTGCAGGTATTTTAAAGACAGTTTTTTCTGCTTTATCTTTTCCATGTTACATTACCTGTGCTAACACACAGGTTGATTACATAAATCTGTAATGATAGGACAGTTTTCTCTGCAGAAGTTTTGTGAATATGAAACTTGTTGTTTAGCTGTCAAACATTCCTCCTCCTCCCCTAGATGATAAACAGTCAGTGTGGTTTGGGCAGAGAGTGGTCTAAGGTTTTATTTACAGCAGTTTGATGATTGAGAAAACTTCCTCAGCTCTCTTCGTTGGTCTGTTTTCATGTAATTTCCCTGAAATCCTCACAGATGAGTCACGGGTGAGTCATCGTAGACTCAAACGTTTCCTTAATTTTGAGGCCTGAGGTCAGAGCCAGACACAGCACTTAGCTTTCACTGCTCTCAGTGAGCTCCTTACTTAAATAAGGAGCTTTCAATGAAGAATCCTGACCTCCCAACCTCCTCTTGTCCTATCCTCCTATTCTATTCTCCTTTCCTCATATCTTTTTATCTTACTTACTTCCTTACTGCCTATCCTACTGTTCTCCCTTGGTAGAGAAACTCCTCAGCCTCTCAGAGTCCTCCTCAGAGTGCCCCTCTTTGTGGTCAGTCTGACTGACAAAGTGATTCAGCCCATAGCTTTGACTCTCTAAGGGGACCATCGATGTCTAAATAATATTCAGCCTTCAGCCTCTTGCCTGAAAAATAACGCAGATCTTGCTGGGTTCAATGTGCCCTCTGTCTCATCTGCAGGGCTTCGGTAACGTGGGCCTTCACTCCATGCGCTACCTTCATCGTTTTGGGGCAAAGTGTGTTGGAGTCGGAGAAATGGACGGAAACATCTGGAATCCTAAAGGCATTGACCCGAAAGAGCTGGAGGAGTACAAACTGGTCAGTCCTGGTTATTGTTATTCGATTTGATATTAGATATAAAAACTTAATAAGAGCCTCACTCTGAGAGTAACTCAGCTGTTGATACTGGAGTCTACTGCTCTACCTGCTGGATGATTGGAGTCACTACAGCCCCCCTCTGTAAACTTAGATCCATGGGAATGTGTAAATCTGATTTACTGCTTACACATTCAAATTTACACAGCAGGCATTTCTATAAACATAGTGATGATTACTCATATATAAATATTTTCTTTATCTGTTTAAAAGTACATTAAACACATAAACATGCACTTCATTAACTGCATGATCAAGCTACATTATTCTTAATATACATTATTTAAGTACCTTATTAAATAACTCATCCAAATTATTCAATTTATAAATCTAGATTATTTAAAATTTTCATCTTTTCTTCAGGCCAATGGAACGATCGTCGGTTTCCCCAATGCCACACCGTATGAAGGAAATATCCTGGAGGCTGAATGTGACATCCTGATTCCTGCTGCCAGCGAGAAACAGCTGACCAAGAGCAACGCACACAAGATCAAAGCCAAAGTAACACACATGGACCTACTCTGTCACACAAACACAAACACCATCTATATATCTATTTTTTACAGCTTCGATAAGAGTTTGTCAAAAGACATGTCAGATGTTGAATCTGAAACATTCTTTGATGAATGTTTATCCTGTGTCAACAACCCTTCTGTTCCCATCACTCTGTAAGCCTTAGTGAACCCAGCAGACCAGTTTCTGGAGGATAGAGGATGTCAGCTGCTCAACAGTTCAGGATCTCCTTTGTCCTGTTATTGGTGTCATGATGCTCCAAATGTTTCCAATGGGTTACAAGTCAGGAAAAAGTCATAGTTTGGATGATAGCAGAAGTTGTTCCTAAACCTGTAGATATTCACAGATGTGGCAGCTACTCATGACATGGACTCTGATGATCCCCATACAATCAGGGATTCTGGATTTGAGTTGGGAGCTGAGAACAAGCTTAGTAGTAGTAGTCTAAAGTTACTCTTTAGAGGGGGTCTCTGGTCCAGAGATGTCTCTGGTGTTTTTTTGGATCAAACAGTGGTTTTTGGAAGTGATTTTGAGCCAATGCAGTAATTTTAACTCCATAGTCCTGTCTAATTTCAATGCAGTGCTGCCTAAGGGCCTGAAGACCAGGACCCTTTTGTACTGAGATTTCTCCAGATTCTCTGAATCTTTGAATGATATCATGTACTTAAGATGATGAAATCCACTCATTCTTTCATGTTTTACACTGAGGAACATTATTCTGAAGCTGTTAAACTATTGGCTCACACAGCCTCTCTCAAAGTGGTGAACCTCTTCCCATCTCCTCTTCTGAGAGACTCAGCCTCTCTGAATGTCCTTTTCATACCCAGTCATGTGACTAACTTGTAGGAAATTAACCCCATCAGTTAGAGATCTTTCTCCAGCTATTTTAGAGAATTACACAACTTTTTACCTGTTTGGTTGCTCCTCTAACATTCTTTTTATTTCTCTGAATTATTATCCAGTTTAATCTGCTCTTTAACAAATTTCCTATTTACTGTTAATCTGATGAAACCTGGGGTCAGTGTGAGTTTTCACAATGTCAGTTAAACTGTAAAGTGTGTTCGAGGTCAGTTTGTCTTCAATGTTTCACTGATATGTACATGAAGACATCATGCTGTATTGAAGTTTCTATTGGTTAACAGTGAGATGAACTCTGGCGTCTGTAAACACACTGACTAAAAACAGTGTTATTTTAAATTAATCTGACTTTTGATGATGACTGTAGTTAAGGTAAATTTGATTTGATGAGAGCTGATTTCCCAGCATGCCTCAGTAAAGTGGCTTTGCTTCTGTTAAACTTTCAGATCATTGCAGAGGGAGCAAATGGTCCGACCACACCTGAGGCCGACCGCATCTTCCTGGAGAGGAACATCATGGTGATCCCGGTCAGAGACTTAAATGTCTTTATTTTAGTTATCAGCATTCAAATTAGGATTGTAACTCAATTTTCATAATTGATAAAAACACATTCTTCTGAAAATGATGATTTAATATCACTAAAATCAAAACAAACAGCTTTGAAACTGTTCAGCCTCTATAATGACAGTCAGATATCTGTCTCATCAAACTGTTTGATTTGTTTACTCTCTCATCTCAATACTAACTACTTATTTTACTTCTCTCCGTCTCTCCTCGTTTCCTCCTCTCTTTTTCTCTCTTTGTCTCCTTAAAACAGGACATGTATCTGAATGCCGGAGGTGTGACCGTTTCTTACTTTGAGTGGCTGAAAAATCTGAATCACGTCAGTTATGGCCGCCTTACCTTCAAATACGAGAGGGACTCAAACTACCACCTGCTGAGTGAGTCACACCAAACTACCACCTGCTTTATCTAACTACCTCTGATTTATATGAAAGTGCCACTTGCTGAGTAATTCACACCTGTTTATATCAAACCTATCAAAACTACCACCTATTTATAGCATACAACTGCCTGCTGAGTGTGTCACATCTGTTGATATTGAACTATCGTGTGTTGGTCAAAGATTAAATTCTTATGTTTTATCAAAGCAAACCATTGTTTAGTACATGATAAGAAAATAAAGTCTTAAGAACTTTGTTTTTAATGAACAGGTTTTCAAGTGTACTACCAGGTTTTAAGATATGAGGGCTTAAAATAATGAAGTTTATATTCAAATTTCACAATTTCAAACCAGATTATTGAGTGTAAAGTACGTTTTTGATAAGATCATGATTAGATTAAAATCAAGTTATAGAGTTTTAAGATGATGTTTATTGGGATTACAGTCTAGAGAATATTATCTGTGAGTTTTTTCAATATTGAGATTTTCTGTAACTGAACAATACACTTCAAATAATTACCTCATTTAGTTTATGTTAATGACATGTTTACTACAAACCAATACATTAAAATTACTACATATTAACTCCATAAAAACTAAAAGTCCACTCAATATTTACTATGTTGACTACATAATTACATGATTACCTAACAGTTACTTCAGTTGTTTTAAAAAAAATAAAAATTAGACACCCTGCTTGCTTTAAGAGTTTTTCAAATTAAAGTTTCTGCTGCTTAGAAAAGATCACATCCTGCTGCCTGAGTCTTTTATTGTGAAGGAGTCTGTTGATGTTTTTGTGCTGTGCTGATATTTGACTAGTTTTACTAGTTCAACTGAAGTTAGTGGCCCAAGTGTGATTTTACAGTCTTCAGGGTGTTGGTCAGAAGTTTAACCCCCCAACCCCTTGCTGTTTCTCCCACCCCCTCAGTGTCGGTTCAGGAGAGTTTAGAGAGGAAGTTTGGGAAACATGGTGGAGCTATCCCAATCGTTCCCACCTCAGAGTTCCAGGCCAGGATCTCTGTGAGTATATCCTCCTCTTCATCTTCATCTGCCTTCTCCTCATGATCTTCCTCGTCAACTTCTTCTCCATCATATTACTTAATCATCATCGTTACTTTCATTATCATCAACATAATTACCTACATCACCATTACCCTCCTAGTAATATCATCAGTACCTTTATCATCATCATAATCATCATCACTATTGTTCCTCTTCTGTGGTTTTGATGGTTGTCTGTTCTGTTCACAGGGAGCTTCAGAGAAAGATATTGTTCACTCAGGTCTGGCCTTCACCATGGAGCGCTCTGCCAGGGTAACAGACACACACCCACACACACACACACACGACACACACAAATTCCTAATCATATCACTCTTGTTTATGTTGTTGATCATATGTGAATTATGTTTTTTTCCAGTTTACCTTTATGACCCTAATTAACATAACTCTGCCTGTTTCTGTTTGCACAGCAAATCATGCGAACAGCCAACAAGTATAACCTTGGTTTGGACCTGCGGACAGCGGCATATGTAAACGCCATCGAGAAGGTGTTCCAGGTGTACAATGAGGCTGGACTCACCTTTACATAGAGTCACACTGCACACACCTATCTATCACTGTTACCTGTCTGCCTGTTACCTATCACCTGTCTGTTACCTTTCAGCCTGTTGCCTGCCATTGCTTTTACCTGTTGATCAGTTGTTCCTTGTCTCTGCAGGATGTCTTCCTCTCTCCTGTCAGTGTTTACGGTTTATTACAGCAGACTGAAGGAGGAGTGATAGACCGTCTCTGTGTTCATTCCTTCTGTTCACCTGTTCACCTTTCTCCTCTTCATCCTCATCTTCACTGTCTATGAAACTTAAACCAAACACAGGTGTGTAAGCGTTACAATCATAATCTGCTGCTCTGAACACATCTGATATAGGTCTTAATCTGAACACCTGGACACACAGGTGTTCAGCCTTAATGCTCAGAGGAACTCTGTCACCTTTACCTGCAGCACCATGTGGACGAAATTCCGTGGACACCTTCATCCCTCACCTGTGTGGAGCTCAGTGATCCATGTGTTTCTACACCTGAAAGGTTATTAAACTGAGCTCATGAAGGTGTTTCAGATGTTTTATTATCAGTGACTACTTAATGTTAGTCTGGTCAGATTCATGTTAGAAGTGGAGGCAGTTTGAAGGTGTCTACAGGCTTTTGTCCACAGAGTGTCCTCACCTGTCCTCAGTGACCAGCTGGTATAGATGACTGTTTTTTTTTATTAAATGCAGAGCACAGTGCCTCAGGTCTTTAGCTTTAATATTTACTGCCTTAAAACTCAGAGACACTTTATTAAGGGAGCATTCTGCTGTTTTCCTCTCTTAACTCCTAAATATCCCCAGATTTTATTCAGCTGCCAAAAAATACTTACAGAGAGCAAATTAATTTTGTTTTCTACTTTACAGAGACAAAACGTACTGTATTCTGCCAATGAACCGGCGCTGACTCTGTTTTCTGAACCATACCTCACACACTTAATTAATCCATCAGTCTGTAGTTAAATCACAGTTGTCTTGGCCTGCTGAGAAACACACCTAACCATAAACACAGGAACCTCTCAGCACCGACTCAGACACCTGACTGGATGGTTAAGGCATGAAAACAGCATGGAATGGTCCTTAATTTTTTCACTCTTTCAACATTTAGTTGACCTTAAACCAAAAAAACAAAACAAAAATGGACAGTTTACTGTTTTTAGCCTTCAGGTCACAGCACAGCTGTAGCTTTTGCTAATGCTTATGCTAGTCTATGCAGTAATTCTCTGCAGGTTGTTGCCTGCTCACAAACACACCACACAGACTGTCTGATCAGATTTTAGCACCAAGTGAAAAACAAACTCAGCCTGAGGGTCCACGCTCTCCTCAGGAACATCAGCAGAACTTTTATAGATATAGTGGGTCACACCCTGAGGATCAGTCAGCAGGTGTTTCTACCTGTCTGTCAGAGAAATCAGACTCTGGGATTGGTTGCCCAGGAGTCTGATTATATTTTCACTGTTAGAGTTGAGAAGTGAGAGTCTCATTTCAGAAAGTTAGTTTCACATTAAAACAAACTATTCCTCTTCAGATTATAAATTATTGATCATATTACAAATTTTTAAATAAGATTATAAACTATTGATCACATTACAAACTTTATTATCAGATTAGAAACTTAATAGGTTACAAACTTGAAAATCAGATTTAAAAAGCACTGATCAGATAACAAACTTCATTATCAGATAACAAACTTCATAATCCGATTATAAAGTCATTCAGACTATAAACTAAATGGTCAGATTAAAAAACTTTCAATCCGATAATCAACCCAGTGATCAATGAATGAAAGAGTTTAAAGATAATGATCAGATCATGAAGGTAAAAGTCTGATTTTTGAGTAAAAAATCTGGTTTTCAGAGTATAACATTTATGATGTGATTATGAAGTTTAAAACCAAGTTAAAGACAGATTATAGAGTTTGAAATTTTATATTGCGGTAAAAATGAGATTAATGAGTTGATAATCGGATTATGAAGTTTGAAGTTAGATTTTAGAGTTTGCGATCAGATTATTAAACTCATAAACAGATGAAAGAAGTTAATGAGGAGTTATTTTTTTTTCTCTTTCAAGGTTTTGTCCCGACTGCATTTGGATAAATGTGTTTAATCTGAACTTTTATTTTGGAGTGTGTAAACTCTGTGGTGATCTGCTCTGAGAGTCTGTGTGAGGGACTTTTTACTCCTTTTTGTTTAAATGACACAAAATAAATAAAGTTCAGAAAAACTGTTTTGTGTGCGTGTTTATGTGATGGCTCCATTTTTGTGAATCTACTTAAAGGTTATATCCAAATTTTCCTCAGCAGTGACTGTTTGAGTTTGGTGCTTCAATATTTTATTTTATTTTTATTTTTTTCAAACTTTTTTAAACTAATCTTTCAGGTGCCTGCCAGTTCTTTATCCTGACATGTTTAGAGGGTTTGACCCATCTTTACAGATTTTTTTTTTAACTCTGTAGTTCGTTCGTACCAAACCTTGGAAGGGATGCTCTTAACTTTTTATTTCTCAGAAACAAAACAAAACAGAAGAGCTACATTCAACTCTGAAAAATAAAGAGCTCTGATAAATCTCTGCAGCTAAATGTTTCAACCTTTTATTTAAAGTTACTTCTTCAGTACTCTGAATCTTCCTTTATAAAAGTGATTTGATAAACTACCTTAACCTTAAGAAACAAACGTTACAATCATGATTATCGAACACCTTGATATAAACTAAAAACAACTATTTTTCAGGGTATTTAGAGTGGGATATCTTTTGATGGTGCTATACTTTATGTCTGAACTTTGCTCTCAGATCAGAAACTGAGCAGAAATAAACATTTGGTTGAATTCAGACTAATCTTCAGTTGAATAAATAAATGAGTAATGGCACATGTTTGCACACCCGTATTATCTAATCATGTTAAACATAAATTATATCAAATATAGCGTTACCATTATCACCATTATTACGAGAATGTATCGAATATAATGTTCAATTTACACTAAATAACCAATTAGAGCACCCCGTCAGGTCTGACGTCTGACAGAATTCATGTAGCCTACAGTAAGATTCTTTTTTTTGCAATCCTTTTTGATAAAGTCTGAAGACTTTTCAAATTATGGATGCTTTTTTTTTTCTTTTGCCCTATTTCAGGTATCTTCAAATTCTGATTATAAGATTTTGAGCCGAAAGCAGGTTACCTGTGTCATTTTCAAGGCTTTTCCTCTGCAAAGGTATGAGACGTAGAAAATCCCAATGTGCCGCTTGGGTCTGCGAGAGGTTCACGTCTCTTTGAATACAGAAATACTCAGAAATGTAATTTTACACTTCGTTTTCTCATGATATGTTCTTTAGCACCAGAAAAACGCCACATGAACATGTAGACAACAAGGAAAACATAATTTGCATTGGAGTGGGTCTTTCCTTGAGCACCGTCTCCTTCAGCACTGTCAGTTGGGCGGAGCCTAATCTCTTCTAACCAATCGGCGGGCTGTATTTGCCACGTTGTGCCGGAATTCCCCCTCCAGCTCCGGGGCTTTCCACTCTGACTGACAGGCTGAAGGTTGTCATGACAACCTTTCCGGGCTGGGTCAGATTTGTGTAGATCACTACGGAAGTCTTTTCTTGTAGGGAGTGGTGATCTTCAAAGTAAAAGTTTCTCGGTGCAAAGCTAATTCAAAGCTAAAAGTAAAAAAAAAAAACATCAGGAAAATGTTCTGGCAGAAAGAGATTGAAGGCTGGTTCAACAAATTATTTTTTAATTCGTATTATACAGCTTACAATCTTCTGCGTTTTCCCTTTTGACATGTTTCACACATTTTTATCTACCCCTTTAAAGCCAAAGTGGAATTCATCATCTATCTGAGGAGTGAGCTCACTAATAACTTAAATCCAAACAAACAAAAATTTGACATTTTTTTCGTATCAAACTCTGAAAGGTACTTCGGAGTAGCCCTATCTTTTCCCCCTCAGAAACAAAACAAAAATCAGTGTCTAACATGTCTTTGTTTCGCATTAAATCAACTGTTAAGAGAGCATATTCATACCTGTTTACACATGTCTGACCCATGAAACTGTCTCTTCATGTTTCTGTCCTGTGTCTCAAGGTATGTTTTCAGTTTTATATTTTTATATTATTATTTTAACCCTAGCCCTTCACAACAACAACACTAAATGCACTCAATAATAATAATAATAATGATAATGATAATAATAATAATAATAATGATAAACTATTATTTACATTATTAATTTACTACTACTACTACTACTACTACTACTACTAATAATAATAATAATAATAATAATTATTATTATTATTATTATAACAATATAATTATGATCATTATCATTATCATAATCATTATCATTATAATTTACATTTAAAATATATATACATATATATATATATAAATGTATGTATTTTTTTTTTTTCCCCACGGGATGTGAAAATATTTTTGATGAATAAATTTGTACATTGTTAAACAGAACCCGTTTTATAGAAAAATATTCAATGAGTTTGATTTTTGTCACTGGATTGGTTGAGCAGACTGGTATAAGGAACATCATTATTTGCATATTTAAGATCAGATTTTAAGAAACTCACAAACAGAGATTATCATTTTTTTTCGAGGAAAATGTTCCAGTTCAGCTAGCTTTATTTTGAAAATACTTGCAGGAATAGTCCTCAAGCGTACAACTGTGGGTATGGGTTTGACAGAAGTCAGTAGTTTGATGTTTTTGTAAAAACGGACGGACAGAACAGCTGCAGACAGGTAAAACTCACCTTAAAACTTTTTTTTTAAAACGCTTACCTTTACACTTACTTAACCAATAATCGATAATCGTAGATTAGCTGCTGAAACTGAGAGATTTTATTTGCAGCAGCTGATCGTGTTCGTGTGAAGGAGAAATATGAAACTGACTGGTTTCGAAGTTAATACTTGGTCTGAATTTACTTCGATTTTAGCGAAGACGGTGGATTTTGATTAGATTGGTGATTTCAGGTTAGACAGAGAGGGCTTATGATGCTGAACTGTCTGCCGTTAGATAGTTCAACACCTCATGACATAGCTGAAGGTTTTTAGCGTTAATCTTCCGAGCTAATCAAACTCAGGATGTTTGATATTAGAGGTTTGATTGCTTGTTCGATTCGAGCCTCAACTCTTGCAGCCTCTCCACCTAGGACGAGCTACTCAAAACAAGTTATGACAACAAATGCGATCGTAGAGGGTTTATGGTCCGTGATTTATGAAGATTATATGTAGAGTCAAAGATCAAACCTCTTCTAATCGTCAGTGTTTATGTTTTAATGTGTCATTGTGTAAAAGTGTGTGATCAACAGCATGTGGGGTGAACTCAGTCCATCACACACTCAGGAGGAAGTGATCAGCTGTTTGATCAGGTTGTGCAACTGAGAGGAAAAGTACCAAACACACTCACAGCTCTGTAAAAAATCCACAGTTTGATTTCAGGACTTTTTTTCCTCTTAACCTTTATTTACCGCTGTATTACTGTTTTCATGTTTATATTAAAAGTTTTGTTTTTCCTCTTTGATTCTGGGGTTCTCTGTTTAGCTGTATTATTCTCTGTCAGATAAACCAAACCAGGTTAATGTATTTTAAGTATTTCGTTTAACTTAGTGTTAGGAGGCTCTGTTTAATGATTGACGAAAGCTTAAATCCAAAAATACAGAATTACAGAAAGTACAGTTCTTTACATTAGACATGAAACTAAAGAAATGGTGATCAGCTGAGGGAAAAATTATTAACCATCTGGATTTCAATGATTATTCAATGTCTGTAATTTCTCTTGTGACCAACTTTTTTTTTTTTTTTAACAAAGTTGCAGGTGACTGCACCTGATAGTTCTTGTCAGGAACAGTTCATACGCTCATGTTGGTTTAGTGTTGACAGTAGGAAAAACAAAATATAAGAATAAGAAGACTTCATTTATCCCCGAAGAAAAATTCAGTTGTCTGTTGTCTCACATAATATGTCTCTGAAAGTTATCTACTATTTACACAAGCGTTATAAAGTTTTATGGCTGTTTGTACAAAAGATCTTCTGATCAGCATGGACCTGCAAGTGCCTAATTTTCCTAACATCCTTGTTCACTGCGATGTTGGGATGGAAACGCTGTAGACCAGCCTGAGACATTAACATGTTTACCGTAGTGTCACTGGGAAGATGGGAAATGTTTGAAATTATTCCCTGTCGTTTGCTCCAACATAATGTCTGTGTGTGTGTGTGTGTGTGTGTGTGTGTGTGTGTGTGTGTGTGTGTGTGTGTGTGTGTGTGTGTGTGTGTGTGTGTTTTCAACTTTTTAATCGCTATTGTTTATTAAGCATAGAGACTTCAATTTTAACCAGTCCGAATTCTATATTCAACAAACCTAATCAGACTGTGAGGTTTCCTGTAAGAGCATGTTGTTTGTTCAGTTTGTTCAGTTTGAAATCGAGGATTGTCCCTGAATAATCAGAGAGGAGGAGGAGAGGTGGAAATTCCCTCTGATGTTTTTAGATATGACTCTGTCACACACGCACACACAAACAGTGTGATTGGTGATAAACTCTTGATTTGTCGTCTGCAGGAAAATCCCAGGGGGAGGAAGAGGAGAGCTGAACCTTTATCATCTTCAGTTGAGTGTGCAGGGTCATGGCTGGAGCTCTCAGGTACAGTTCTCAGATTATTTTGTTAGAAAAAGCGTCATTTCAGGCTGCTATTTTAGGACCTTTTTGTTAATTGTTTTGTATCTGAAAGTTTGTGCTTTTTAATCTGCCAGTGTCAGATCTGTTTGCAGATAACAAATTATTATGTGGATTTTAGGGATGAATTAAAGCTGGTGTATAAATATGTAGTCAGAATTATGTTAACTAATAATAGTTCAGATAATACACTTGTGGTTTGGTTTCTTTTCCAAAAGGGATGTCAGGTTTTGATTTATCAGCCCACAGGGCAGTTTTCATCTTCCTCTCAGTCCATCATGAAAGGGCTCAGGTCCAGAGAAGTCTCTGGTGCTCCTGGATCATGTTTATATTATTTGGCTGTGCATTGGGCTACCTTGGCTTTTGTTTTGGAGTTATGAAATTTCTGATACAGTTTTTTCATGAAAAGTCCCTCTGTGATCGACAGGCAGTGGTATTGATTTATGTTTCAATAACATTTGTCCAGTCTTTGGTGGAAATAATGATTCTTAATTCTTTTTCCCCCATTTCATTTTTACATAATATACTGAATAACACTTTAATTCAGCTACATGCATCAGTCACTGATGATCTTTCTGGACAATTTGGTTTGATAAGCATTATAGGCATTTGTAACATTTGTCTGATTCTTGAAAGGTTTGTTTTATGTCCTTAAACATTTTTATCAAAATAATGTCAGGGTTGGAGAAACTTATCAAAATCCTGTTGAGCAACATGTTCCTGTTCCCTCCTTTTCATGCATTGCTTGAACCCTTCTTCGTTAATAGCCAGTTTAGAATCAGGGCCATGTTTTAGCTATGTTAGGATTCCAAGTTCCATCTGAATAATAAACTGAGCCAGTTTACTTTTCTAAGGAAAACCAAACCGACCAACTCTGAATATCATGCTGTTCAGTTGATTGTAGGCATTCTTGCAAATTCCATGTGGGACTGTCCAACATTGAGAGTTCCATGACTTCTCATCTTGCTAAATATTTTTGATTGCACCAGAGCAATTATCTGACAACTTTTTACATAGGCCTATTTGGTTGCTCCTGTAACTACATGTTGAAACACTAAAATGAAAATGTGACACCTCGTAAAAGCTGAGATAAACAGATAATGATGTTTTTACATTTCTAGTCTAAACTAAATTAGAACAAAGACTTGAGATCAAATGTTGAAACTAGAAAATGTGTTTGTTTTATTAAAAAGTATCTGCACAACTCTTATGGAGCTGGAGTTGTGAAATCGCCACTTCATCTTTGAGTACCTCTCTCAGTACTTCATCTATGACCATGTACTGAACCCAATGACCCCTATCAGAGGGCCTGTTCGGAGACACCCTTTAGACGACTGTAGTAACAGACATGTGACGTGTCTGTAAAGATCAGAAGAGTTAAGCCTGAACCCAAACTCCCTGTGTAAGCTCGTCTGCAGCTGTGATTCTGTCTTTGGACCTTTGAAGAAGTGATGAGGGTGTCTCAAAGAAATACTGACTGACTTGTTTAAGAAAAAATGATAGATGATCACAGGTCGCAAACCAGCCTGCTGTGGGTTTGTGTTGATGAAGTCATGACCTCTTACATAAGAGTGAATTATTAGATTTGAAAAAGTTATGAAGGGATGTTAATGAGTCATTATATATGAACAAGATATGTTTATGAGGTCCCGGGTATTTCATTTATGAGTGCTGTCATTGGCTACTGATTATAAGGGGCTGCCCCTGTGGGGGTTAGGGTTTGGTAGTGCAAGTACACTCTGAGTCTGACTCTGCAGTCAGACAGAAAGTCACAGAAACCACCACTGAAGAAACGGAGCCACTGGAGGTCTGAGTTTGTTTGTTTGTTTTTCTGTACGTCTGTTCTCAAAGACTGCAGCATCTGTGTTCTGTATAGAGGAGGTAAACATGGCGGTTATTGAGTGTGAGGTTCTCATGCACGTTTGCAGTTTCCCTTGTTTAAAATTGTAAAGTTTACCTTCCTGAAGTGAGTTTAGTGGTTTATCAGAGAGACAGACAGAGGCAGGAATGAGTGAACTCTAACAGCTCTGAAGGATGAACTATCAAATTAGGTCTGATCCAGAGAAGAAATGGTGAGTGGAGATTTACCTGAGGACGAACAGGTGGTCTTTGTCCTCACTGCTGGCTCATTGGTGGTGTTGCTCAGGACGCAGTTAGAGGTGTGGTAGGACTCAGTTTGTCTTTACTGACCACACCTGCTGTTCTGTAAGGTCAGTGTTCATGTTCTCTTCAGTCCACCTTTGGCTATCTTCTCTAATCATCCATCCATTAAGTGAAGAGTGCACAGGTCATTCAGTCTGATCCTGTTTGCCAGTGTTAATTTATCTGTTCAACTATCACCCTCCTGGACAAGAGGCGAAGCCACATATTTAGAGGGATCTGTGTTACAGTCTGTTCATTTGAAAACAGACCAAATACAACTAGCTGGACAGAGCTGGCTGCCGTAACAAGAGGACTGTTTTGCTTCCTGCTAAGCCCCTCTCATCAAAATCCATGACTATGTGAATTTACTCATTTTAATCTGCAGAGGGAAAGTCCTGCCTTTCTTCCTTAACTTGTGGAGTTGATTCATGACAAATGTGTTATGTGTTATGATGCAGCCTTCGTGAGAGGAGTTGAGCTGCTACAGCTGATTTAACCCTGATTGTGATTAACATAGTCCGACAGAGTATTGTTGGATGAGTGCATGTACAGATGTCTAACTTTCACCTCATCCAGAGGTGAGTTGTTGTCACGATCACTGAAGAGTTTGACCAAGTACAGTTCCCTTCTGCTAATAACAGCAGATGGTACAAATCTCACTGACTGTGCTTGCGGCTGTTAGCTCTGGTGTTAGGTCGTGAAGTTCGTTTGCATGTTAGCTCTACATGAATGTTTAATGGCTCATTAAAACTCAGCTAACTATACAGCAGGAGCTCTCACTTCTATAGGCTGGAGCACTGACCCTGAGGAGTTGAACAGAGTTTATGCTAAAACAGCACAGTGAGGAGAAAGGGCTTCTGTTTATATGTGCAGGTATCATCCCTACCTGTCTGTTTGTCTGTCCACCGTCATTACTCTTGGTTCTATCACACTACATCCTAAAAATGCCTAAAACACAGCTGTCAAAGCACAGGGTTATAGATCACATCACGTCATAGCTCACAAATTAAATTATCATTGATTATTTTAACTAAAAATAATAATATAAAAAAAACAGGTAGATTATAACATGTCAGATTCAAACATTAGTTTATTTCATGTCAGATTTAAACATAAATTTATTTCATGTCAGATTAAGATGCTGTATTTGGTAGATTATCACATGCCAGAATAAATACTTAGCTAAACCAGCATGTTGCAGGCTCCAGCTTCATGTTAATCGTTGTTAGAGTTTATCACAGATCAGAATCAGATAAACAGAGTAAAACTTAAAATCTTAAAAACTTTCTTTTTCTCCTCCCTCCGTCTCTAACCATTTTGTTCTCTCCTCTCTCTGTCTCTCCTTTTTTTTCCCTCCTTCCTCTCTCTGTCTCTCTCTTTTCTCTCCTTCCCTTCTTCCTACCTCTCACTAGTTTTTTGCTGGTTCCGTTTTTTTCACCCTGTTCAGTCAGCTGCAGCCATGAGGTCACAGTTTAAGCTCCACCCCCTTTGTGCTGGTCTGGAATTCTGGGGGTTTTCCTCCTCACCGCCACTTCCAGGAAGTGACTGAAAACAGAGCAAGTGGTTAGAGGGGAGGGGAAGAACGACAGAGAGAGAGAGCGAGAGGGTGAAAAAACAAACAGAGGTAGAGCGAGGTAGTGAGTGAGTGTCTTTCCCTCTCTGTCTCTCTCTGGCAGCTGAAAGTGAAACAGATGCAGGTTTCATTTTGTCGTATGTTCATCCGTTTGTTTGTCTGAGCACTCGTTCAGAGAGTCAGGACAACCATTAAACACAGACAGGTTGGACACACACTTTGTATTTGTGTGTACACTCTCATTAGTAGGTTGCAGCCTCTGAAGCCTCTAACTCTCTTTGTTTGTTTGTTTGTTTTCTTTCCCAGGATGACTGAAGCTCAATACATCAGCACCTATGACAATGATGTGAGTTTGATTTATTTCTATGGATTTCTACTGGTTAAATTGGTTGAACTGGTTGAAGTGGTCAGAGGGTTTAATGGTTAACTTGGTTAATACTTCAAACCGGTCAACAGGATTTTACTCAGCTCTTTTGTTGTTTTCACAGTTTGATGTTTAAGAAACTCTTAGCCCATCCTGATGGTGTTATAATCAATGCAAATGTGAAGTGGATGGGGTTTAAACTTTAGAGTGTGAAATCATCTTCAGTTTAATGTAAGTTTACTCCATCAGCCCTCAGAGACCATCAGCTAATGTAGTGACAGAAACATCCAGCAGGTCATTATGAGAAAAATTCATCATCACTCATATTCAATTCACATTAAATTTACAAAGATTTAAGATTCAAAAAGACATACATAACTCAGATGCAGACCAGAAAAACATTCCATCTTTAGCTGATTTAAAGTGAAACTGTTTCATGTGTCATTTCAGGGTAACTCTCAGTGTGGGAAATTTGAATATCTTTTCCTGTAAATTCTCCTCTGGCTCTTCTGCTTAAAATGAAGTTTGTCATGCTTCTCACATATCAGACATTTATAAATTCTGAGATTCATTGAAAAGTTTAACATCCTTCATAAGTGACTTATATTTACCAAAAAACTTGATTCCAAAATATAAATACATAAAGCACTGTAATGAGGTGAAACAAGGGAAATTAGACAGAGAGGAATACAAGAGATTTCATATTTATTATTCAGTTATTTTCATATTTTTCATTTAGTTTTTGGAGCCAGATGTATCCTTGTAATGTCAAAATCTTTGAAAATAAAACAATGTAGTTTACAATACCTGAGGAGTATAAAGGCAGCAGACACAGGCACTGAAGTCTGAGACAAACCAAATTGGGATAATGAAACAGATCAAAACAGTCAGAGACAGATTGGGGATGAATTCTAATTTAAAATAAATAAATCACACTTTTAATACTGATAGACTTTACTACAAAAATTCAGAGAAGGTAAATGTTTACAACTTTTAAAACAGTGAGTATTCAGTAGCATCACACGGTAGAAACAGATCAGTGTGAGCTGAGGAAACCTTATAATTATTTTGTATTTCGGTGTAACTTTACTGGAGACACAGAACTCACAGAGAGTCAAAGGAAAACAGAAACCCCTGAAAAAAGATCATCATTCCTATTCAATTTCACCTGAAGAGGAGGTATGAATATTAACCCAGGCAGTCGTATTAAGTGACAGCAGCTGTTGATTTTGATTTAATATAATTTACTAGTTTAAAGATTCACTGTGAGAAAGCAAAGTTCTGATTTAGAGCTCTATCCTCACACTGACCTCACAGACAGAGACTTAATTCATGGACAACACAGATATCCTGAACACTGACTGACTGAAAGGTCATGGGTGGATGGATTGATTGATTGATAATTTACTTGGTTGTTTGATTGATTCGTTGATTGATTGGTTTGTGTTCAGCTGGTGAATCCTTGTCTCTCACTTTGATGTGATAAATGTTTATTTTTTCTTCAGCTGCAGATGAATCTGATGCAGTATGGCTACATCCCTCCAGTGGACATCAAGACTGAGCCCTACATACCTGAGACAGGTACACACACACACACACACACACACACACACACACAAACACGCACACACAGGAAAATAACTTCAGGCCTTTACAGCTCTGATTCAGTGTTTTGTTCTTTCTTGTTGTCATTTGAAATGTTAGTGTATTGTTAGGATTATTTTACTTTTTAAGTGCTCTTATTGTTGTCCATCTCTTGGCCTTGGTTACTCTGGCTAGGTCTTTGTGTTGTTCTGGTTTTGATGGTGTGCATGTTGGTCATGTTGGCTGAATTTTCAATCAGTCATCAATCAATCTTTATTTTTCTCGTGCCAATTCAAATCAAGTGTTATCTGCAGACACATAATGAAAAAAACCTTCTCTTCATGACCTAATGTGAAGATGAAAAAAGATCAAGTCTCATCGTGTTTCCCATTCAGTTCAAAGTAAATTAAAAATTTCATTAAGTTTTATTTGATATGATAGAGATATTACAGACAAATTAGTCCTTCAGACAAACGTTACAGGACAGTTCAGGACTCTTCTCTCACAAAGCACTGTTGTTTCCAGGAATGATTAGATCTTTGCCAAATAGAGCTGAACAATTTTAGTAAAGGTTGAATTGCAATTTTTCTAGCAAAAATTCACGATTTTCTTCAAATCAAGCTGCAGTGCAACATTCACAATGTGTACAGTAACATTTACAAATCAAAACATAAAAAGCCAGTACTTCAATGCAAGAATGAAAACTAAAGGTAAGAATTGTGTGAAGCCAATTTTCCAACTTAAAGAAAATGGGGTCATCCCTAGAGGTGATGTGCTCAAGAAACTGCCTACACCACAAAGACTTGGTGGTTCAACCAGAAGGGAGCATAAATTCATATTCCCCTGCAGTATTGTTGATTTGTAGCTTGGTTTGGAGAATTGCAGCTGATTATGTTCTAAACGTGCTCATGACTGTTCTCGGGGATGCATCCTAAACTATATGTACATATTTTAGTTGGAGGTATTTCTGTCATCCCCTTGCTTTAAAGACTGGCACAACGCACCCCACTCTCCCCTATTGTGTGATGGCAGTCGTTATCTCACCGACTTTTTCATCAAGTACTGCTCATGCAAGTGCCTGTGGCGGTTTTTCAAGTGCCGGTATAAATTGGTTGTGTTTCCGCTCGATGTAGCAACTTTTGCACGACAGGTTTTGCACAGTAGCCTGCCTGTTTCTGGTGAACGTCTGCAGCCTCAAACATTCTCCCAAATGACCGCCGTGTCTCTTTTCTTGGGGATCAAATCCCCTAACTCCGTTTGTGGTTTCGCTGAAGCCATTAAAAAAAAAAAAAAAAAAGCTCACGTTTCAAATCACAGAGAGAAGGTTAATACGAACTGGTTAATGTGACCTGTCCATGAGTAGCATATGCCACTTCTAACTGGTGAGTTTGGCAGGATGGTGGGGAGATGGCATGTATATGTAAAATAGTTGACACACAGCAGATCCTGAATCAGTCAGGAGTGCAGCAAAAAAAAAAATGCAGCGTTGGTGATCACATGATCATGCTGTCAATTTCAATCAGAAATCCAGGTCCTCAGTGTCAGGCTGAAGTGTTCAACCTTCAGATCAAAATAACCCAACTGGAGAAAGCTCTCCCAGGAACCTCTGTGTCAGTGCCAGGAACAAGAGCATACCTTTGAGGACTCCTGACAGGGACTTAATAACAGCGCTGTGAACTTAAACTTTACTAAGCATGTGCAGCTTCCTCTCAGTCTGAACCTGGAACCATGTACTAGATGTCTGACACTGGTACCTGACTGAAAGTTCTTGCTCTGAGTGTGATGGTGTGATTTCTCAGGGATGTCCAGTCCCTGTATTTCCAGGAAAACACTGCAGGTATGAGAAGTGTCCCCGTCTCCACAGCACAGTTTACCATGAGTTCACTCAACATAAGGGGCTTTCACAGCTCCTCCTGATTCATCAGACAGTCATCCAACAACCTCTTCTCATCTGGAAACAGGTCCTCAGATACCCCAGACCTATTTTTACCAGAATTACATTGAGTCTGAGCAATGACTTTAGATGTCTTGGAGCTCTATCTGAGAGCCCGAGCTGAACCCTGATGACCCCCTGTCAGGTGAAAGTCAGACCAGCTCAGCCATCTGTGTGACCCTGACACTAACACTTGAGAAAGCAGACATACTTTCTAACCAAGCAGCAGGGAAACACCTGGACTTTGACTGGCTCCCAAATATCCTGATGACAGACTGGAAGCTGACAGTGGAACCTGTAGCTCTTTGAACCCTAGAAATGCCCGGTATTCTGACAGGTATCAGATATTTACTCTGCTTCTCTGTCTGTTTCAGCTCATGGCCCCTACATCCAAATCATCGAGGAACCCAAACAGGTGAGAGCTTACCTGCTGACACCATCTCTAAAACTGACTCACTTAAAGGTTGACATGAACTGCTTAATGATTTAACAGTAATAAATTGGAGTGGTCACATGACCTGAAGAGACCCACAGTCACATGACAGTCAGGGACTTTCTGTCCCCTAACGATCTTTCAGACTTTCTGCTTTAAAATGTTACTAAAACAGAATCTGTTGGTTCATAAATCATCGAAAGTCTGTTCTACTACAATATAGGACACTGACAATAGATGAACTGATGAAACTGAAAATGTTTTTTTTTAATGAAAAATCTTTGCTCATTCTTAATTTGGTGTCAGCAACTTGTTTGTAAAATGTAGTCACAGTGTCATGTTTATCACTGTGTGTCATCAGCCTTTTTTTAAGCAACATTTGAGACTCTTCTACTACAGAGCCATGATGTTGTAATCCCTAAAGATTGTGGCTTGCCATTGTCTTGCTGAAATATGAAGGATGGCAGCAGATGTTGTTCCTAAACCTGTAGATATTGTCAGATTCTGATTTTGGCAGACCATTTTTCTGTTTCATTTCATGGTCATGAACTTTGTGCTGATAACAAGCAGGATGGTCCCTCCATGCTTTAGAGCAGCCTCCATGATCTCCAAAGAGAATGTTAAATTCCAGTTTATAAAATCTCATGACACTTAAAACACAAATATTTATCTTTAGGGCCAGTACTAAGTACAGATCTGATGCCAATGCACAATAATAGTCATATAGAGAGGAGGATGTAACGTCCACAATGTCCAAAAAGAATGTCCAATTCTGATGCATCAGACCACAGCACTGTTTTCCTTTTCCCCTTAGTCCATCTTAAATGGGCTAGCATCCACAGAAGTCTCTGGTATTTCTGAATCATATTTCTACCTGGTGTCCTCTCTGCATGGTCCAGTCTGAACCTCATTTGTGGATTCAGTGATGAACTGCGTTCATAGACAGTGGTTTAAGGGCATAAATTCAGTAACAGTAAAACAGACTGTTCAGTAAATCTGTTTGTTTTGTGTCCCAGAGGGGTTTTCGTTTCCGTTATGAGTGCGAGGGTCCGTCCCATGGTGGGCTCCCGGGGGCTTCCAGTGAGAAGAACCGCAGAACCTACCCAACTGTGAAGGTGAGAAACAGTGACATGCGCAGCATCAGGTCACTAACCTCTGCTTCATCTATATGCTGTCTGCACAGAATATGAGCCAATAAATACATAGTTTCTGTGGCTCCTGGAGGACCCTGGTGCTATGATCATGATGTCAGAGAGTCTTTCAAAAAATCCAAATAAAAGTTATTTTACATGATAGTTAACATGAAGAAACATCTACTGGTTTTGTTGAAGCTCTGAACCTTTTAAAAACATGTCTGACAGTCTGTGAAGATAAAGAGTGTTCAGTTTGTGATGGGATGATAAAAAGTTTTAGGATAAAAAACTGCTGTTATTACTACACACTTAAGATGTTATCACTGTACCATGAAAAACAGATAAAGACAGCAGGTTATGAACAGTATGGTCAAGATCAGCTGTTTTAATAATGGTGTTGTGAGATAACATTTGTTGTGAGTTGAGCCTTGATAAATAAGATTGATTGAAAATGGGGCTGCTTATTGGGATTGTTTCGAAGGGGATTACAGCATGTAAATGAACATGTTCATCAAAGGCCAGAAGCTCCCAAATATTTCCAGTTTAATGTTTTAAAGTGAAGCAAAGATCTTCTCTGACACAGTCATCTAAAGGTATTTGTGATATGAAACCTCCAGCAGGAGGACCCTTCTCTGGACTGGAACTATTGAGGTGTATACCCTTACTGGAGTGTTTTTCTAATACTTCAAACCCCTTCACTGCTTTAAACAGAGTTTCAGGGGTTTGTATCTGTGTTTGAATCCTTCATTCAGAGATCCGGATCTTTGTGCTGTGTTTCAGATCAATAACTATGTGGGTCACGCCAGGGTGGAGGTCCAGCTGGTCACTCACACTGACCCTCCCCGGGTCCATGCCCACAGTCTGGTGGGACGCCACTGCACTGAGAATGGCACCTGCACGCTAGACGTTGGCCCTAATGACCTCACAGCCTCGTCAGTATCCAATCAAAACACTGCTTCTGTCTGAATGCTCAGATGTATAAAGCTAGTTCCTTATTAGCCAGGACAGACAGAAGCACTTGAAATAAAATGGAATAAAATAATAGTGAAGTAAATATTAAAGTAAGATCATTTAAAATAAAATGATAATAATAATAATGATAGTTGTCATTATTGTGATACTGACCTGTAATGTCTCTTCCTGTAGCTTCAGTAACCTGGGGATACTCCATGTGACCAAGAAGGGTGTGGTGGATGTCCTGAGCAGGAGGCTGAGAGAGGAGAGGAGGAGGCAGAGAGGAGCGCACTGTCACCTGTCAGGTAAACAAACCAACAACAATGAGTTTCTTCATAAATCTCTATACACGAGTTTGGATCGTTTCACCTGTTGATTTAGTCTGACTGTTTACAGTGAAGATTTTTTGCAATCTCCCCCTCCTCCTCCCTCTCTGTCCTCCCTCAGAATCAGAGGAGAACTCCATCCAGAAGGAGGCGAAGGAGCTGGGGAAGATGATGGACCTAAATATCGTCAGGTTAAAGTTCACCGCTTTCCTTCAGGACAGTAACGGCGGCTTCACCAGAGCACTCAAACCGGTGGTGTCCAACCCCATCTACGACAGCAGTAAGTTCCTCTGCCTGAAAACAAAAGAATGAACACTGTAATGGACATTATGAAAATGGAGATACAAACCAATCCTATATCAAAATATTCAATCTGTAGAGCTGAGGACAAGTTATTTAGCCTAACCTCTCAATGTCAGAAATACCGCAGCTTCATTTGTTTAACTGTGAACTAGAGTTTTGACCTTCATTTATAATGAGACAAACACTGAGGTCACAGGCTGAGGGGCTGGGTGAGTGGTGGTCCTATCAGCTCCTGTGTGTCTGCAAGCAGTTCTTCCTGCTGATCAGACGCTCTGGAAAAAACACCTCGCTCAGCCCTCCATCACAAAGAGCACACAGAGGAGGATGAATGAATGAATAAAAGTTCCTTACTGTAGGATATGAGTTAATCATGATCACATGAACTCACCATCAATCATCTTGTTTTCTTCTGACCTGCAGAATCACCGAATGCCTCTAACCTGAAGATCTCTCGGATGGATAAAACCTGTGGCTCTGTGCTTGGAGGAGATGAGATCTTCTTGCTGTGTGACAAAGTCCAGAAAGGTGAGAACTCTGAGTATAGATCACCTCTACATGTCACCAGGTCAAGTTCTGCCCTCAGAACATCAGCTGAACTAAACCCTAGTGGTATGTTTCTGCCCTCCCTCCCTTGTCATATCATTAACATATATGAACTGGATGGGAGGTGTGCTCTTCCTGCCTTGGGCTTCATCTTCCTCTTGTGCACATAAAGGGCAGGGAGTGGTCAGAGCAGAGCCATACCACTGAATATAAATAATTGTATTAAATTAATGACTGCCTTTGAGTAAGGCAGTCCTGACTGAGACTGCAGAGACTTTGAGGTGGAATAAAAAGAGTATAACAGTTTATAATTGTTCTTTAATGTACCAGGAGTATGCTTATGTTTGTGATGACCTCTTAGAAATCCAGATAAAATGATAGATCAGATGTTTCTTATCTATGATTCATATTATGTCATCTATTATGATATTAAATCAAACCATTTAGTCAAAGAAACCAGCGAAATCACTCTTTTTCTATATTTTCCTTGACAGAGCTACTGCTATAAGACAACAGGTTAAAATTCTGGTTAAAAAGTACTATGTGCATGTATACAGGGTGAAACTATACAAGAAGTTCCCTTTTGTCCACAGGGGGTGCCAAAGTCGAAACAAACCGAAAGCTCTGCACAGGAGCTTTGAAGGTGTTGTAAGAAGTTATTAAGAGGCTGAGAGACAGACTGAAGCTGAAGCTGATGACTCTCTATAACCTTTAGCCATCAGCAGCAATACTCACAATTTGTCTGTGATGATTTTTAATTCCTGAAACTGCTGTGAGGGGGCGGGGTCAGACTGCATGATTGACAGCAGGCTGACGAAACAACCTGATTTCCATAATAACTATTCACAGAGTGATTCATATCACTGATAACTGAATGAAAGACAATCAGTTTGTCTGAAAACTCAAATGTCAAGTTTACAAAAGAAAAGAGGAATCACTTTGTCCACAAGGGGCACCTAAACCAACATGAAAAGGACGTTTCTCACACATTGTAATTTTAAAACATTTTTATAATTTAATTTACCCATAGTCTGCATATAGAATGGACGCCGTCTGCCTCCTCACTGGGTAAAGCCACCCCGAGAACAGCACCCTTTGGTGACGGGCTGCAGTATAGTTCATAAATCCCACCTCCTCCAGCAATTCCTATGGAGCTGTGGACAAACTTGAGAAATTTATTACACAGAATATAAATTTTTCTCCCCCTGGTTGCAGTGTTGACATTTATTTACTCTCGGCCCTCTTTTTTTTTCTGTACAGCTCCATTTTTAAAAGTTATTAGGGGGTTCATGTTTTCTATGATTGACACTTGATACAGCCTATGAGCGTACTGAGATTGCGTAGCTGCTTGAGCCGAGCGTCATCACAGCGACTCTCGACGACTCTCCCGCTGAATGCGTACAATGCTACTGCGCAATGTTGGCTTCAAATCTATGTACTGGTGCAAGGCGGAACGAAGTTGTCCATATACAGTCTATGGTCTGCCACTGCAGACATTTCCCATCATGCCTCTGCCCTGTTTATTTCAGATGACATTGAGATTCGTTTCTATGAAGAGGACGAGGAAGGTGGCTGGGAGGCCTTCGGAGACTTCTCACCTACAGATGTTCACAAACAGGTACACAGTCAGTGAGTGTGCGCGTGTGTGTGTGGTTGTGTGTTTTCCAGGCTGCACACACACGCTGCCTGTTTCTTAAAGCACTGTTGAAGTGTAAGATCAACAGCTTTATGGTCTGTTCATGTTCAAGTATTTAACACGATTAACCTACAAGATAAAAGTAAATTGAAAATTAATATTTTATATGAGGAAGTGTTAAAAAGGAATGATTTGGGTTTTGTTCTGTGTAAATCATCCTCCTGAAACTGTGTCAGGAAACGGATCTGTGGAAACACTCTCAGATAGTCTTCTGAGTTTAAGAATGACTCAAGTGTTTTTCTTAAAGTCAAGTTTCTGGTTATTTTTACCCTGTTTCCATGTACGTCTGTGTGTTGTGTTCATACATCTGTAAACAAACTGATGATGCTACTAGATGTCCAACATGTGGAAGTGTATTTATTTACAGACAGAATTGTGGGCTGAAAGATTAAAGAGAGGGATACAGGATACCACAGAGGCCCATGTAATAACAAATATGAGACTAAGAACTAAACTCAGAGCTCAGAAACTGTAGATAGAGCCCAAACTTTAGAGATTCAGTCTGTATGTTCGCCCTGCCTCTAAATAACCCAGTCAGTCTGACTGCAGTCTGAGAGTCTGTGTTTTTCTCACTCAGCCTTCACAGCCTGTCCTCCTTCTCTCTCTCCTCAGTATGCTATCGTCTTCAAAACACCACCCTATCACAGCGCAGAGATCGAGCGGCCTGTCACTGTCTTCCTGCAGCTGAAGAGGAAAAAGGCTGGAGACAGCAGCGACCCGAAGCAGTTCACCTACATCCCACAGGTGCAAGGTGAGCGACTGCACAGGAACACACACCTTCATCACTGAAAGAGTCAAACAAATTATGAACAGTTCAAAAGAATCAGATTCTGAACTCTGGACAAAAGAAACCAACCAAAGTCCACTTAACTGTTATTCATGCATTAAGAAAGAAAATCAGATGTCTGAATATCTTCAGTCTGTCAGAGACAGAACACAGACCCAGACCAAATAAAGGCAGAGTGACAAAAAGCTGGCCTTAGAAAGAGGGAGACCCAAACAAACATCGAGAAGACTGTGTCTGTGTTTAAATACAGAGGAGCTGTCTGATCCACTCTCTGTTAGGACTGAACTGTGATTAAAGTCAACTGTGTAGAGTTTAACTTAAGAGCCTCACACATTCACACAGTTAGAGCCCAAATACAGAGGAGCTGTGGTGGGGGAAGCAAACACACTCAGACTGAACAAGGTGATGTCTGTGAATTCCCCCACTCATACTGTTGTCTGTCTCTGTGTGTTAAAGGTCAGAGTGTTGGGAGTTTCCCTCATTGGAAATGATTGGCAAACAGACAGTTTCAGTCCTCACCTCCTAGCTCAGGTGTTTTTCGTGCAGCAGGTTCATCGCAGGAAACAATGAAGGGAATTTTAGACGATTAAAAAAAAAATTTCAGTCCGTCCAACTGATGTCACCATTTTTTTTACTTTGAATATTTAACCTGCCATTGTCTGATAACCCTCTCCTCTTTCAGATAAAGAGGAGGTGCTGAGGAAGAAGCAGAAACCATTGCCTCACTATGAGACCAGCTCCTGGAGAGGGGGAGGAGGAGGAAGAGGGGGAGGAGCTGGAGGATATGGAGGCGGGTCAGGAGGAGGAGCAGGGGGAGGTAGGGCCTATTTAAAACATCCGTTTTCTGTAATATAGATAACAAGCCTCATATAGGGATTAACATGGATATACATGGAGAGTCACAATAATCCAAGATGGTTTACAATTTTCTCTCCTAACTTAGAATCAGCCTCCACCCCCCCTAACCATGACCCTGTTTATGTGTACCATCTGAGTAGGAGGCACTGTTTCAGTGTCCCACATTGGAAAGGTTGCGTTGCACATCTATTTCTCAGGACGGGTGCGTCGGAGGGCAAAGTATCCAGCTGTTCAAAGACAAACATCTGCACAGGAGTATTTATTTGCAATGTTTCGGTACTAGACATTCATCAGGCAAACAGTTTGTTCAGAAGGCCAGGACCATAGACTGTATATAGAACAGACTCCATTTTTAAAAGTTAGGGGATTCATGTTTCATATGATTGACACTTGATGCAGCCTATTGGTGTACGAAGATTGCATAGCTCACCCGGGGGATACGCTGTTTGAGCCGAGCGTCATCACAGTGACTCCCCTGCGGAATGAATACAATGCTACTGTGCAATGGTGCTCTAAGAAAGTGGAGAAAAAAAACTGTAAAACTGAGCAATTCTGCCTTAAATCCGTATACTGGCAAATGGCGGAACAAATATGTCCATACAGTCTATGGCCAAGATGTGGGAGGTGGCCTCATGATGTCAGAGCTCATCTGACCAAGACAACAAAGATAAACAATAGACATCAGTTACATGACTGAGAGAGTCAATGTGATGAAAGGTACAGACACGTTAATTGTAATTTATAAGTGTATCATTAATAATATTCGGAGGATTAAAACTCTTGGAGGAGAATACATACACAATAGAAATCACAGACTTGAGTAAAGAAAAAAAAAAAAAAAAAAAACAAAAACAAAAGGAGAACATCATTAAAAAATAATGTGGAAACATATACAGGTGTTATCTGCCTGAGGTAATGCTCAAACTGTCAGAGATCACTCAGGATCTTGCTTCAGCTGTTGGATCTTGCTAAACCAGCTTAAGTTGGTACCAGTTGCTGAGGGTTCTGTCTGAAATACATGGTAACATGCTTTGTTTGCTTAAGATCTTGCTGCAGGTGTTGAGGATTATGTCAGAGATGGATAATGACCTGTTCATCTTGGATCGTGACTCATCTATGTGGGATCTTGGTTTGGCTATCTTTGCTCAAGCATTGCACTAGATGTTTCTTGCTGTAGATGGCTGGGATTTTGTCACAGAGGGTTTGGATCTTGCTGTATATGAATGGCATTTTTGTTAAGGACAGGATTTTGCTATTGATTTTTAGAATCTTGCTGTAGATGATTGGAATAATAAAGGTGGTTGATGCTTGATCTTCATGCTTAGTATTTTTCAGGAGGTAGTTTGGAGCTTGACAGTCAAGGCTGGGATCTGACTGAGGATGGTTGAAGTATCACCATGATGTTGGTATCTTTCTGTTAATGGTTCATTTTTTGACAAAGGTAATTAATAATTTGTAATAGGTGGTTGTAATGTTGGTGGTTGAGATCTTGTACAGATGGTTGGCTATTATGCTGGCTGTGGATGGGTCTGATCTTGTTATAGATGACACTGAAGATGGCTGGGAATACTGCTGCAGACTCTTTGGATCTTATTGTAGAAAGTTGTAGAAACTACCGATTGTTGAGATATAGTTTTAGATGGTTGGGATCCTGTCACAGATTTTAGGGATCTTGCCACAGATGGTTGTGATCATGCTGCAGATGGTGATGTTAGGCAGATGGTGCAGGATCTTGCTGTAGATGGAAAGGATCATGCTTTTGATGTTTATGATCTTGTTCATGTTAAGATGGTGCTTTAGCTACTCGTGGTTGTCATTTTTTGTGTTGTTGATGATCTGCCTGCCTGAAATCAGTCTTGGTTTTTGAAATGATCCCCTTAGAAGGACTTTTAGTTGTCTGGTGTCAGGGTCCCCGTTTTGGATCTTGTTCTTTACTGACTGAGTGAATCCAGAGCTCACCGTGCACACTGTTTTTTCTGCAGGATTCCAGTTCAACCAGCAGATGAATGGAGGAGGAGGAGGTGGAGGAGTTTTCTTCACCGGAGGATTCACAGGCTTCGGAGCAGGGGGAGGAGCTCAGATGTCAGGCTCTACTCCTCAGACAGGTGTTCCCCAGCAACAGACAGAGGAACAGAGTGGAGGACAGAGTGGAGGACAGAGTGGAGGACAGAGTGGTTCAGCACTGCAGCAGCAGCTGCTTCAGATCGGTAAGATGATGAAGGGTTGAGGAGCTGACACTGGGCCTGTGCTGTGGACTCTGACATGTCTTTCACTCATCTTTGGCCTTTCTTTTAATTTTCTATTTTAAATCTTTTTAAACCCCCTCTATGAGCCCTTTTTTTCAACTCTTCTATCAAACTTTTTATAAACTCTTCCTTCACAATTTACTTTCAAACTGTCTTTTTACGAACTGACAGTAGGAACTTGTTTAAAGCTCTCTTTTTAAGTGTCTCTCTCTGTTGTTGTTTTAGCTGCAGGGCTCCACAGCAGAGCCTCTCAGAGTGCCAGACACACCGCCGCTGCTCTCCTGCAGTACTGCAGCACCGGTGACGCCCGCATCCTCTTGCAGATCCAGAAACACCTGTGTGGAGTCCAGGATGGAAACGGAGACACGTGAGTTTGTTTGCCTGGTTAGTTTATGCTAGAAGGAAGACCATCTCCATTTATTTTTTGGTTATGTTGGGTTTTTGTTTTCCCACAGTCCTTTGCACCTAGCCATCATCCATCAACAGACAGGAGTGATTCAACAGCTGATCCATACTCTGCTAAGCAGCCAGCAGCAAAACGTTCTCAACACCGCCAACCACCTCCGACAGGTAGTTAACTCCAGTTGGCAATCTTACATGAATGCTAACTCAGCACACAACCCTAAATAACAGAAATACAATCACTACAAGGATAACCACCTCTGACAGGAAGTTCACTTTAACTAACTATGTAACAATGTCACACTGTTGACCAATGACCTGTCCTGTCTGCAGACTCCACTCCATCTGGCGGTGATCACCCGGCAGGTAAAGGTGGTGGAGGTGTTGCTGAGGGCGGGGGCTGACCCCAGCCTGGTGGACAAAGATGGCCGCAGTCCACTTCACCTGGCAGCACTGGCTGGGGACCATAACACACTCCGACCCCTGCTGGCTCACCTGGGAGAACATCACACCCACCTGGTGAACACACCTGACTACCATGGTAAGAGCGCAACCCCCTTCTTGCAAATAAGACTGTGGACAGTGTCAGTGTTTAACTTTGAGGTACTAAATACAGACCTTATATCATAGAGCCACAGAATATAGACCTTATATCATAGAGGTAAAGTATACAGACCTTATATCATAGAGCCACAGAATATAGACCTTATATCATAGAGGTAAAGTATACAGACCTTATATCATAGAGCTACAGTATATAGACCCTATATCCTAGAGATACATTTTATGGACTGTATATCATAGAGCTACAGTAAATAGACCTTACTGTGTATATCATACAGGTTGGTTAAGGCCAACCCTTACCCTTGAGTAATGAATCGGTGCATGGTGAGTGGGTGGTCAGGGTGGGCAGGACTCCTTATCTTCAGGGTCTCTAATTTAACCATCAAGCCCCTCAAGTGTCATTCAGTTCTGACCTCAAGGCTGTTCAGGACTGCCTGATAGTGAACACCTGGATGGTCTAATGACAGTGAGGGTCTGCAGAGTGCTCTGGTGGTCAGACTCACCATCACCTCTCTCTAAGGTCACCCCTAAAGTCAGTCACAGTCTAAAGGATCACATGTGGTCTGCTCTGTCTCAGGTCTACATCCTCTACACCTGGCCGTGAGGAGGGAGGGTGAGCGCTGCCTCCGCCTGCTGGTGGAGGGTGGAGCCAAAATTAATGCATCTGAACAGAAAAGTGGAAACACTGCCCTCCACCTGGCCGTCAGAGAAAACCTGTTCAAAATAGCCTGCACGCTGATTACAGAAGTATGACCCGCACACACACACACACACACTTGTTTCTCCCTCACAGGTATACTGACTCTATCTATGTGGTTCACAGTTGAAGGCTGATGTTAATGCGTGCACGTTTGGAGGAAACACACCTCTCCACCTGGCAGCCAGTCTGGGTTCTCCTACACTCTGCTCCATGCTGATTGCTGCAGGTACACTTTACACACACACACACACACACACGCACGCACGCACGCACGCACGCACGCACGCACGCACACACACACAAAAATAGAATGAACAATCAACATGTTTTTCTCTTAGGACGTTTAGTACATTTAGTCTGTATTTATTGTATATATCTAGTATATTTAGTCTGTATTGTACATACTCTTATATATTTTATTTTGTGTTTTTATTGCTGCTGTAACATGGGAATCTATCTATCTATCATGACGAAATAGAATAGGATAGATAGACGTATACACAGTAAAATAGAAGAAAACAAAATAGAATATGCAGTGCATCTGGAAAATATATTTACATTGCTGCACTTTTCTCACATTTTCTTGTATTACAGCCTTATTCCAAAATGTCTTGAATCCATTCATACCTCAAAATTTGACACACAATTACCAATAATGACAAAGTGTAAAAATGTTGTTTAAAACTGTTGCAGGTTTATTAAAAATGGAAAACAAAGATTTAACATGTACATGAATCTTTGCCGGACTGGGGCAAAGAATTGCAATATAACTGAAGAGAACAAAATAGAGTAGGAATAGAGTAGTCCTTATTAACTTTGGCATTGTTACAGTCCACATGATCCCCTCATAAGGAGAAACACTGATTAAAAGCTGTTATTGTACCTGTTAAAGTGAAAAAAAAAAGTTAAACCGTTTGGGTCAACTGACTGTTGGAGCCTTTGTCTCCTTCTCTAACTGTTTAGTTCAAAGGTGAAAGAAAGTAGACATCTGTAATCACAATTTAATTTTGGAACGAAAAAATATCTGCACTTTGGGGAAAAATGAATTTTGTTACAGTTTAGGCTGGCCTGTAACTCTCTGAAGAGTTGACCTAACAGAAACTGATCCCATATGGAGTGAGATAGACTGCAGAGTTAATGGCTTTGCATTCAGTGTTCAGCACAGGCAACACTACCTGAGCCTGCCAGTAAGGTTTCTGGTACAGCACACCTTAATGAACTCAGAACTCAGAAGGGGTTTTATTGCCATTATCAATGAACAGGATTCATAGACAAGGAATTTGTTACAGCATGATGGTGCAACATTAGACAGAAAGTAATATAAAATACTTGAATAAAAAACTAATAAGAGCATGCAAGAAAAATATAAAGTATAAAAGGCTATGTACAACTACACAACACATGCACACATGCATGAACATACAAACAGAAAACCTGAATAAAGGTCAGAATAGCTAAAGGCAGAGATGAGAGCCAGAGGACCATGTCCACACAACAGGAACAATCAGCTGATCAGCCCACAGATCCAAACCATAGACTGTAAATAGAATGGACGCCATCTGCCTCCTCGCTTGGTGAAGCCACCCCGAGAACAGCACCCTCTGTTGACGGGCTGCTGTATAGGTCATAAATCCTGCCTCCCCCAACAAACTTTAGAAATTTATTACACAGAACATACATTTTTCTCCCCCCTGCTTACAATGTTGACATGTAGTTACAGTAAGACTGGTTTGTGCTCAAGTTCCCTTTTTTCTGTGAAGCTCTGTTTTTAAAAGTTATTAGGGGGTTCATGTTTTCTTTGATTGACACGTGATACAGCCTATTGGCGTTCAGGGATTGCGTAGCTCACCCGGGGGATACGCTGTTTGTGCCGAGGGCGTCATCACAGCAACTCTCAGTGACTCTCCCGCCAAATGCGCACAACGCTACTGCACAATGCTGGTTTCAGGACATGAAGAAAATTCCCAGAAATACTGAGAGCTTTTTGGCTTCAAATCCGTATACAGGCGGAAGGCAGAACCAAGTTGTCCATAGTATATACAGTCTATGATCCAAACACATCAACACTTTACCTTTTAGGGGACAGATATATATCTCTGTCTACTATAAAGACTGCAAACTCTCTTTATCAGGCGCTGATAAAAACATGGAGAACGACGAGCCGATTTTCTTCAGCTCCTCATCAGATGAAGAAGAGGAACCAATCAGAGACCAGATCAAAGACAGAGAAACTGCCTTCCAGAAAATCAACAGTCGCAAGAGACCTGCAGGAGGCCACACCCCCCTGGATCTCGCCAGGTGCCAAAAGGTGATGGAGCTGTTCCTTCAAAATAAAAGCGCTGGACATTAGAGTGAAATCAACCACAAAAACATAACGGACATCATTTAGCTGTAACATGTCTCTTCTCCTTGTCTTCTTGTCTCTTCAGGTGAGGAACCTGCTCAGCAGCAGACTGAGTGCAAAGGCGAGTCATGTCAGCAGCAAGAAGTTGAAGCATAGCAGCTCCGAAGGTGAGTCACCTCCTGAGCTCCCGTCCTCACACCTGTCCTCACCTGTCCACACCTGTTCTCACACCTACCTGTATTTCAGAATCAGATGCCTCACAGCTGGACGGGGACACACTGTCCCGGCTGGAGGAGGTGTTGAGTGTGGGGAATGTATCGTGGAAGAAACTGGCGGAGAAGCTGGGGATGATGACGCTGACTCACCTTTACGCTGACAGTCCCACACCATGCCAGCAGCTGCTGCAGCACTACAAGGTAACACAGCAGCTAAGAATGCCTTGAAATATGGGGATGCAGTTTAAGAGAGACTAACAGAGTCTGTAAAGAGTATGTGCGTGTGTGTTTGTGTATAACCAGCTGGGTGGAGGTCCAGTTGAAGGTCTGGTTGAAGCCCTGCAGTCTCTTGGTCTGACAGAGGGAGTCCGCCTGCTGAGACACAAAGAGCCACAAGAGGACAAACACAACGCAGGTAACACACACACACACACATGCACAAACAAATATGCAGGGGGTGCTCTACATGGTTTGTTTTCAAACAGTGTGGGTTTCAGACCTAAACTCACCATCAGTCACTGAGTTTATATTTCTGTCCAATCAGACGCCACGGTTGACAGCGGCTTTGGCAGCCAGCCAATGGAAGAGGAAGAGACACCAGTGACCAATCAGTGACAGACAAAAAGTCATATGGCCATCATTGAAGGCCTCAGGAAACTCATCTCAACTACAGGAACCATGAGTCTGCAGGAACCAAGACTCTGCAGAACAAAGGTTCCACATAATTCTGCAGAACTCTGCAGAACCAGAACATTGTGGGAAGCAACACCCTGTAGAAACCAGGACTTGACAGATTTGTGTCTTAACCTTCTGTGACGGGGTGGGGGTAGGGGTGTCTTTTGGATGTGTGGATCTCTGTTGGATTATGCCGTTTGTTTCCTTTGCAGCGCTGAATTTAAATAGACTCACTGATGTTAAAGAGCTGACAGGAGGAGTCACTTTGTTTTTACGTGAGTTGGAAAAATTAAAGTTAAAGAAGTTTTAACAAAGATGAAATATTTCAGCTCCAGCTTTGAAAGAAAAGTGTCCCATTTTCCTGAAATCCAATTCTCTGTTCTTTCTTGTACTTAGTTTTTATGTGTGTAATTTTTTATTGAATTTTAACAGTTTCATTTCTGATGAGACGTCAGACAGCACACCTGAAAGTATTGAGTTCATACCTGGGACAAACTTCAGGCTGCACAGATTTCTGAGAGATCTGTGTAAGAGAGACATCTGATCTTCACCTGTGCCTACCTGGTCTTCACCGGCTTCTTTTTTCTCGAAGGAAGATAAAATGTCAAAGTTTCCCCTGATCCTAAATGCAGCAGGTCTCAGCTGGCATCATCTGAGCAGGGGTACCAGGGCAAAATAGACTTACCTTTCACAAGTTTCTCTGTAAACCAAGCTGTTCATCTGAAATATTAAGTAACAGTTGGGAAGGAGAGTTTTAAAAAGCAGTAATAGATGCTGTCTGAGAGGTAGAGTGTTATAAATGATTTTATTTTAATAAAGTCCATGTTTCCTCCTCAGATCTGCCTCTGTGTCAGACAGCTGTCTCATCTGTTACCTGTCTGAACTGTGACCTGTTGACTCTGTGTTGCCTTGTTTCCTGCTGTCTCTTTGTCAGCGCACTGGTTTTCTTCTCTCTCTCTGGCAGAGTCACATACTGTGTTTGTTATCCTCTTATTTATTCGATCTCTCTGAAAGTTAAGCATGATATTCAGGTCTTATAGAGGCTTAGCTCTGTCACCATAAAGACGACAACGACTCAGACTTCAACTGGACTTTAATATTTGTTTATTTCTGCCTCTAAGCCTTCAGGTTGCACTACAATCAGACCTCACAGAAAGTGGACAGTGTGTACACACATCGATCAGCCGGCTGGCGGCAGACACTCAGACCGCAGCAAAGCTCAAACAAACAAACAAAAAAAAGAAACCCTCCACAGGAAGTGGTCAGTCTTTGTTACGGAGCAAATGAACATAATAAATAGAGGAGTGTATAAAATCCTGTGAGAAGGAGGAGGAGGAGGATAAATGTCAGCTTTATTCTCAGACTAACAAAGTGCTCTGAACACAGCGATCAGCCAGGCCGTGGCCTGGCTACAGTATGGCTTCATAAAAGTCAATCTTAATGTACAGGTTTGGACACAGACGATGAGCTGAGAGCAGCAATTACAGTTCATCATCACTGCTTTGCACAGCACTGTGCAACACCACGCAACACACATGCACCCACGCATGCACTCACACACACACACACGACCACTAGTTATAGTGGCATTTGAGGGTAAATAAGACCTGCCAACCGGGGGTTAAATGGTACAGCATCAGATGGTTCAGCAGAGTCAGGGCAGGGCGCATCCTAAGAATGAGGGAATTTTTAATCAGATGTCCTGTCACTGCAGATTGCAGCTCACACTGATCTAAGATAGACAGGTGGGATCAGTGATATCATCACCAAAGATGGAAAAGGTGAACCTTTAGACCCACTGGATAAGATCTAAAATCAGACCAGGTCCAGGATCAGATCAGGCGTTAGAGGTTCAGTCCCTTACCGTCTAACTATCTTCATCACCAGTTCATTCTGCTAAATGACTTTGCCATCCTCCACCTGAGCAATCACAAATGCTCATATTTTCATACTCATGAAATGAGTATATATATGTGTGTGTGTGTGTATATATATATATATGGATATTACATTGTGTTATGTGATGGTGTGGATGGTTTATCTTTTCATATGTATGCAATGGTGTGCATGTGCAATGGAGTTATCTCTCGATGATGACACAGAAGTTTTATGGTATTTTCTTAATGCGTGATGGTGAATGTTGCACTATGTGATATATATACAATGGTTTTGAAGTGTAATGCTCTGTATATGATTGTGTTGTACTGTGTTTGTTATAAGTATGATAGTGTGGTTGTTGTGTGGTGTTATATATAATGGTGTTGATGTATTATTTCTTAATTGTTACACATATGTAATGTGTTAATCTGATGGTATAGTTGTACCTTTGTGTTCTGACTGTAGCATGCAGAGGATTTAGCCTGTAAAAAAAGGGGGCTGATGTCTTATGGTGATGTTATAATTGAGGTCATGTTATGGCTTTTTTTTTCTTTTAACATCCGTAAACTGCAGTCTAAAAAGCTGCTCAGTATCTGCTCAGTCTGTCTGTACCTCAGACATGTTTTGTTCCGCGTGTTTCCTTGGAGGTGTTTTTAAATGTCTTAACGGGCCATCAAAAATCCAGTCTCTTCTGCATTTTACTCTGAGTGGGGCTCAGAGTTTCCTATTTGTAGACAGATGGATGAGCCCCTGGAGATAGTCAGAGCAGCGTCAGAGCGCCCCCTCCCTTTCTGAGGAGGTGAGGAAAACAAATCCAAACTCCATGACTGACAGGAGGAGAAGTTAGGGAGGCTTTCCTCTCACACATCAGAGTGTTTTTAGTAAGTCTGAACAGATGATTGCAAAAGTCTCCTGCTTCAGAGTGTCTGTTCACAAACCTGTTCAGCTCACAACAATCAGACGAGCATCAATTTAAATAAAGTTATTAAAAAACAGCAACAGTAGAGATTTTGGAGAAAAATGTCAACATTTAGCGTCGGTCCTTCCTTACATCAAAGACATTAAACCCATAAAATAGAGACACACTCAGCCTCTCTGCCACCACCTAATGACTATTTCATGTCATTACGTCTGTTTTAAAAAACAAACACTCCTTTGTTTAACTTGATTCATACACACAAGTTACACAACAGGAAGGAAAACAGGTACATTTTTAAATCTTAAAACCTGAACCTAACATTAAAGTAATGAAATATTTAAATTTTACCTTGCTTACTTTACTAATTGGGAAAATCATCCTGATCATTTTTTGTCCAACCAAATCAAAGATTACAGTTCTATATGATATGATATATATCTTTATATATGATACTTCACAATTAACTGTAATCCTGCAAAAAAATGTTTTCTTTAGTTTGGATAGATTTTAAGTTTTTGTTCGTTAACCAAATATAGAACACTGATTTTTTTACACTGCTGTTTATATATTTTTTCACAATATATTGAACCATTACTGATGAACAGAGGGGTTTATGTCACCTGAAGATGGAGCTATAACTCAACTATCTGGTGACACCAAGCGGCAGCTAGAGGTAACAGCATGCTAGGGACTATATTACCCAGGTCCCCGGCTTGTGTTGACAGTAAGATGGTGAGAAACTCTTAAGATCTTCCTCTCAGTGTCCTCCAGAGATCGACTGTTTATTTTTTACATCTCTGAGCAGAAGACTGCAGAGGACTGTCTCTGATCTTTGACCATCAACACACAAAAAAAACAAGATCATTCCAGCAAGATACACAAACCTCCCATAACATCAACCTCTGATATGTTCCAGGTCACATGACCAGGAGGCATTTAGTGGACAGATTCAGACATAAGTGAGTTTCCAGCACAAACATAAAAATCTGTTTATAAACAGGTAATCCACCGAGAGAGCAGCTGACTCAGGACACCAATCCAAACTCGGACATCCTGACCCTGTCCTCCTCTGATTCATCAGAGAGGTCACTGCCGGTCACTTTGAGATCTGAATATGGCTCTGTCTGAGAATCACAAACCACAGGTGAGTAGAGAGCTACCTAGCAGACACAGACACACATGCGCAACGTCACACAGACACACACACACACAAATCCCAAACATACACACAGACACACAGAGTGATGATGGAATGTGTGCTCTCAGTCTCTTTTTGTATGTCTGTAATTTTGTTCCTTCGTTGAGCAGGGGAGTCCTAACTCACCCTTAAGTCCCACCCCTTGTCCTTCACCCCAACCCCCTTTTTTGGTCCTTACAGCAACAGTCTCTTGAGCTCTCTCCACCGTATGCAGTTCCCATGGCTACGTCCCTCTCCTGCTGGTTGCTAAGGTAAGCAGAGTAGCTCTTGTGCAGTGCTTGATAAAAAATAAAGTACCTACAAACTGAACAACCAATCAGAGTTCAGTTTAGACAAACCATGGGGAGGTAACAGAAAATGAGGCTTTTATTGTGAAGGACTCCAGCTGTTTTCTGTCTGGGCAGTTACTGTGGGGATATGGATAAACTCTCACAGACTGTCTTCACATCACGCCTTTCTAACCCCCTCCACTTCTCTAAAAGGGCATCTGTCCCACTGACCTCAAATGCCTCAGCTGGACTCTGAGGAAATCCTCCTCAGCCAATCAGAATCTGAGAGAGGTTAAACAGAAATTAAAGGAGGATGTCAGCCTGCTTCCCATGATGCTTCATGTCTGTCTCCAGCATTCAACTTTTAAAGAACCTGAATCTTTGTGCCATATTACGGCGCTGCCTCCTGTTTGCTGCTCTGTTTCTGTAGCTCCCCCTGCTGGCTGTTTCCGCCACCGTTCTTCTTGCCCTTTTCTTTATAGCTGCTGCTCTTTGAGGTCGAGGACGAGGTTGAGGACGATGTGACCTTCAAGCTTTTGGATGTCTTGGTCCCACGAGTCTTCTCCTTGTTGGCAACATCCTGAGGCAGCGTGGGGCTGGAGTGCGCCCTCTGCAGGCCGCCATCATCAAACAGCCGCGACTCAAAAGCTGCTAGGTCCTCGTCACCATTTGATAACTTGGCCCGAAGCAGCATGGCGTATGTACCATAGCGAGTTTTCTGAGAGGGTGGACATAGAAAAAAATGATGGGAGTTTAAACACCTGAACAACCAGAAAATTTAATATATAAGCATATATACACAACATATATAAATCTGTCTGGTACTTTTGAGTCCAATTTAATGTTAAATCTTTGTCTACAGAAAGCAAAATTTACATCTAGCTTCCTGTCTATGTTTTTAACTGACCTTAACAAATAATTAAAATGATAATAACAACAACAACAACAACAACAACAAAAATAATAACAATAATAATAATAATAATAATAATAATAATAATAATAATAATAATAGAGACAGATACTGGGAGCTGCTCCGTCTGCTGTGTTCTATCAGCTCAGTGTGAAGTTGGACTTCAGAGTGAGCACAGAGGAAGTGAGAGTGTGTTTTAGTGTGAAGTGTGTTTGCAAAGTGACAGATGGAAACATGTTCACACACCATCACACAGACCACTTGAGTACACAATATGATGATAGAGGAATTTATTACCACATATCAGAAGACCTAATTTCAGCTTCAGGGAGACACTGCTGGTGCTGTTTCGTACATATTTATCTGTATTTATTTGTGGTTGTGTTTGTGTCAATGCATGTTGATCATCGCTATGTGATGAATATAAATATATCTGATATAACGTGCTGGATTTACAGAACAATTTCATCTTTGTCCTGCTTATTGTTTAATATTCTTTAGTTTGACTTTATTTAAAATAAAATCTCAGATCACGACTGCCACTCTGTGAGCGACTGTGTGAGCTAACAGTTCAACAGTTTTAGAATAATGTTCCAGAGTGTAAACCGTGAAAAAATGAGTGGATTTCATCATGTACAGTACATCATATGATTCAAAGACTCACAGACATAAAAAAAACTTTGTATAAAAGGGACAAGAACCAAAACCAAGACTGATGGTCTTGGTCTTCAGGCCCTCAGGCAGCACTGCATTAAAAACAGACAGGACTCTGTATTGGAAATCACTGCATGGGCTCCAATCACTTAAAAAAAACATTGTCTGTATAAACACAGAACGTCACTGCATCAACACAGGAGTTAAAACTGAGGCATGAAAAGAGTAAACCAGAAACGCCTGAGACTTCTCTGGACCTAACCCTGGTTAAGATGGACTGAGGGGAAGAGGATGATTGTCCTGTGGGCTGAGAAGTCAGAATCTGATATTCTGCAAAGGAGCCACATTAAAGTCAAGAAGCCACCTGACTTGGACACATGGAGCACCACAACATGAAAAATAAGGATATCCTGAACTGTTGAGCAGCTGAAATCCTACATTAGACAGGAACAGGACCTCATGATATCACTGACAGTAGAGATTTGAGTCCCTTTTGAATAATACAATTGATACAACTACGACTATATTTGAAAGGTTTAGGGCCTGTTATTACTACTACTAGTAATATCAATAAAAACAATAATGTCCGATGAGAGGGATAATTTTTCTTTGAGTGAAGAATTTTCAGAGAACCTCACCTCAAACTCGAGGTATTCTTGTCTCAGTTTGTGCTCCTCCAGCTCACGTCCTTTGATCTTATGGTCAGGTGACTGGGCAGTGAGATCGGCTAGCTCTGAGGAAACAGCCCTGAACCGGTTCTCATGCGATTTGACCTGCTCCTCCTGTTGGGATAGTTGAAAGAGTTAGACTGTGTGAGCTGAGGTGACTCCTGTCACTCAGCTGATGACCGCTCAGGCAGGAAAAGACCAAACTGTTGAATACAAGTATTGATGGACTGAGTGTGAAGAACTCCTGGATCAGGATATTTACCTGGGACAGTTTGGTGTTTGAGCCTGGCAGCAGAGGACGGCTGAATCTCTTCTGGGAGCCGATTGCCGCAGGGAACGGTGGAGCAGAAAACATGGCTGCCACCACGTTGATACGTGTGATCCAGGACTGCATCTGTTCAGGATTACTGCAGGTAAAGGTGAGAGAATTGCACCTGAGTGAAAATTTCAAATATCTACAGCCAAACACTATTGGGGCTAAGAGCTGAGCCATTGCTTTATAAAAACTATTATGAAATATAATGATTTTATTACAGTTTGGACAGCGATAATATAATAATCTGATATTAGTACAGAGAGATTGTGAGCTGAGTGTGTTTGAATAGTAGCAATAATGATGTTTTGATTTAAATATATAGAGACTGTGAGTTAAGCTGATCCTTAATTTACATAATGATAATTATTTGATGAGTAAAACTTTTATAAGAGTGTTTTGGTTTTGACCTAAGTTTATGATAAACATAAAAATTGCTCAAATTGTCAGAAGGATGTGAGTTCAGCAGATTTTTTCATGTAAAAATAGTTGAAATGATAGTTTGTTTAATATTTGGAAAGGCTGTGAGCTTAGCAGATTCATTATATAAAATATATTTTTTACAAATATTGATAGTTTAGAGAGGTTGTGAGCTTTAGTGTGACAAAAAATTTATGTATGTACGGCAGTGAGCTAAGCTGATTCTTTTGATAAATAGGATTTTTTAAAAGGTTTTCTAGTTTTTGTATAGAGGCTGTAAACTGGGCTGAACCTAAAAAAGAATTTTAAATATATATCAAACCTGATTAAAGCAAAGAGAGGCTGTGAGCTGAGCTAATATTTTTTACATTTCTTATAACTGTAATTGTTCTTCGGTTACAGTTTAGAGAGGCTGTGAGCTGAGTTGCTGATCTTACGCTGCCTGGAAGAGAAACACCCTCCAGTCGGCTGTCCTCAGGTAGAAGACGTTTGGTCTCTTGCTGTAATCTGCGGCTCTCATGGCCAGAGAGTGATGGACGGACACAGCGTTCTTGACATCTTCCTCTGTTAGCTCTCGCTCTGCACGGTACTCATCCTGCCAACCAATCAGAGAAGAGCTTTATTTGGAGAAACACAAGTTTTTCAGGCTTCAAAGACCTGAAAAGATTTGATATTTCTGAAGGGATAAAATCACTTTTTTCCCCAGTCTAAATTAATGATGCAGAGAGGCTGCTGGGTAATGTAGTCAAGATGTTTACCTTCTGCAGGTAGAGCACCATCCCTTTCAGCATGGCATAGAAAGATTTCCACCCCCTTTTTCCCCGTGGAGCTGAGAGAAACAAGGTATTATGGGAAATTGTATACCATGCTATCACACAGTTAAGTCCTTAGAAAGATTTAGGATAAAAAATTCTGACTTCAATTGAAAATTTTATAAAACGTGATGTGTCTAAGATCAAACATTGATTAAAGATTTCTCTGTTGTTTTGATTTGAGATGACCAACTTCATAAACGCAGAGATTTCTGACAAATAATCTCTGAAAACTTTGGTGTGTGTTAACAAATATCTAAGATTGGTCGAATAAAATTAGAGTAAAACTCAGCCTGGCATACTTCGCTTTCCGTCGGGGTCGGCGTGGACTTTTCGAACCAGGAAGCCGCTCTTGTACAGCTCACCATCAGCCTGCTGAGCCGCACCCACCAGTGGGTTTCCTCCACTGCCCAGCCGTTTCATGGTGTGGGAGGCTGAGTCTGTTCGAACATCAGCTAGCTCTGACATGGACTTTCTAAGCTCCTCCTCATCACTGTAGGTAAAGAGGACACAAGTGAGTCCATCATCCATTTCAGATAGTCTTCATTGGGTTTGAATGATGATGGATCATTTTTCTTCAAAACAAAGAGCTACCTTCATAACTGAATGATTAATCATCAGAAATCATCAGAACCGTTTTTAAATAATTAAAATACTACAGTCAGGTACAGAAACAGTCAAAGAAAACAACTTGACCCACAGTAAGATATACTCAAAGCTTTGGCATAGGCAGTACAGTGACTTTAATGATCAGGTATTAAATAAATGATCTCTCCTGCATCTTCATCCACATCTTCATCTTTATCTTTAACTTAATCTCTGTGTGCTGTCATTTTCTCCTAATCAGAACACTTCAACAGCTCCAAGAGAGAAACCTCCATCAGGGCCAGAGACAACTCACTGAACATAGAACAACACACAAACACGCCGCTGTGTTTGAGTGTGTGTGCGTCTATGGTTTAGCATGGGCGTTGGGATGCTGACCTGTAATTACAGCCAGGAAGGAAAGCAGGGAGCAGTTACCATGGCAACGGAGGCTTAAATAAGGGAGTCAGGGCAGCAGGGACACACACACTCACTCAGAGACACACTCTCACACTCTCACTCTCACACAAACTTAAACACAGAGATGTGCAGACACTGTAACACAGAAACTTAGACACACAAAAATTTATACACATTTAATGATATACACACATACACAAGCGCACACACACGGTGTAGATGTTTGTAGGTAGTGTGTATTGCTCATAAACTCACATGGTCCACTGGAGCTTCTCATTCTTGATGGAGCTGTACAGAGTCTGCAAACACACACACACACACACACACAGATACATGTCAGGCAGTATTTATATGCAGTTTATGTAAGTGTGTATATTAGTGTGTGTTTGCATTTGTTCGTGTATGAGGCAGGTTGTGTTTAGTCATGGATCTTTGGCTTGTCCTCTCTGGCCTGTTATTGAGTGTCAGTAAAAAAAACATTTGAAATTCTGTCACACAAACATCTAAACTCCTGAATAAAGAGAAGACCTAAAGATGGATTTAGAAAACCTGCTGATACCTGATAAAAGGCCACTGAAGTGTCTGACCAACAACAAACACATAAACACAAAGAAAACACAAAGAAAACAGACAAGTGTCTTTAAAAGGTTCAGGGTCTTATGAAAAGGTCAGGGTCTGTTTAAAGGTCCAGTTTCTAGTTTAAGGTTCAGGGTCTGCAAAAATGTTCAGGATCTTCTCAAAGGTTTAAGGACTAGTGCAAAGTTCAGGGTCCTCTGAAGGGTTTAGGACCCTCCTCTAACAGTTTCTCTCCTTAGGTGTATTTTGGATCTTCAGGTGAACAGACCTTGATGTTAACACTGACTGGAGGAACCTCGTCAGTGTCACTGTTGAAAAGCTTCCCGTGAATTTGAAGTTGCAGGAACTCTGGATGTAAATGGTGGTGGTTCTTTGAGGGCTCTGTCTGTGTGGATTATTCAAATAGAGGAATTAAATTTTTGAATCTAAAGTTCCTGGTACTGGACCCCCCTGACCTTCATCTCATTAAATCTGAAAGTTACTTGCAAAAAGTGCAAAAAGAACTATTCCCTCGATGTAATCTTGGCTATAGTTCGTGGGCTGAAATGTGTTGCATCACTCTTTCAAATGTGAAACACGAATAAAAATAAATAAATTCAAGATGCTCAGACTGAAAGCTTTCAATATTTTTGATAAATCTTATTGTTTTCCTGATAAGCTTTTATTCTGAAGGTTTCTCAGACTCCCGCTTTTGTCTGAGCTAAAACACGTTGTGGACATGTTTCTATACCCCAATAACAACTGATACACAGGGTCATTCCTATCAGCCTCAGGGTCAGGGTTATGCCTATAGATGTGTAGTTGTGTAGTAGTATAGTTGTACTCTTGTATATTTCTATAGCTATAAAGTAGTGTAGTTTTGCAGTGCTATAACTGTGTCAGAGGATAGACGTGTAGTTGTAAATTTCACAGTTGAATAGTAGTGCAGTGGTATACTTCTAAAGTTGTGTAGTAGTTCAGTTGTGTAGAACTATAGTTGTGTTTCTGTCTAGTTGTGCAGTTGTAGGTGTGTATTTGCTGCCTCTACCTTCTTCTTGCGACTTTGAGGGTGCTGCTGGCCATCCTGGGTTTTTCCCAGCAAGTCGGGGAACGCCAAAGGTTTGAGAGAGCGGGACCGGGGGGCTCTGGGATACCTAAACGGGTCTGTGTCCCTTGAGTCCCGCCCACTTTTAACAGAGCAGAGTGAACGGGAGCGCATACGGCCTGTGGAGTGGATGCTGTTTACACCAATCATGATGGAGAGGTCAGAGGAGGAGGAGGAGGAAGAGGATTTCTGTTTTTCACAAAGTTCACAAAGGTTGACTGAATAGCTGAGTCCAAGCGGGGAAGAGAAGGAGCCCAGGTGATGGAGAAAGACGAGTCCGAAGAGCCTCAGAAGATGACCTTCAACAAGGTCAACAAAAAATATACAAAATATTCCTTTAGTGGACCAAGTGGGGAAAATTGAATATCATGATTCCACTTTTAGGAGAAAGGAGGAGCTCAAGGTATTCACAGCTAAACTCCGACAGTCGGCAGGGATCTGATTCAGTTGTTTTTTTGTAAGTTCGACCTGCAGGTTCCCTGGATGATCAGTCCTATTTATACCAGCTGCACTTAAACAGGTGTGACTCCTGTTTGTATCAGCTGCATTTGAAACAGATGTGACTGCTATTTATGCCAACCCCACTTGAAACTGGTTTGACTCCTGTTTAGACTGGCTCCAATTTAATCAGAAGTGAGTCCTATTTATACCAGCTCTACCTTAAACAGGAGTGACTCCTGTTTATACAAACTGTATTACAAACAGGTGTTCATCCTGTTTATACCAACTCCACTTAAAACAGGTATGACTCCTGGTTTTAGTAGCTCTTCTACAAACTGGTTTGACTTCTGTTTATACCAGCTTCATTTCAAAAAGATGTAGGTCTGGTCTCTACCAGATCTACTTCAAACAGGTTTGACTCAGTTTTTTTTTCAAACAGGTGTCCCAACTGTCTATACTCGCTCCACCTTAAACAAGGGTTTGCCCAGTTTATAACAGATGTATTTCAAAAAGGTATTCATCCTGTTTATACCAGCTGCACTACAAACTGGTATGACTTCCGTTTTTACTGGCTCAAATTTAAAGAGATGTGATTTCTGTTTATATCAGCTCCGCATAAGCAGGTGTATCATCACACTTAATTCTGGAGGTCAGGTTTTAGTCGTAGGGGTCTATACCACCATTTTAAGAGCCATTAGAGGTGTGTGTGTGTGTGTGTGTGTGTGTGTGTGTGTGTGTGTGTGTGTGTGTGTGTGTGTGTGTGTGTGTGTCTGACAGCTGGTTCTGGATGGATTGTCCTCTTTGGATCTCAGCCTGCTGCATTATGGATCAGACTTTATTCATTATGCATAAAACAGATTTTCACTCCATCCTTAGCCGGCTGCTCACTCGCTCACTCACTCTCTCACTCTCACACTTACTTGCTCGCTCAGGTGGTTAACTTAAGAACAGTTGAACACACATTAAGAGAGCAGACTGAGCTGTAAGGTAAGTGTGTTGAATATACTCAGACTGAGGCAGACATGGACTCCAGCAGCTTCATCTAACTCAAACTAAATTATCAACAAAGAATAATAACTGTCACCATCACTGTCTGAACAAAAGACTAAGTCTGTGTTTGTATCACTTACAAATCATAAAAAAACAGACACTGTTAATTCTATACAATTATTCCAGTCCAGTTTGAGATCTCCACCAAAATATTTTTTAATTCATGAAAGTTATTTAGATTTCAAGTTTTAAATTTGATGTCAAAGTGGAGCCAGCTGTCACTCCCTTTTTTGTGTGTGTGTGTGTGTGTGTGTGTGTGTGTGTGTGTGCGCACGCGCGTGTGTTTGTGAGGGCCGATTCACAGACTCACACTTCTGCAGAGAAACGGCTCAAATATTGAGTAAAAACCTCCAAACCTCAGCTCTGATCTCCTCCTACTGCTGTCCAAAATGTTGAAGTGTCTTCAGAGCTGGTGAACGCACCCTCCTGCTGCAGGGGAGGAGGGGGAGGCGGTGGAGGAGAAATCCCTGGACTGCAAATAAAGCCAAGTGACGGAGGAGGTGCATCATCACCAGCAGCAGCATCAGCTCCACCTCAGGTCCAAAACACCCACCAAAACAAAGAGAGAGAGAGAGGATGGAGGCTGGGTGAGAGAGCACACCCACACATGCAGACAGAGAAAGAGAGACAGAGAAAGAGAAAGAGAGAGAACCCAAAACTGACGTCAGCTTCCTCCTCAGACACCACGTCCAGCCCTGACTGAGGATGGAGGGGTGATGGAGAGTTGATGGAGGGGTACAGAGTCAGAAAAGACGGAGAAGTGGGAGAAAAGATAGAATAAAGGCTGATGTAGGAGAGAAAAAGAAGCAAGTTCCTCCTGTTGCACTCTCTGGCAAAAAGGCAGAATCCCTTTTACTCCACCTCTGGGATGTTGGTCTCCCCGTTCTTTAACTTCTCCCTGGTTCTTCTCCTCCTCTTTGCTCTTCTGCTTGTTATCGTTTTCCTCTTGCAGGAGAATCCCTGTGTCAGATGAACTCACTCCTCCTCTTCCTCTCTTCTTCTCCTCTTCCTCTGCTCAGACTCTGAACTGTTGAGGAGTGTTGCTCACTCGCCCTCCCTTCTTGCTCTCCTGTCTCTCTCTTTTTTCCCTCGCTCTCTTAATGCGCATTTTCTCCTGCAGCAGTATCCAATGAGGGTGCAGGGATGGCGGCTGAAGCCCGCCCCGTGCTCTCTTTGGAGCTGTCAGTCATAAAGGCCTCACAGAGCTGAATATAAACGCAGCCAAGAGACGAAGAATGACGACTGGAATTGTTGAAAACACCACTGTGACTCTGAGTTGAGGCTCTGATGGTATTAACACTCAGATATAAACACATAAATACCCAACAACACAACAACACAACCCTCAAACACACAGAGTAGGTTTGTGACCAGATTTTTCTACAGGTGTATGAATATAAAAAAGAAGACAAAGAGGTGCGAAATAAAACCACGGACACACGAGCAATGATGTCCAGTGATGCACACACACACACACACACACACACACACACACACACACACACACACACACACACACACACACACACACACACACACACACACACACACACACACACTTCCTAAACCTGTTTGTATTGTTCAGCATTTTGGTATGATGGCTTGATCCCCATACCATCAGGGATGCTGGATTTAGAGCTGGGAGCTGAGAACTTGTTGGGTGATTCTTTAGAGTAGAGGATGCAGTGTTTATGATTTCCAAAAGGAATATCAGATCGGGATTGGTCAAACCACAGGACAGTTTTCCACATCCCCTCAGTGAACTTTACACAGGCTACGGTCCAGAGGAGTCTCTGGTGTTTTTGCAACAAACAGTGTAATTTTGGAAGTGATTTAAAAATAAGAAGAACTAAATTGATCCCCGAAGGGAAATTCAATTGATTTGGAGCCCATGCAGAGACAGAGTCCTGTCTGTCTTTAATGCAGTGACCATCAGTCCTGGTTTTTGTCCTTGTCCCTTTTGTACAGAGATTACTTCAGATTCTCTGAATCTTTGAATGATATTATCTACTGGAGATGATAAAACGTCGAACTCATTCTTTCATGTTCTACACTGAGGAACATTTTTCTGAACTATTAGCTCACACGGTCTCTCACAAAGTGATGAACCTCTTCCCATCTCTTTTTCTGAGAGACTCAGACTCTCTGAATGTCCTTTTCATACCCAGTCATGTGACTAACCTGTTGGAAATTAACCTCATTAGTTGGAGATCTTCTTTAGCCATTTGATAAACTTACACATTGTTTTACCTGTTTGGTTGTTCCTCTGTAACAACGTTTTAGAAATGTATCGTTGATACCAAATTTGATGCCATGTCACATGATATCACATGACAGAACAAGACCAAGCAACAACCTAGGGTCTTGAGAGCTAAGCCATAGACTGTGTATACTGTAGACAACTTGGTTTCCGCCTACTGCCGGTATACGGATTTGAAGCCAAAAAGCTCTCGGTATTTCTGCGATTCTTCTACATTTCTTGAAACCAGCATTGCGCAGTAGCGTTGTGAGCATTCAGCGGAAGAGTCGCCGAGAGTCGCTGTGATGACACTCCACTCATACAGTGTACCCCCCGGATGAGCTACGCAATCCCTGGACACCAATAGGCTGTATCAGGTGTCAATCAAAGAAAACATTAACCCCCTAATAACTTTTAAAAACAGAGCTTCACAGAAAAAAGAGGACTTGAGCACAAACCAGTCTGACAGTAACTACATGTCAACACCGCAAGCAGGGAGGAGAAAATTTATGTTCTGTATAATAAATTTCTAAAGTTTGTCCACAACTCCATAAGCTTTGTTGGCGGAGGCGGGATTTATGACCTATACTGCAGCCCGTCAACAGAGGATGCTGTTCTCAGAGTGGCTTCACCCAGCGAGGAGGCAGACTCTGTCTGTTCTATATACAGTCTGTGGCTAAAGCCAATAAGAAAATGCTAGAAACTTCAATTCTTTGGGTGTCCACTAGAGGCTGCACAAACAACAGAAACAACATAAAAACACATACACATTAATCTAAAAAAGCCAGTCGTTGGAGCGACAATAACCTTGTTTTGGTAGATCGGGGTGCTGACTGCTCACACTGTTATACAAGTGAATTAAATGTGTCCTTTTTTAAATTAATATGGTTACAAATCAGAGGCACAGCTGACTAGACTGACAGACAGCCACACTGTAGCTATTGGAGAGAAGGCTAAAGGTCTGCCTTTGGTAAGCTGATTGACTAGAAATGCAATCAGACCGAGACACTAAGGCAGATGAACTACCTTGTCTGCAGTGCACATACAAGATACACAATAACTCTGATTGCCATAAAGAGATGAAAATAAATGTTCTTCCTTGAACTACGGAACTCTGCTGTACTTGGTGATCAACTTGTCAGGGCTTCCCCACAAACAATCGGCTGCTGGAGGAGAGTGGGTAAGTTGTGTTTATTCTCTCTGCTAAAGAAACCAGGCAAAGCTAAAAAGATGGCTAGTGCTATAGCTGGGACCCTATATGCACTGTTGTTGAAGTTAGGTGCTGTTCTGAGCATTATTTGTGGCTATAGAGTGGCTGTTTGGTTGAGGTTTGCGCATGGAGACGTAGACTGCTGTGTATTGTTATCGTGCCGTCATTGCTAAAGTTGGTATAACTACAGAAGCAAGTAGTCGCAACATTCATCTCTAGAGGGGGTGTCTAACTCAGTGTTACTGTGTGTTTGACCATGGCTTAAATTTAGGCTGGAATATTCCTTTAAACCCTGGTGTTCCCTCAATGCCTGCCATATGATCACTATTCATACAGGTAGAAACATCTAGCCTTTGTTTAGCCCAGCTCCTCATATTTGAATTTTCCTGCCTGTTCTCATTTTGGATCTTTGGCTCACAGACTTGCACCTCTGCTTCTACTGATTGATTATCTGTGTACTGGACCTGCTTTTTGGATTAAAGACCACAGTTTGTAACTGCCACTGTCTCCACAGTCTGAGTCCTTCCTCTGTGCCTGACATCTAACAGATCAGAGTGTCAGTGTTAGAGCTGGTGGGTGTTAGACTGAACTCATGTTTCATCCACTCCCTAAGACTGTCTTTACCCACCTCTCCTCCTTTTTCTGCAGATTCAGACTGAGCCGACACACACAGGAGGACGAAACACAGACGCTGACAGAACTCCTGTTTCAACATTTAACAGTCACCGACTCTCTGCAGCCCACACACTCAGAGCTGCAGCATCGAACCAAAGAAAAACACACAAACAGATAACACAGCAACACACACACACTTAGAGCTGCAGCATCAAACCAGAAAACACACACAAACAGATAACACAGTAAGACACACACTCAGAGCTGCAGCATCAAACCAGAGAAACAGAAAATTACACACACACCGATGGCACAGAAACACTAACGCACACACACACACACACACACACACACACACACACACACACACACACACACACACACACACACACACACACACACACACACACAAACACACACACAGATCAGCCTGGCAGTCATAAAAATGAAATGAATGCCTCGGCTCTTTTATTTTCACCAGATACAAACAGGCCAAAGATCCCTCTGACAGAACTGTGTGTGTGTGTGTGTGTGTGTGTGGGTGTGTGTGGGTGTGCACATGTCTTACCTTCAGTAGGTCTTTGGGGAAGTCTTTTCCATTATTAAGACCCTCCAGATTGGAGATGAACTGACTGCAGGACATCCTCTTTCCAACGTTCTACACAAACAGAGAACAACAGTCCTGAAAGATCTACAGAGACCAACAAAGATCTGTAGAGACCTGAAAGATCTACGGAGACCAACAAAGATCTGTAGAGACCTGCAAGATCTACGGAGACCAACAAAGATCTGTAGAGACCTGAAAGATCTACAGAGACCAACAAAGATCTGTAGAGACCTGAAAGATCTACAGAGACCAACAAAGATCTGTAGAGACCTGAAAGATCTACGGAGACCAACAAAGATCTGTAGAGACCTGCAAGATCTACGGAGACCAACAAAGATCTGTAGAGACCTGAAAGATCTACAGAGACCAACAAAGATCTGTAGAGACCTGAAAGATCTACAGAGACCAACAAAGATCTGTAGAGACCTGAAAATCTACAGAGACCAACAAAGATCTGTAGAGACCTGAAAATCTACAGAGACCAACACAGATTTGTCGAGACCTGAAAGATCTACAGAGACCAACAAAGATCTGCAGAGACCTGAAAGATTTACAGAGACAAACAGAGATTTGAAAGATCTACAGAAACTAACAGAAACCTGCCAAGACACACAGAAACCTGCAGAAACCTGTAGAGACTGAAAAGATCTTTAGCGACAAACAGAGACCTAAGATACCTGCAGAGACTGACAAAGATCTCTTAAGACCTGAGACTTCTACAGAAACCTACAGAGACCTTAGACAGGTACAGAGGCCTGAAGAGTCCTACAAGAACTTTAGGGGACCAACAGACCTGAGAGAATTACAGAGACAGACAGAGACCTGAGAGACCAACAGAGACCTGAGACAATTACAGGGACCTGCAGAGACCTACAAAGACCTGAGTTAACAACAATAGACCCATAGAGACCAGCAGAGACCTATGGAGACCAATAGGGACCTATAGACTTTCAATAACTGAGAAACCTCAAGGGACCTACAGACTCTTGCAGAGACTTGAGTGATATACAGCGACCTAAAAAAGATATAAGGAACTGTAGAGAAGTCCTATAGGGACCTACATGTCCTACAGAGAACTGAGACAACAACAGAGACCCATAGAGACCTGAGACACTTTCAGAGACCTATGACACCTATGGGGACCAGCAGAGCCCTACAGAGACCTACAGTGACCTGCAGAGACTTTTTTGAGGGACCTGAAGAGACCTACAGACACCTAAGAGACCAGCAGAGACTTGAGACCTTCAGAGACCTCCAGAAAGCTGCAGAGAATTAAGAGATATACAGACACCTGAGAGCTACAGAGACCTGTAGAAACCAGAAACACCTAGAGATCTGCAGAGAATTGCAGAAATCCAAAGACACTTGCAGAGATGTTTAGAGACCTGCAGGTACTAGCTGAGATGTGAGGCAAAGCAGGTTCCAGTTTGATGACCAGTTAGCTGGGATCAGAACCAGGATTCCTCTGATCCAGTTGTGCATCATCGAGTCCAGGGGTCGGCAACCCGCGACTCTTTCTTCCCTAAGCTGCGGCTCCCAATGGATTTGGAAAATAAATAATAAATATTTAATTTAAATTTATTTTATTTTAGTATTTTTTTTGTAATTTAAATTCAAAGATTATAATGCTCTTGTAACTTTAAATAAACCATGTTACATTTTTTTATCGCTCAAAATATGCATCATAACCACAGATTTGGGAAAACCGAAAACCTGTGTGAAGATGAATGTGATGTCACACAGCCTGGATGTGGAGACGATGTGCTCTGAGATTCAGGAGCGAAAGTCACATTAAGCAAGTAAATTTCACATTTTAATCAGCTATTATTTTGCAAATATATATCTTACATTGTTCCGTGAAATTGTGTTTTTTATTCAACGTACACGCTTGTTGCGCGATTATCCTCTCTACTCCTTCGAGTGTGGCCTGCATAGCAGGGCTCCGAGGGCGGCGCTTATAGTTGTAAAGTAGGAAATCTCCCTGCGTCTCTTTTTGTGAGTGGAGCTCTGCTTCAGTCTCTTCAGATGTGTGTACATATGTTAGAAGATTTAAAAATATATTCTCAGAAGATCAAGAGTTAAAACAGATCTCAGTGTAGATTGATAAATTAACAGTCTGACTTTCTTCTGCTTGTTACTCTTGGTTTCACTTTTTCTCTATCACTCACACACACCAACACACACACAAAGGAAATGTGGAGGACTGTTGCTCAGTGAGATAGGACAGCTTGTTGCCATGGTAACAGCCACCTCTTCCTTAAACAAGTTGCTCTCAGTGTGATGACTTCAGTGGCAGAGAGATGTTCACACTGAGATGTTACTCATATCATTCAGCACAGTGTGAGTGTAAACACTGAGCTGGTTACCATAGCAACAGAGCATACCCCATCCATGATATAGGAATGATGTAAGGTTAAAAGCTCAGGAGGTAAACCACTTTAAAATGTCTTGTTAAATCTCTTTAAAGATCTTTGTCATTTCTTATCATGCTTAAAATATATCAACAACAAAAGTTCAAGAATCAGCTGATCTACAAGCAGTTCTACACTATGAACAACAATTGGCTAATCAACAAATGACAACAATCAGTTGGTCAACACATAACAACAAACTCTTGGTTAACAACTGATCAACAAAAAGTTGTTAATTAGCTGTCAAAATAAACAGTCAGTCACTCAACAATCTGAGTGTGGCTCTTCTTTACCTCTCTGACCATTTCTTAATCAGTTTTCACTTGGCTTACCTGAAAATCATCAACCTCCTACTCAGTTCATATGATGCTGCAGAAACATTTTGTCACTTGACCCAACTAAGCTGTCTGACAAGGTCTCAGCGGCTATAACTTCGTGTAACGAGTCCTTCACACTCTCTGCCAATGAAGCTACAGACACATTCTGTTCCTTACTGACCTCCTCTCTGTACAAATTCTGCCCTCTGGTGTCCTAGCCCGCTTGAAATACTCATCCCTGTCCCTGGCTCACTGAGATGATCAGAGAACAAAGGGCTGGGCTCAGGGAGGCTGAGAGAAAATGGAGTAAACACAAACAATCCACTGACTTGACAGATTACATAAACTCATCTAATTTACCTCTGCTTTAAAATCTGCTAAGAAGGCATTTTATCATGCAAAGATCTGTGCTGCAACTGATGGACGCAAAGTCTTCTCTGCTTTTAACTCTCTCCTTCAAACACACAACCCTCTACTATGTTGACCCTGGGTATGTTTGCCTTGTTCTTCACTGACAAGGTTGTCACCATCAGTAATCAATTCTCTGAGCCTGACCAATGCAGCTTTCTGCAAACAGCTAGTGATTCCTCACTTAGCCCATTCTCTCCACTGAGTGAGAGCAAAGTCACCAGGCTTCTGCTTGCCTCTAAGCCCATAACCTGTCTGCTTGATCCCGTACCCTCATATCTCCTGCAGGGGATTAAGCCCACAATCAGCCCTGTTGTAACACATCCATCATCAACTTTTCTCTGTCTACTAGTGTTTTCTCTGCTGCATTCAAGCAAGCAAAGGTCAGACCAATGCTCAAAAATCCCATGCTCAACCCAGCCCAGGTTGAAAATTACAGGCTGGTCTCAGTCTCACTCCTTACTTTAGCACATAGTCCTCAACCAGCTACAAACAAACAAATATAAGCTGGTGAACATACTATAACATTTTGTTGTTTAACAAACAACATCAACAGTCAGCTGATCAACAAACAAGACAACAATGAACTGATCGTCAAACAGTATAACAATCTGCTGATTAGCCAACAACAATAAGTTGATCAACAACAGTCAGCTGATCAACAAACAACAACATTCAGCTGACCAACAAACAACAACAAACTAGTCAACAACAAACTGATCATCAAACAGTATAACAATCTGCTGATTAGCCAATGACAACAATAGGTTGATCAACAAACATCAACAACAAATTGATTGAAAAAAAACATTAATAATTAGCTAATCAACAAACAAAAACAGCAATCAGCTGATCAACAAACATCAACCAACTGATCAACAAACCACAACAACAAACACACCAACAACAACACAATGCTTAACAAATCTGATCAACAAACATTAACCAACTGATCAACAAACAACAACAATTTAACAGAGATGCAACTCACGTTTCCATGGAGATCAGTGTTCAGCAGCATGACAGCACATGTCAGAGTGTGGACACTGTCTAAGAGACACAAAAGTAAGAGACAGACAGGTGAGACACACAATAATAACAGCTACACAGGTGTTAGCTACAAACACATGAGCGACACTCAGATGGGCCTAATCCAGATCAATGCCCCAAAGTAGGTCCAGTCCAGGTTAAGGCTCCCTCAGGTGGGTCCATCCATGTCCATCCTCTCTCATATGGGTCCAATCCAGGCCAATGCTTCTTCAGGTGGGTTCAGTCCAGGTAAAGACTCCCGCAGGTAGGTCCAGTCAAGATAAAGGCTTCCTATATGTGGGTCCAGTCAAGGCCCATGCTCCCTCAAGTCAGTCCAGGTCAGGTCCATGCTCCTTTATGGGAATCCAGTCAAGCCTAAGGCCCCCTCAGATGGGTCCAGTCCAGGTTAATGCTTTCTCAGGTGGGACCAGTCCAGATCCATGCTCCCTCAGGTGGGTCCAGTCTGGGTAATGCTCCCTAAAGGTGTGTCTATTCCAGGAAAAAGCTCCCTCCCAAGTAAAGGATTTACATGTTATTGTCGACTCACAAACAGATGTACAGATGGACAGGGATGTGAACAGGCATACAGACAGGATTACAGACAGGTGTATTTACCTTTAGTGGCCCCTTGGGGTTACACTGTATCTTAGAAAGACAGGTATACAGACAGACAAGTGTGGACAGGTGTGCAGACAGGTGTATTTACCTTCCGTGGTCTCCCGCTCAGGGTTACACTGTCTGTATCTCCTGGAGAACTGGGCAAGGACTCTCTCTCTCTCCTGAGTTTCTCCCATCAGAGCAAACTTCCTGAGGAACATCCTGGAAACACAAACACCTGTTCATCACCTGACTGTCTGAGAAGGACTTTAGAGAATTATTATTTTAAGTCTCAGGAGTTCATCGTCAAGAACCTGGCTTAATTTACAAATCCCAGGAATTCATCTCTGTGTTTTAGAGCCAAACAATCAACAGAGAAGAACAGAACAGAAAAGAAGTGTAAGTAAGGCTTTAAACAGCAGCGCTTTGACATTGAGCAAAGTTAAGTAATCCTAATTACAGATTAGATTAGATACATTTTTATTAATTCCCTCAAGGAAATTAAAAATAATGGTTTTATGATCCTGTTTATGTTGTTGATTACTAAACAAAAAGAAAACAGAACTCACCTGAGTGCCTGATCGATGGTCAGACCAGAGAAGTCAAAGTTACTAAGATATTCCTCTGCCACCATCTGACTGAACTCATTACTGCAGACAGACAGACAGACAGACAAGGAGGTTATTATCACTATCACCTGTCTTTCTGCCCAAAGTCCTGAAATAAGAAAACAGTTATTTATTCTGGATAGCAGAGACAAAACTATGGACAACCTGATCACACATATTTTTGAAATCTATCCACAGAAAGGAGTTACAGCACATGTAGAGCACTGGTTAATTTCACCTCAGCCTGTTGACACTGTGGCAAAAACATTAGCTTTCAACAGTGTCAGTTAACAACAAGGTCAACTTTTGAAGACAACTTCAGATTCTGGATAATGCCTGACCAGTCACCAGCACAAAAGAGAAGAATAGAGGAGGAACTGTACAGAAACTACGGAGGGATGTTAAAAGAGTGACATCAACTGAACTGACGAGAAAACGAGAAATAGCAGAATGCTCAGAGTAACAGGGCTGGCTAAGTGAGAAGGAAATGCCAACATACAGGAGTGGCCCTTGTCATCTGCATCTGTTCAAAACCTTACAACATATTCATTTAAATGAAACCATAGACTGTGTTAATAAATAAATCAAGTATAAGGAATAACATAGTATTTTATGTTATTCAATACACGCAATCTCTAACAGGACACACACACAAAGACAAACACACACACACTGACTTCTTGCCCAGGTGTCGAGCCACGTCAGACTTCCTGAAGCCATCCAGGTTGTAGAGTCGTTTGGCGAGCCTTTTGGCGGCCTGCAGGTCAGGCTTCATGCCATTGGCAAGTGCGTCATCGCTGCCACCAAGCGCCAGACGCTCTGCTACATCTGCCTGTGGGTACAGCAGCTCAGGAGGTCGGTTTACTGGACGCTCCCTGAAATTAACACACACAGATATGTTTAATTCACACATTACCTCGAGCCTTCAAGGTCTGATTCTGATCTGCTAAGGAACTATCAGAAATCCTGGTTACTGTTGGTTTGACCCTCTGTTGAGTTTGGTCCATTCAGGAGTCATACACTGTTATCAGACAGAGTACCAGTGTTTATCTGCGCTCACAGCAGAGCTAAAAGCAGAGTCCCTGTCTGTTGTTATAGCTCAGTCTCTCTACCTCCAGCTGTCTGCATGTCTATATGGACCTGAATGTGTGGTGCAGAGATCAGTTTCACAGCTGTGTTCCTGTTTGTACTCTCAGATGCCGTCAGTCCCACCTAAGCTGAAACCTGTGGTTCATCCTGAGACCTGACTGTGGAAACATTTAAACTCCACTCTGCAGAGTGATGTACATGACTACACTCTGAGGGGCTTTAAGATATCACATGTGCAACTCCAATTCCATAATAGCTGTCTGAAATTAAAATAAAAACGGTATTAATCTATGGTTTGAGAATCATTTAAACTCCCCTGCTTATTTAATTTTTCAAACAGAGCAAAGGCAAACTGTTTGTAAAAATCAGTTAACAGGGTCATGATTATCACTGTTATTACCTCTTTTTTTTTTTTAAGCCAAATTTTTGAGACTCTACCTACTACTACCCACACTGTTGTACTCCCTGTTGTCAGAGTGTACTTTGTCATAGTCCTGCTGACTTTTGAAGGTCTTCTCTGAAAAAGTCAAAAAAAAGTCATAAAAATAGTCATGCTCCTAAGCCTGTAGGTATTGTTCAGCATTAACAGAGTCTTCACAGATGTGGAAGATACCCATGACACGGAACTTTGATGATCCCCCCTTCTTTTGAGTTAAAAGTAGTTATAGTAGTTATATTACCTGGCTGAGGTCAGCATGTTAAAATTATTGATGTCAGGTTGTAATTCCAAGGTAAACATGAGCATTCTGAGGTTTGCGTTGGCTCAGGTTAAAGCCTCAGAAGGGCTGCTTACATGCTGTAGACTCAGATCACAGGGTTTGGACCTTTAACTCATCACAATCTGTTTCTGTTCCTGTAATCTTAGATAAATTCATGTTAATAAATAAAGGACATCCCAGCTCAGACCAAACTTTATGTTAAACACAGTTCCCCTGCTTTGATGAGGCAGTTTGAACTCTCTTAAAACTCTCCCTCTCAGTCTATCAGCAGTGTTCCTGCTGGATGAAGCAGCCATTACCAAGAAATTCACAGAGGATTGGAGGACCATTATTTCTGATTAAACCCACCAAGCTGATGATGATGATGATGATGATGATGAAATGAATCCGTTTTCCATCTGACAATCTTCATATCAGCCGCTCCCTACACTGACTCCATAATAAAGACCGAGCATGTAAAAGAAACTGCGTCAAAGGGTGAATGACAGTCAGAAACAGAGAAGCACTCAAACCGCAGTGAGTGCCACTTCTCTTATTCAAGTCAAACTTCTCCATAGAGCATAAGACTCACACAAGTCATCCAGGTACACACAAGTTCAAATATAAACCTAACTCCATCAGAGCTGGAACTGTGTCCAAAATGAATGACATAGAACTTTGACAAATTATGTAAAGTCTTTTTTTTAAAACTGGAAATGTTGCATAGTAGCAAATCAAATGATGAGACTGAAAAATGTGATTGTTTGATGTAAAATATCTGCTTATAAAAATGGTTGTAAAAAGTTGTTGGAGTAACATCCAAATGAGTAAAAAGTTGTTAGAGGAACAACCAAACAAGTAAAAAGTTCTGTAATGCTAAAAAAAAAAAGCAGCTGGGGGAACAGCTCCCAACTAATGACTGGGTTTAAAAAGGACATTCAGAGAGGCTGAGTCTGCCACAAAGAAAGATGGGAAGAGGTTTACCACTCTGTGAAAGACTGTGTAAGTTAATAGTTCAACAGTTTCAGAACAATGTTCCTAAGTAAAATGTGAAAGAATGAGTGGATTTCATCATCTATAGTACATGATATCATTCAAAGATTCAGAGAATCTGTTCAGGAAGCACTGTAATAAAAACAGACAGGACTCTGTATCAGGGCTCAAAATCATTTAAAAAATCATGGTTTCTGAACAAAGTTGATCAATGCATCCACAAATTAGGTTAAAACTGAACCCTCCAAAGAGGAAATCGGATAGAAACATGATCCAGAAACACCAGAGACTTCTGTGGACCTTAGCCTATTTAAGGTGGACTGAGGGGAAAAGGAAAATCACTCTGTGGGCTAATGAATCAAAGTTTGACATTCTTTTAGAAAGAATGCGCACTGCATCCTCCACTCTACAGGATAGAGAAAACATGTAAACATTTGGAGCACACAAGCGTGTTTGTTAAACTTTCATCTGTTAATAACATAGACAGAGAGCAGTATGACAGTCAGACTCTGGCTTAAACAGCGCAATAATTTTGAGTAACAGTTCAAGTTTGTGTATGAGAGGATTCCTTAAATGTACAGTCCTGTTAGCCAGCACCATATCATGTTTCTCTATCTGTATGCCACACTCATTTTCAGCACAGCCTCTGTCTGTTTCAATGCAGTCAGTCAGACACAGGACAAAACTGTAATTTAATAAATGAAATAAGTCAAACAGCAGAGTTAACTGACCAGTACAGCTGTGTTTCTCTGGTGTGGGGGTCATGTTTCCTCATGCACAGACCACAGGAACAAAGTGAACGTAGGTCCGGATGTTTGCTTCCTGCACCAACAAAAGTCATTCATCCAGGATAACTTCTTCAGGAGCCGCCAAGAGCGTCCCTTAACACCAAAATAGGAAACTTGTATTTTTCTATCTTTTTTTTTTTTTACCCAGGAGGCACTTTTTGTGACTCCAATCACACAACTGTCACCACACATCAGCTGATAAAGAAAAGAGTCAAAGCTGATTTAATAGTCTGAGTCAAACAGCAGCTTGATGATGACAGCAGTGAATGGATTGTTTCTACTGGCCAAATGTTTTAACTATTAAACACCTGATCAGTGCTGCTCATATTAATGTCTGATACCCCATCATGTGCATTACTCTCTTCTCTTGCAGGTCAGGGCGGAATATACAGTAGAGGAGAGCTCAAAAACTCCTCCCAGCTGCATAAGTCGTAGAGAGGGAGGGCAAAGACGTGGAGTAGGTTTAACACAGCCAAGACCTGTTTTCGCCAATCACATAAGCTCCTCTCCTCACCTTTAAATCCACCACCGGCGAGGCGTAGAAGTAGACAATGAGATCAAGAGATGTCTGGAGACAGCAATGCCACACGATGGTGACAGAAGTCAGCTCCTCAACAAGTGTCACTGTAAGCGCTGCAGAGCATCCTGCACACTGTCTTATATAAGCACAGATGGATTTGGTGTGTGTAATGTTGGACCCACTGGTAAGACAAACACCCTATTCCACAAATAAAGACACTCACATAAAGTTGCATATATTCAAACCTCACATGACAAAGGTGGGTTGTGTGCACAGATCACAACATAAATTCCAATAATGGCATTAAAATTGGAACCATCTGTGCGTAAAGGATGCATCGCGCTCCGTGGCCTGGCTTTTTCTTTCATAGATGTTGGCATATAAAATAAATTTGGCTCACAAAACTGAATATTATAATATTCGTATGTAGGCTTAAAGTAAATAACTCATCTGATCACTGAAACAAATAATCTGTTCAGCCGCCGCAGCAGCAGGACAGGGTGAGGACACAGAGACATGTCCGGGTCCAGCTGTGCGAGAAATAAGAGGAAGAGGAAGACAGAAATAGGGAATTAAATATCTTGTTAACTTCATCATGTGTGTCTATTTACTAGATATTTAATTTAATTTAATGCGGTTTCAGCTGTGTTAATTCGGTCAAGTTGATTGTCCAAACACGTGCCAAACACGCTCATCAGATAAGATATAGATCAGAATATATCTGTATAGATCTAAATGTATGTGCTGACTCAGAATATTGGTTGTTGTTGATTATTTATTGCACTGAAATGTGCCTGACACTGTGGAAACCTGCCGGTGAGGCATCAGTGACGTATGCCGATATGCCGCTGCGCTCCGCCTGCGCTGAAAGCTGACCAGGTTTGAATCGGAGAGCCTTCAGCGCACTTTCTACACCACCAGCGGGCACAAAAATGTCACTGCCCCAGCTGATTCTGTTGACACCTCCCCCTGCCGCATCACGACGCCCAGCTTGGCAGACTTCGGTGCACCTCAGTCCATGAAAATACCAAACTGGCTGTATACCGGGCTCTGCCAGACAAAAATACCACTGCCCGGGGTCCGCCACCCTCCGCTGTGCCGCTGGTGGGCACGAAAATAGAGCCCAATGTGCCAACCCCTGAGTATGTCAGCTTATATAGAGATAATAAGAAATACACAGTAAGATGAACTTATCAGCCATTAACAATTATCCATCCATCAGTCAGCCCATCCATCCATACGTCCATCCACCCATCCATGCATAAATCCAACAGTCCGTCCATCAGTCCATCCATCTATCAGTCCATTAGTCCATCCATCCAACCATCTCTTTTATTTATTACTACATCTCTTCATCTATTCATTCAACAATCCATTTCTTTTGTCTTTATCCATCCATCCATTTATCTGTCCATCAATCAGTCCATCCATCCATCTCTTTTATTTATTAATCAGTCATTGTCTATTTATTCATCCATTCTGCTATCCTTTTCTTTTTTCTTCATCCATCCATCCATCCATCCATCCATCCATTGATTCATCCGTCTATCAGTCCTCCATCCATCCATCCATCGTCTATTTATCCATCCATCAGTCCATCAATCCATCAGTCCATCCCTCCATCCATCAGGTCATCAGCCCATTGATTCATCCATCTCTTATCTATTAATCCATCTCTTCATCTATTTTTCATCCATCCTGCTATCCTTTTTTCTTTATCCATTCATCCATTTATCGTCCATTCATCCATAAATTCATCCACCCATTCATCAGTTGATCCAGTTATCTATTAGTGCATCCACTCCCCCATACCCGAAGTCCATCCCCCCATCCATTCATCCATCCATCCATCCATCCATCCATCTATTCATCCCTCCATTCATTAGTCCATCTATCGTCCATTCATCCATCTATCCATTCATCCATCCATCCATCCATCAAACAGATGCAGACTGTTGTTCTGAGAGTCAATGGTCTCTGCAGGCAGTATGAAGATTGTGATTGGTAATAACACAATTTCTGACGATTATGTAAGTAACTGAAGTGTATCTGTGTTTCTGACGGACTGGAGTCATAACTCTGCAGCTAGTACCTGTTAAATTCAACATGTGACATTTTCAGCATATGTTGAAACTGAAACACAGGGGGTCAAAGGGAGAATCTGCTGTTTCGAGTGATAGAGCAGATCCTCTCCTCTGGACTGCCTGAGGCCACACACCCACACACACAGTCACGCACACACACACACACAGTCACGCACACACACACACACACACACACACACACACACACACACACACACACACACACACACACACACACACACACACAGATTATTTGGTGTGTGTCTCTACAGGTATACCTAGTTCAGACACACAGGTGCCTCACACTGTCAGACAGGTGTTTGATCCATAATAGATGTTTAGACGAAACTGTACACAGAAAACTTCCTCCAGGGGCTCTTACTCAGCACAGAGACCTGAGCTCTGAGACTAACAGTTAGCAGTACCAGGTGGATACTAGATCCTGCTTAAAGCCTTACGGGAGCCTTGTTTCTGCTGAGTTGAATCTTAGCCCTCAAGCACTAACACTTAAACTGAGACAAACAACAACCAAGAGCCCTTTATCAGGAGGATCCTCAGGTCAGCTGAGGGTCACATGATGTGCAGAGTCTCAGGAATCTGGTCAGGGTTCTCCTCTGACATGAAGATAATCCTTCCTGAACACATCACTGCTTTGCTTGACCCTCCTCCTCTCATCAGGTTAAACATAGAGACCCAGAGGGCTCACAGCTGCTGCAGAGCTCAGAGTCAGGATCAAGGACTATTAGACCGTTAAAGCAGAAGAAAGATCTGTTTTGAGGGCTGATTATATTTATAAACACAACAATATTAAGTCATAAAGGGTTTAATGACTCAACCCCAAATAAAAGGAGTCCCTCTTTTTCAGGTGTATTTGAGGGACAAACAACTGTCTTATATTATAGTAAATAAAGTAAATCATACTCAAAAAGTGGATCTGAAGTCATTTCCAAATGACGGCTCCTTAAAACATCTGTAAATAGACCTGACACGTTCTGACCTCTCTGACATTCAAAGTATTACTTAGATTCTGATCTCACACTCACCTGTACACGGCAGGGTAAGGCGGGGCATACATATACCGGTCATCCAAAGCTCCACCCCCCCAGCACAGCAGGTAGCTGGACATGCTGAAGTGGCTCCTCCCACTCTCACACCCAGCCTGTGATGTCAGTAGCCAAAAGCAGCCACCAATCAACCCACAACCACATTTAGAGGTGGTGTTGCCACAGTGAAACGAGTGACATTATCCACATGCTAAAGTGATGACATCATCGTGTGATGACATCATCAGTTTCCAGCTCCTCCCTGTCTGTTGGCCTGAGAGATCCCTCCTCCTCCCCCTCCTTCTCTCCTTCCTCTTCCCCCTCTTCTTCCAGGAGCAGCTCTTCTCCTCTCTAATCACTCTGTTTTTATCCCTTTCCTTCGACTTGTTCAGTTTTCCCTCTTGCAGCTCTGCCAGCTCTGTTTCTCTCCTTCCTCTCTTCTTTCCTCCCTTCTTTTTCCTTCTCCTCCTCTTCTCTCTATCTCAGATGGTAAATCCCTTGTCGCCTGCTTTTCCCTCTCTAACTTCATAGTATAACTTTCTGTCTCTGCAGCACACGGTCGGCTCTACTCTCTCCTCCCCCTCCCCTCCTTTCTCCTCCCCTCCTCTCCTCCCTCCCTCCTCTCTCTTCCATCAGCTGGGTTATTTTCCTCCACTGAGGGGGGAGGAGATTTGTGTTTCCTCTTCTGTTTGACCCGGGACGCCCCTCCTTCTCCTCCTCCTCCTCCCTCTGTCCTCTCCTTCCCCTCTTCCTCCCTTTGTCTCCCTCACCTTCCTCCCCCTCCTGAAGTTTCTCCCCGACTCTTGGCGGTTGGATGAGCTCCGGTTTGTTTATGGTAAGGTGTTTGGTTCAGTCTGCTAAAGGCGAGCAGCTCTTTTTACTGACTCCGTTTCTGACTCTGACATGTAAAACCAGCTGCTCTGAACACTGAGAGAGCTGATAAAAAGCTCTACAGCTCTGCCTCTAGCCTCCAGCCTCCTGCCTCTGACTCAGTATTCATAATTTACTACAGGATGCATCTGTCAACATTAAATATTCTTTACATCCCTAACAAAATCTTTATTCATCAGAGACTATTTCTTTGTGCAGGGTAACAGAGTTACTGATAGGTAACCCAAATAAAATCAAGGCTGTAAGTAGCACTCAACTGGCCATTACACTCCCACGCTTATTTGGGGTGTGGTGCATGTTAGGATTTGTTGCGAGTCACAGGCGGTGCAGTTACAGCGTATTGCAGCTTCACTGTCTTAATCAGTGGACAAAGAGTCATAATGGTTTCTTATCCCAGCGTTTAGCACTGATCCTGAACGGCAGCAGATGCTTGGTACATTAACATGCACAGTCAGGTTGAGCTACAACCACAGCTCTTAGCTGGACTACTGTCCTTGTCCCAGTTTACATGCACTGAGCAAGAAGAGAATTGACAGAGGCACATTTGCCTCTGCTTCAGTAGGGGGCGACATGCCCCCTTACAACTTGTAACTACTGGGTCAACTCCTGGTCAGCATTTATTCAAGTGCATGTCAACAAACTGACTGTACACAGCTAAGTATCCTTCTGAATCAGGACACCCAAAGCTTCCTACTAGTAGTAGTAGTAGTGGTAGCAGCAGTAGTAATATGCCCCAGGTTACAACAGACAGATTAAGGATAGGGGAGAAGTGAACCACCCACCTTATAGTTGTTGGATGACCGCTCTACCTTCTAAGCTACTGCTGTCCTAGTTATAGCAGTATTAGCAGTAACAGTAGTAGTAGTAGTAGTAGTAGTAGTAGTAGTAGAAGCAGAAGCAGCAGCAATAGCAGTAGTAGTCGTAGTAGTTTTAGCAGCAGCAGTAGCAGTAAAAGTGGTGGTTGTAGTAATAGTTGTAGCAGTTGCAGGAGTAGTACTTTCAGCAGGGGCAGAATTGGTAGTAGTAATAGCAGTACTAGTAGTAGTATCAGCAGTAGCAGACGTGGTAATAATAATAGCGGTAGAAGTCTTGGTAGATGTAGTAGAAGTAGTGGTAATAGTTTAGGCAGTAGTAGAAGTGGAAGTAGTTTGAGCAGTAGAAGCAGTAGCAGTTGTATTAGTGGTTGTAACAGTAGCAGTCATAGTAGTAGTATTGGTAGTAGTTATAGCAGTAGCAGTATAAGTAGTTGTTGTAGTCATAGTAGTAGAAGCAGTTGCAGTAGTAGTACCTTTAGCGGGAGAAGAATTGATAGTAGTAATAGCAGAACTAGTAGTAGTAGTAGTATTAACGGTAGTAGAAGTGGTAGTAATAATAGCAGTAGAAGTAGTAGCAGTAGTAGTGGTAGCAGTATTCGTGAAGACTTTAGGACTCCTCTCAGTTTCTCAGCCAGCAGCATTACCACCAGCTGGAGGTTAGAAGGTCAGAGGTCAGAGCCCAACCAGCAGATGGAAAAGATCCACACACAGAGAATGGGGGAGAGGAGGAGAGAGTCAGGGGGGAAAGAGGGGGAGAGGCTTCACAGGAAAGAATTAAGCCATTTTCAGAGAGAGTCTCTGATCTCTGGTTTTCTGACAGAAGCAAGACGTCTTTTCTCTGTCCAGTCTCCAAGACTGTGGGGCTGTACGAATCCATCTAAAGTTTCCATCTATAGGCTCATAAACTCTGTGTGTGTGTGTGTGTGTGTGTGTGTGTGTGTGTATGTGTCAGCTGTTTTGAGTTCTTGAACAATTAAGTTTGTGTTTGAATTTGAATTCTTTGGGTCCACACCCAGTTCAGAGACGGAGGCGGGGGAAACCAGAGACCTCGTCCACACAGACACAGACACACGCACGCACGCACACACACACACACACACACACACAAAGCTCCTCCAGCTGCAGACTCGGGGTGTGTGTCATAATAAAAACTCTTTAATTAGAATAAAAAAGTTCTTTTGGCCTTTAAAATCTGGGCTCAGCTCTTTCTTACCTCAGTGCACTGAAGTATAGCTCTAGACCACCTGGTCAAAATAAGTCTACACTTTAATTTAGTTGTATAGCAGAAAAGACAGAAAAGACTTAACAGGAACCAGACTAGCGTCTAACCTCTAACAGAGTCCAGGTTTACCAGGTTAAATCAGACTGTTTATCTCCTCCCCTTCTCTGTCTCTCTCTCTTTCTCATGCTGTGTCACCCCTTTTCCACTGAGCTGGTTCCAGTGCCTGATTTAGATCCAGTTCTTTGTGTTTCCACAGCTAATGAACTGGTTTTCAGACAGAAAAACTAGTTCCAGGGCAGCACCATCTCCTTGCTGGGCCGAGAAAAAAAGTGTCAATGCCAGGGACCGGAGGTGGAGCTATTGTGCCAAATAAAACATTACAAAAACTTTCCCACATTTGTTAAATATGAGGAAATATCAAAATGTCATCTCAAATGTAATCACCACCATAGTTTAATGAAGTTTCTAGTAACACTTTGAGCAAATTCATCCCCATTCTTACTGTCGTTGCACTTGAGGACAGCAAGCAGAGCTTACAGTCAAATTTTTTTTTCTGTTGGTCAGTTTGTGGTTTGACTCTCTTTTAACTTTTGCCAGTGGAAACCTAAATGGTTTTTAGACGGTTCACAGTTTGAACCAGCTCTAAAGCAGTGCCAAGACCAGCTCTATAGCATGAGAAACCAGGGCATCTCTGGTGATTCAGGGTGTTTGATATGAGAATGACATGAGAGCAGAACTCTACAGACTGATTAGACCGAACCCTAAGGTGAATAGATAATTCAGGAACAGAAGGGTTTTTCTTCACACACACACACACCCACGCACACACACAAACACACCACTGAAAGTTCTCACAGTCTCTGAGTGAGCACAGAGAGGTTTTTAAGTTTTAGTCAGTAAGAAAATGTGTGTGTGTGAGTGAACACGCCAGACACTCTTAAATCAAACCCATGTGTTTCTAACAGCCCGCGTGTGAAGTCCAGTCAGACACACACATATGCGCAGGTGCACACACACAAGCCACACACTTAAGCGTGTGCGCGCACACACACACACACACACACACACACACACACACACACACACACACACACACACACATATATATATATACTGTATATAAATTCACACATACAGGGTGAGTCGTCTTGTTGGTACTCTTAGAGTTTGACAAACAGCATTAATTATGCTTCTATTCCATTTAAGCTCTAGACTATGCTCTATGCCTCCAGGTCTCTGCTCCACCTAACACTTTGGTCAAGGCTGCACCTGACCCTTGAACCGGTCCTTGCAGAACCCACAAGACAGAGGCTACATGTCCCCCTTTTGTCCCCGGCTCTATGACTGAGAGCCTAGCTGACAAACATTTGTTTTGGATGGCTAAAATCAGTTGAATCAGTTTGAATAAATTTGAATGGATATTTAAGTTTGGACAGGTTTAATTGAGTTAGAACAGGATTTAACAGGTCTTAATGGGTTTTCCATGCTCAGCCACAGAGAAAAAGGTTTAGAGCCCTGAGATAATGGTGGTGGGGTCTCAGAGAGAAGCTGCTCCCCTCTTTTTATCGTGAGGAGCCAGATGAGGTGGTTTGAGCATCAAATGAGGATCTCTCTGTGTAATGATCGGAGCATTTGTTTTGTCTGCACAAATGGTAATGCACAAGTGTTAATCTACATGCAGTGCAGAAACAAACAGACATGATGCAGATGTATTTCACAGTGTAGAGTTCTTATAAAGAAAGATGTAATAAGGAATATCTAGTCTGTACTTAACCATCCATAAACCAACAACTCCTCTGCAACTCATTATAAATGATCAATTGAAAGTTTCATGAGCATTATTTAAAGTAAAAGAGGAGCAGGCACCATGTCTTTACTGACCATAAACTCTTCAGAAAGAAGTGATCACCTGACAACAGAACCACAGAGAAGTGGATGAACATGGACTGTCAGCAAATCTTGTCTCTGCAGAGCCACTGAGTGGCTGAGAGGAGCTACTGCAAGTCTACATAAAGAGAGGAGAGCTCTAGTGAAAGAACAACAATATAGTGTCTGTTTGTCTGTCTGTGTGTGCATGTACAGTCTGTATATCTGTCTGTCTGGTTATAAACAATTGAAAAAACTAATCAAACAGATTTTATTTAAATATTTTTTATTTTCATACTCTGAGAAAGATCTTCAAACCCACAGGAGCTACTTTTACAGTGAACTTTAGTCATAAATGGCAAATAAATTATAAAAATGTGTGTGTGTGTGTGTGTGTGTGTGTGTGTGGGGGGGGGGGGGGGGCAGTAGCAGTGTGGAAACTATATCAGCCATTCACATTTATGGAGTGTGAGCCTTCCATTAAGAGAGAGAAAAGCAATGGCTCTGCTTTAACATGTCCACTACCAACCACAGCAGTGAGTCATCTTCTAAAAGCAGACCTCCACACCCAGAACCAACTACCAGAGTCTCCAAAATTTGGGTTCAAATTTGCCTGCAGAGCTGACTCTGATTAAACCAACAGACTAGCAAATCCTGTACAAAAGACGCTACAAAACAGGGTCATAAAACAGAGGAAATGCTTCAAACCTTACCTAGAACCTCAGTGACACAAAACCAGACTTCTCCAAGAGCACAAACACCCACAGGTTAGCATTTAATGTTTAATGTTTAATGAGCTCCTTCACTGTATTGTACTGTATGTAAAGACAGCTTATTAATAGCAAATCCATATCAGATCCACTCTGCATTTAAGATTATGTGATCAGCCAATGAAACATGTGAATCCCATAACAACCAATGTTTTAAGCTTCAGTTATTCCCATCATTAGTACATACAGGGCTCACAGACTCTGAGGATCCGAACACTGACTCCAGATACTCTAGTTTATACCAGAGCTCAGGGGAAGTTCAGGGAGGGTTCAGATAAACCTTAACCTGCTGAAGGATACTCAGACACTCAGAGAGGATACTTCAGATCTCGTTCTACTAAGGAACATAGACTGAACAACAGGAAACAGAACCAGAACCTAAACTATCTGTAGACTTGGAACTCAAACTCACCGAGGGTTACTGTGAAGGGAGGGGACCGAGCTTGCCTTGCGGAAGCCATCTTTGAGGATCGAACGACGCCAGGTCTCTTTCTCTGACTTGGATCTCATCGCTGGTCCACAGTCATCCTTGGAGCCCCCCCGGAGCCCAGGGCCCGATGTGCTGAGGACAAAGGAGGAACGGGACCGCTCTGTGGGGGCGGACAACTCAGGGCAGGCCAACGGGGCAAAGCTCAGCTCCATGATCTGCTTGGCACTGTCACAGATCTGACTCTGCACACACACACATACACACACACACACACACACACACACCTGGATTACTTCCTGCTGTCAGGAAGCAAGCAGTAATGTTACTCCTGGGGTCAGGTCTACCTGGATCTCTGGGGTGAGGGTGGGCAGGTCAAAGGTGAAGACAGATGTTGATCCAGAGGTCAGGAGGTCCACGCTGTCCAGGCTGCTGTAAGATGTGCCTTTGGCTCGGTGGGATTCCATGATACTTTCAAAATGGCGACTGAAGGAGTCGAGGTTGCTTTCTGAGGGTCGGCGTGGGCTGCCGAGGGAGATGGGGGACTTGAGACCGCCATGAGAGTTCGATAAAGCTTCTGAGGGCCTGATGTGAAACAGAAACAGAGCTGTTAGCTTCAGATGGACAAAAAGAATGATAAATGTTCAGCACTAAGGGCGAGCCTGTGATATCTGACCCCTTTAGCAGCAGACTGAACACCTCCTCTTCCTCTCTGCTCGCTCTCTGTCTCTGTCTGTCTCCCAGCATCCGCACACTGGCCCAGCTCACTACTGCCTCCTCCTCCTCCTCTTCATGCCCCTCCTCCTCCTCCTCCTTCCCTCCACCTGTCACGTTATTATGAGAGGCACTGGCAGGGCTGTAGTTAGAGTTTCTTACAATGCAGGAGTTACTCCCAAAGACCGAGTCTGCCTCTCCCTCCTCAGCTGCCTCGGCCTCTGCCCGCATCACCTAAAAGACAAAAAAAAATATGAATGATAAACAACGACCATCACAGAAATTGTCTGTATTAAAAAAAAACAACACCATCACAAAAACTATCTGTGTTTATAATAAACAACAAACACCATCACAAAAACTATCTGTGTTTATGATAAACAACAAACATCTTCACACTGTGTAAAATGTTGCAAAATATGGTGATTATCAAACCTTTTAAAAAATAATTTTACTTTAAATTGATGGAAAGACAACACATCAAAAGTTGAGACTGAACAGGTTTTTGTTTGATGAAATACATTTGCTCAATAAAATATAAAATTAAGTATATATAAATAATACAAAGCTGTGTGCCAGTTTTTAGTGTATGAAAACCTTGATTGGTGGTGAAAGTGGGTCCAATGTGAGGGGCACAGCTGAAATCTTGTCCAGGGCACCAAATGTGATGGAGCCTGCTCTAGTCCATGGTATGGGCAGCTTCAGTTTTGGGGGTAATACACTACAAAGTAATGGATTGCAGTAACGATAGAAACAGAGGTGGACGGAGGCACTTTGTTCTCAGGAAAAGATTTTTTTTGTTAGATGTTTCCCAAAGTCTGTATTTTGAAACTTGTGTGTTGCTACCTTTTTTTTTGCTTTCTTCTTTCTCCTGTTGTGTGAGCTATTGTGTTCTTCTGTGTAGTTTTTCATGCCATGTTGTATACATTTATACAATAAACAAAACAATGCGGACTATGCTCAGAGATGATTGGGCTATGACGTTTGTCCATGTACCTCTGCACGGTAAATTAAGTGACAGTAGTGGTTACTTTTCAAATGCAGTAACTAGTTAAGTAATCTCATCACAATTTACAGAAGTAACTGGTTACTAGTAACAAATTACTTTCTATGAGTAACTACCCCAACACTGGGCAGCTTACACTTGTGTGAGGGCTCCATTAATGCTGAACAATATAAACAGGTTTTGGAGAAGGGCAAGAATGGGACAACATTTCAATCTCCAAGCTCCAGAAACTAGTTTCCTGGGTTCATTAACATTAACAGAGTTTTGGTAAAAGAAGAGGTGATGACATAGAATGAGGAGACATGACCTTGTAACTACTGTGATGGCCTCCTGGTCTCCCCTGTGATGGCCTCTAGAGGTCATCCTGCTGCCTAGTCTTTCCTGGCCCTGTCTGCCAGAGTTGGAGGAGCTCATTAGGGAGATGACTGACACCTGGCTGGGTGTGGCAGTAGGCTTAATTGCTCAGCCAGGTCAGTCAGTCTCTCTCTGATCTCCATGCTGGACAGACCTCTGTCATCAGGTCCCTAGTTATTTGGCTTTTTGAGCCACTGGGCAGTGGGAGAACTTTTGTTTTTGGGTAGTTGGTTGTTTTGGAGTTTGTATATGTTCTTATTCACACACACACACACACACACAGATCCAGACCCATGCACACCACCATATATACATGCATACACGCAGCCACACACTACAACCAGTGTGTTTTTTTTTGAGTTTCAGTAATAAATTAGTTTCTTAAAACGATTCCATGTGTGATGTCTTCACCTTTGTTATGATCCCTGAGCCAGGAGCGTGACACTACTTATTACAAAAATGCCGCTGAAATTAAATCTAAAAAATATTAAATTTCTCAGTTTTAACTTCTAATGTGCTGTCTTTCAGCTCATTTTTATCAAGCAGAGACTTAATTGAAAAAAATCTAATCCTGATTTTGTCAGCACTACACAGCATCCAAACATTTGTGAGATGAGGGTCACCTCACCTTCCCAGTGATCAGATTGAATAACGTATACAGTGAACATTAAACTTATCCAGAGGCCTGTACTACGAAGCTGGATTTGGTCTTAGCGAGATAACTTCTGGATTACTTCTGGGTTTTCTGTACTACGAAGGTGGATCTCTTTTTATCCGGGTCCGTTGCCCCGGTAACTTACGCGGAACGCCAAACCTGCTCCGGAGCAGGTTATGTTTCAGGATAAGATCTCAGCAGGTATAAAAAACCGCCCACTGACCAATCGGATCTCTTGGAAAATGGCTTGCCCACTTTTGCCGGATCCCGGGGACATCGTTGCACGGATAGTGAGAGGAGCGCTTCGCCGAGAGCGTTATATTCATGATCGTTCAAATCCGTTTGATTTACCTGATGACGTTCTCTATGAACGTTACAGGTTTTCCTCGGACGGCCTCAATATTCAAGTAGCATGAAGTCTAAGCAATACACTAATATTTGCCAAGCTCCAGGTTCAAATTTGTTAGTCATCATTCAGAATTCATTGAAGCAGATTAGAAAACTCTTAACCCCAAATGTGTCTGCAGATGACATGTGACCATCAGATGATGGAGAAAAAAAAAAGGCAGTGTGAGGAAATCACTGTTTACGCGTTGAAATATGTACAAATAAAATCTTCCAATAAACTTACAAACTACTTAAAAGGATGTTTTTAGATTTATTTTTATTTGCTCCCACGTACTCTTTTCCCCACTGCTGTTGTATCTGAAATAATGAGGTCAGTGATGGTGGTGATCACACACGCTGCATGACAATATATTGGGGGGCCATAAATTTATGATCGCACTAATGTAATTTACACAACCGGTGATTTTTTTTGCCGGCAGTCCCTCCGGCTTTTAGCGGCTGTGTCTGTCTCACTGTTTAAATAAAGCTCTGTTCTTCAGCTGTGAAAAATGACGTGCAGCCTTCTCCATTGTGGAGATTGGTCCGGTGGCACTGACCCGACCCCCTTTACGTGTGCGCGCACAGATCTGAACTGGATTCAGTTATCGAGTTGATATCCTGCTTCGTAGTACAGCTGATCGGGATCGCGGAGATCCGGTGAAGTTTAGCGAGTTGTCGCAGAGTTATCCTGGATGTGTTAATCCAGCTTCGTAGTACAGGCCTCAGGTGAGATAGATCAGATTTTCTCACCTCGTCCAGGTCTGTCTCCCTGTAGCACCTCAGAGGGACAGCGTCCAAGTCTGTCTCAGAGTACTTGAGGGTTTGGCGAATGATACCCGTCTTGGAGGTACAGCTTCTGAATTTGGGGGACACCAGGTCAACCTGGACCTGCCTCACCTTGTGGTGTGACAGTTGCCCCCTCCTCTGGTTTGAGGTTTTCAGGTGGAGGGAGGAGGGGGGGCTGGGGCTTGGCGAACTGCTGGTTGGAGGCGTGGAGGATGGACGGTCTGCAGGAAGGACAGACATGCTCAGATTTGATTTTGCAGCACTGATAGCTTCATAGTTCGTTATTTTTTTGTTTCTACCTGTATATGATTGGCTGGAGGCTCCACACCTCCACTCTATGAATGACACCCAGAAATATCCCCAACACAGCAAAAGAACAACAAAATCAGTGTGTTTGAGCACAGGTCAGATTATCTTTGAGTAGAGACACCACCAGACTCACACAGGCCTTTATTGAGTGTGTTTTCTGCATCCTGGTTATGTTCATATTTGTAAGTATCCTGCTTCTGTGTTTGGGGATGTAAATATCAGAACAGAAGTTCCCCAGACTAGCAAAGCTATGCAATACTGTCCCTTATATCAATGATGTGACTGAAGAAAGGATTTGATTTAGGGGACAAACACAGTGCTGTTTCACTCATGGCTCTAATATTCTGTAATGGGTGATCAATAATGGATTGTTAGCATTTCCGAAGATCTATAGAGGGAAACACTTAAAAATGGCAGCCCTGACTAAAATGTGTTAAAGATGAGCTAAAGTGTTGACAACAGAGCTAAATAAAGATGAGAGCATTAGTGATGTGGTGTGAAGAGTAGTGACACAGCTGACTCCTGATATAAACTACTGCTAATCAGATTAACACAAACTGAGAGAGAGAGAGAGAGAGAGAGAGAGAGAGAGAGAGAGAAGAAGAAGAAGGAGTATATAAGGACAGAGGAAATAAAGACATGTGACGCTAAGACAGAGGTTAAACAGAGATTATTAAAGCAGAAGACTTAAACACTGATGACATACTGACAGAGGGAGTCCCAGACTGTCACTTTTTATTTGAAATTTGAGTTCATTTTTGGACTTATGGGCTGAGGTCAAATTGGAGTCTGTGATGAAATGTTCAAACTATATAGTTAATAGTATTCATATTGCTGTGAATACTCGTCAGACTCTCAAAGCTGTTAAGTTAGGACACTAAACCAAGGGTATTCGGGTTTTTCACCACAGAGAGCAACATAAAGACTGAGATAGAGCTGAATGAACAAATGAACAACAATGACCAAAAATCTGCAGACAGCAATACAGCAGCGGGCAATTTAGTACATAAAAGACAGCTGAACTCCATCTTGAGCAAGTGGATAAGACAGTCTTACTGGGCTGCTTGAATACGTCTGAACATCAGCATGTTCTTATGTTCTGGATTTATGACTATTTGAAAGAGTGACTGCACTAACAGACCTCGCCGCTGTTTGAATGAAAACCTGATCTTAAACACAGTATTCCTATTCTCTCCCTCTACCGAGTGTACTACTTCTGGTCAGTGATGTCATTGTAAATGTAGATGACACCAGGTTAGCAGTGATCACCAACACTCTTACCTGTGCTTTCCTTACTGCGCGGACTCTCCCCAGTTCCCCCTCCAAACAGGAACTCCCACTTCGCCTGGGCGATCTTCTGTGACCTCGAGGATGGGGTCGATGCTGAGCCACTCTCCGACTGTGAGAGGACAGACAAGACACAGAGGACATGTGGTTCTCAGTGGTTCATACCTGGTTACAAGGTATTGTTTGTGAATATATTATATCACCATAGAACAGCGCAGATATAGAGTTTTTGAAGTATGCGTTTTTATCAGTTATCAGTTTTGTATTGCACTTTAAAAATCTCTTTAAAACAAACTCACAGGTTCACTATCATTGAACTCGTCAAGCTCTAGATCTTCATCCTCCTAAATGTTTAGTGCGCAGAAGCCAATTTACATTAAAAATATAGGGGGACCAACTTACGGAACAACTATTCCCACCCAGCAAAAAATGATCAGACTGCGAAATGTTACAATAGATGACTAAAGAAACTTTTGGCTGCTGTGAACTTACATCTGTTGTGTTGTTTTATCTGTGAATCCAATTTCTGTTCAAATCAAGTGTTTTGTTGTTGGATAAGTTTTCTGGTGAAAATACAGGTGAGGACTTTCTCTCAACCATAATCGGACATATAGGTATTCACATAGACTGTATATAGAATGGACGCCGTCTGCCTCCTCATTATGTGAAGTCACCGCAAAAACAGCACCCTCTGGTGATGTGCTGCAGTATAAGTCCTAAATCCCGCCTCCTCCAGACATCCTTATGGAGCTGTGGACAAACTTTAATGATACAGAATATAATTTTTTCTCCCCCTTGGTTGCGATGTTGACATGTAGTTACTGTAACACTGGTTTGTGCTCAAGTCCTCTTTTTTGTACAGCTCCATTTTTAAAAGTTATTAGGGTATTCACGTTTTCTATGATTGACACTTGATACAGCCTATGAGCATACAAAGATGCTTAGCGTAGCTCACTCGGTTTGTTTGAGCTGAGTGTCATCACAGCGACTCTCCCACCGAACACTTACAATGCTACTGCGCTACGTTGGTTTCAGGAAGTGGAGAAAATCCCTGAAATACCAAAAGCAATTCGGCTGCAAATTCATATAATGACAGAAGGCAGAGCCAGGTTGTTCATAGTATATAGAGTCTATGGTTATTCATAAAATCCTTACAGTCAAGTTTTGATGTTACTGATATGTTTTTAATCTTATTGTATGTTCGGAATAATTCAATCATTCCTTTTGTTTTTGTGTCATATTGAGTTCATTTCTTAAATTTTATTTAGTTGAAGATTTCAAATAAACTCTGAGCTTTCTGCCTCTTCCTGCACTGTCTATCTATATACTGCTGTCATATTCTGTATTTTTTTACTGTGCAAAATAAAAAAAAGGAATATATAAATGAGCTTTAAATCCCTTTCCTTGAAGGCGTCCCAGAGTGAACCCAGAGAACTGAGAGAGCACACTGTAGTACACCTCTAATCACCACATCCTTTAAGATGGTTGTGTCAGTTAAAGTCTTAAAAAGTTACACTGATCAGATTAATCAGAGCTAGTTTACTAGAGGAGAGTTTAATGACTAAAACACAAAAAGGTTCAAACTGCTGTGGTGTTGTGATGAGGATAAATCTGTTATTGTGAGCACAACATTTCACACTCAGTGTCAGGAAAGCTGCCAGAGATGGTGATGATAAACCCAAACAAAAGTCACTGTTAGACCCCAACTTGATCTGTTTTGACTTGTTTTTCTGATCCACAGGAACACTTCATCAGAAAATACACAGACGAACAGACACTTCAGTCTCGGTGAACGTGTGTATGTGTGTATGTGTGTGTGTGTGTGTGTGTGTGTGTGTGTGTGTGTGTGTGTGTGTGTGTTAGTCAGGTCATTGTGAATATGTACTGTGACATGCTTCAACTTTGCAGACTGACAACCTCACATTTATCATACACAGATACACTCAAAGATCTAACATACACACACACACACACACACACACACACACACACTGAACTAAACCCCCTCCTTCCCTCCTCCTCCCAGCAGACCTGTATCCCTGAGCCAGTGTCAGCTGTGTCGTGGCTGGACTGGCTGGATGTCTCAGGGGACAGACTGTCTATCCTGTCTTGCTGGAGGCTGTCTCCCACGCTTCCTGTCACCCCACTTGAGCTCTTAGAGGAGGACCCAGCCCCCCCACTGTGATCCTGAGCATCCTCTTTCTGGTCCTTGGACATTACCAGTCTCTGGGTACACTGAACTGTCTCCTTTGTCCCTTTGTCTTCTCTGACCCTCCCCTGATCTTTGCTGCAACTGTAAACTCCAGGTATTTGCTTCCTGTAGTGATCTTCATAAAGTTCCTCCTTGTCTTGGACTGGTCCAGCTCCCCTCCATTCCTTGTGTCTGGAGGTCCAGCTCACAGGCTTTGCATCTGTGTTTTGGCTGGACAGAAGTCTCCTGCAGAGTTCAGGACTGTCCCTGACCGGTCCATTGACCAGGTGATCATACTGTCTTTGTTCCATGCCCGGTGGGTTACGTTCGCCCATGTATTGAGGTGGCTGGTAGCGATGTGGGGTTGACATGGTCTCAGTGGGTGATGATCCTTTGTGCTGCCGTGGATCTATCACAGGGGACTGGCTAGAGGCTGCAAGGTTCAGCCGAGCTGGCAAGACAGGAGACACTGGTGAGGGCGGGACCTTCTGGGGCAGAAGAGGAGAGATCTGACCCGGTCTGGTCTGAGGTACTGTTTTGTCTAATTTCCATTTGGAGGCCTGGTTTTCAGTCTGCAAGGACTCAGGGGAGCTTCGCCCATGGAGAGTGCTGTAGGCTTGCGGTTCTCTGCAGAAGGACCCTCTGATCCTCGGACTCTCTGACCGCAGAGACTCTGATTGAGATGTTGGAGAGGGAGTCCGTCTTCCTGAAAAGATGGTGGACAGTTTGGCCGCTTCGACGGCTAACCTACAGGCTACTTCAGTGTGTGGAGATGGAGGGAAGCTCCTCCTGCTGCTGGTGGGACTGACGGAGTCACTGGCTCTGCTGCTGCAGTGTGAGGATTTGTGGTGTATCATACTATCATCAGCTCTGTACTGAGACCTGTTTTTGGCAGTATGACTGGTGCTGGTGGTGGAGTTGGAGCCGTAATTTTTATTCAAACTGTGCCGAGCGTCCACAGCAGCTGGGTAGCAAGCTCCAGGGGGTTTGCTGTTGGGAAACATGTGAGGTGGGATCTCGTGCTGGATGTCGGTGGGCCTCCCTGCAGGTAAAGGTGGGTGAAATTTGCTGGACAGTCTTGGGCTCTCATCTCCCGTCCACAGCCTGTGCTGGCTCTGGGGTCGGCGGTGACAGTGAGGGATTGAGGGGGGGGGGTACCCAGTGTGGGCACAGAGGTGGTCAGAGGCAGGACTCCTGGGTATTCCATTTACCAACCCATGGCAGACCCCCCTGTCCATTTCCATGAGCTGGGCTTTGGATGGCAGGGTCAAGGTACTGCGGGGCAGGACTGGGGATCCCCCCCAGGACCGGCATCGGGGAGGCTGGTAGTGCCTCGGCAGGGTCGGGCTGCCATTCTTAGCATAGTGATGAGCAAACCTCCTCCTGAGCTCTGGGGACCCAAACTCCTCCAGGGCCCTGTGGGTTGCATCCCTCGCTACTGTGTCCATAGACCTGTGGGTACTAGGCGAGACTCCAGGGGACAGACTCTGAGGGGGGTAAAGTTTACTAGGGTAAGGATCAGGTTGCCGCGGCTGATAGCTGTACCACACTGGGTCACTGAGCCTTTTGCGGAGATGGGGAGGTAACACTGGACCCTCCAATCTGTTCGAAAGATTGTCCAGATCACTCTGGCACACAGAGGCACGACGGCTGTGAACGTTTCCTTTCTCTATGTATCCAAAGGTCACCACAGAGGTCTTCCCCTCTTCGTCCTCCATCCCGGGCAGCTCAGAGGACCTGCTGTGACTGGTGAGAGTGGAGGGCACAGTCAGCCTGTCAGAGTATGTGGAGGATGGAGAGATTGGCACCCTCCTTCTGTAGGGATCTGTTTCAGAGGGTCGGCTGCATCCCAGTGAGTCTGGCCGGCTTGGATGAGTCTCAGGTGAGAGGATCTTGAATATCTGACCAAACCTGTCATAGAAGACATCATGTCGGTGGACCTGGGTAGGAGACCCTGTAGCGTCAGGTTCCCTGAGTTGGAAGCTGACGGAATGTCTAGATGAGGGCTTTGAGGAGGATAAGCTGTGGCTTCCAGGTCTGATCTGGTGCTGAAAGACCGGAGACAGATCTGGACTAGAGCTCAGAGAGCTTCTTTGGGAGTGAGGGAGGACATCCGGGCACTGAAGCGTCAGGTGAGCTTCATCTCCTCTACCTGATACCTTCCCCTCATCCTCAGCCACAGACCTCACCTCCACATACAGGTGGAGGACTTTACCTGCCTCAGACATGCTATCACCTGAGTGCCCTGATCGTCACTGTTTGAGACAAGACCACCTGCTCAGGTCCATTACAGTGTCAGACTGTTAACTGAGGGACAGAACCAGACCAGGTCTGCTCTTCATGTCTTCTTCAGGACCTGTGACAAGAACATAAAGAGACACAGTTAATACGATTAAGAGCTGCTAGTTTAACCTCAAACTGATTGTAACTTACCTTCAAAGGGATATTCCGGTGTAAATGTAAGTTATGGTCAAACACACTGTAACACTGAGTTAGCTACTCTATAGCCACAAATAATGCTCAGAACATCACTTTACTTCATCAACAGTACTTATAGGGTCCCAGCCACAGCACTAGCCATCAAACATCTTTTTAGCTTTGCCCAGTTTCTTTAGCAAAGAGACTAAACACAACTCACCCACTCTCTTCCAGCAGCCGCTTGTTTGTGGGGGAGCCCTGACGAGTCGATCAACAAATGCAGTGGAGATCTGCAGCTCAAGGAAGAATATTTATTATTATTACTTAATGGAAATGATCCTCTGCACTCGGTGATCGACTCGTCAGGGCTCCCCACAAACAAGCGGCTGCTGGAGGAGAGTGACTCCCTCAAGGGGGTGTCCAACTCTGTGTTACGGTGTGTTTGACCTCAACTTAAATTTACGCCAGAATATCCCTTTAGCACCTGAAAACCCTAACTTTAATGACAGAGAGAGAAATGAACAAAAATGCAAAATGAACCACTCAGAAAAAACTCTACTAAAAATGATTCAGTTCCAAACCAAGTCCTGATCATAACTCACCGATGAAACTTTAAACAGGAAATTCTTTCACTCTGATACACACTCACACATCCGAACACACACCCTAACACACACACATTATGTGTACACTAAATCAATCTTCTCAAGGTTGACATAGGTAATATGGTTGGGGATTGATGTTCTCTTGCATGTTTACACCCTAAAAGGACTCAAACTGCCTTTAGTGTTTTGAGCATACTTCACAGTCCACACACTGAGCTTTGACCCCCAAGGTCAAACAGCCGAATTGCATTTCAGGAAGGTTAACAGTTTTACAGCAGCAGAGCTTTTTTCCTCTCTGTGATAAACATCCAGCTTGATTCATTCAGTCTATTTTTTATATATTTAAAGTCACCTTTTCAAATTGATGTTAAAAGGCCATCAGGGTTCAAACATTAGTTTTTTGTGAACATCCAACCTGCAAAAGTCATCAGAGCCTCCTTCTATCTGCTGATGCAACAGGTCAGATAGATGAACACTTGAACTGCCTGTTCATGGAGGGGAACTGGGCCAGAGAGAGATCTGCTCCTCAACTTTACCTGGAGCCTTGTATTTGAAGGACCTTCCAAAGGAGGCTGCCTGGGTAACATTCTTATAGATATTGTTGTATCCCTGCTCTTTCATTCAGCCACTATTTTACCATTCATTCCCCATAAATGTTCAGACAGAGCCAGGTATTTTATTGGTATGTTTCTGTAAAGGTTGAACACATCTCTGATGCACTGACTGTTAGTTAAACTGTTCAGTCTCCTCCCTTTAGACCACGCTGGTGTTCCACTTTCCAAACATGGCAAGAAATGTTATTCTTCTTGACTTATCAACTCTAGAACATTACAAAATACTCACACATATTCAGTTAAGTTGTGGGTAATCACAGAGCCATATGTGTCTGACACTGACTGATATCATTCAGGAGATCTTGGGGCTCTTCTAAATGTTTAAATTTAAAGAGGTTCTTGTGTTTCTGAAAATGTTGACTCTCCTGTAGTACTCTATCTGAGCCCTTTTGGACATTCCTCTGTACTCTAACAGGTCACTTTAGGATGGAAAGGGGGATCCTGAGAAGGCTCCAGGGATCTGTATAGAGATGTATTGTGAATCTATGGTGAAATTAGGTTCCTCTTATCTCATCTGAAACAGTTGAGGTTTTACCTTTCATTTGTTATCACCTATGAGTTCATCCTCTTACAGGGTCAGATGTCATGGTAATTACAGGTCCATTCATATCACTGGACACTGTCCTACATGCTCTGAGAGACTCTGGAAGCAGACGCTCAGAGACACACAAGTTTAATTTGTCCATCTACGGATGAGGAAAGAGGCTTGAAGGGAAAACTAAGAACAGCCCAGAGAGGAGGAGTCTATCCTGCAGGTTCACTCAAACACTGTCCATAACTTTATAAACTCTACACAGAGCGACTTTATTCCCTCAATAACCTTAAAAACTCTAAACAGAGAGATATAATCTTCCATGTTAAGCTTGGGTTATGTGTTTTTTTTTCAGAGGGAGGGGTCAGATTGAAAGACTGGGGCATAACATCCCTAGTATGACTCTCCTGCTAGAATATGAAGCTAAGTGGTGAAGGAAAATATGACAGGTTACTGCTGAGCTGTGCAGGGTTATTTCTGTAGTACTCACTGGACCAGTTTAGATATCTAGGTTTTAAACTGTTACAGGCTGGGCTTCTATTTTGAAGCCTGTGTTCCATTTCCGAGACACTGCAGTGATGATCTTCATGGGTTTCAATAATTAGATATGACAGGTCCAAGCAGCCTGAGCAGAGACATACAGGTAATGTAGAGATCAAACTTGAGAAGGTATCTTTTCTAGACATAGAGGTCATTGAGTCAAATATTCAAACTTGATCCTCCTCCATCAGCAGCTTAACCTGAGGAAAGAGACTATGAGCGATATATTTAGGTGACCGTTTAGGTGTACTTCAGTGCAGACATATTGCAGTGCTGTTACCTTAGCAAAGTTTCAAAACATGGGAAACCCAGATGTTGGTGTAATCCCTCTGGGTGTTTTCAGCCTCTCTGAAGGACACACTGACCCAGAAAGTCATTGAAGTTTCCCTGGCCTGTAAACTCAGTTTCCCTGCTGTTCTCTCTCCTCCTCTCTGCTCTTTGTTCGTTCAGTCTGACTCTAAAAGTTTCTCTTGGTCTTCTCGGTTTGTGATGGAAAGTCTCGGCTATTTTCTCTTCCCAAGACCAAGGCTCCAGAAAACAGTGAAAAATTTGCCACAACCTAGCTCACTGAAGATCCATGGTAAACAAAGACCACATTCTCTGCTATTACTGAAACCTAAGGGCTGTTCATCTTTAAAGACTTATTAAGTTCAGAGCCACAAACTGAAAGACACATTTCAATAGCACATAAAGGAAATATCACTAATGTACAACAGAGAGCAAACGTGGTGCCAATGGCTAGTCTCAGGTGTTTTCTGGAAAAGCACAACCTTGGGTCGTTTAAACAGAGTGTGTCAGTAAGAGACTGTATGGAGCTGAAATTAGGGCTTCACAGACCCCAATGTAAGATAAATAAGGAGATTTTAGAGCTGCTGATCATGCTTAAATCCTCTACAGGTGTCCCCGACTGACAGAAAGAAAGATGACTGGGATAATAGGTTTTCTTTAACGGTGAATGAGCTGGTTTCTCTGAAAGCAGGATCATTTAAATAATAGAAAGGGTTTAAGATGTAATGATTTTATGATAAAAAGGAGAGACGGTAAGGTGCCCTCAGTGAGCAACCTGACTCTGCAGAATAATCACAGTCTGAGGTTAAACTGAATTATCTGAATATCAGTCAGTCAGACACCTCATCATGTTAATCTGAGACCTTTCACCCAGAGCTGAACCTCAGGGACTCACTGACAGTAGTCTCCCTCACATCAAAGAGATGGAGCCTCAGTGAGGTGCTTACTGACAGTACAGTATCTGTCCTTAACACTGAGGTTTACAGGTAGAAACATACCTAATAAAGACCTTGATTTACTTTCATCGGACAGTGTAGTCTGTTCAACTCTCAGAGGACATGTTTCTGATTCCTGAATTAGTCTAAAGCGACTGTCAGGAACTTGTGGCAGATCATAAAACAGTATTCATTCTGATGCCATGAGTTAAATTAGGGAACCAGACCATCAGCATCAAGACCGTTATTTTCTTTGTTGTGATTTCAAAGCCAGTAAGTGCTACCCAGAGATTAGTCTCAGACTAAGTTAGTTACAGCCTACTGCAAAAATAGCCTTATGTTTACAAACATTCAAAGTGAATGGTTAGTTTGAGTGCAAAAAGTAAGGTCCAGAAGACTTTTTGTCAGAAAACATTTGCTTCAAATTTACAGGACGACAATCAGCAAACAGAAATCCTCTCAGGAGCTGAAATGTTGTCTGTGGAGCAGAATACATGTCGATAGGTTTAATCTGTGCTGTAAATCCCTTTATTTTAGGTGTAGACAGATTATCAGCCTTGGCTGATTATCAGGGCCGATACTCAGCATTAGGCTGATTATCTGTATCAGTCTTTTACTTAAAGATGGATACAATGAAAAATCAAAAACTGCACTGGTTTGTTTTTCCCTTTGGTTTGTTTCCCTGCACCAATTTTTCTTATCTAATTCCCCGCCCACAACACTATCTGATTGGCTCAACATCACATGACCATGTTGTATAACTGTAGTTTCGGCATAATTGTAAACTCCAGTACATGATGGTGAATGCTCCAGGTTTGATTTAACATTTGCTAAAGGATTCAAGTTTGAGTTTGTATGATTACAAGTTTTAATTTTTGACAGTTTTTGGCCAAGAAGACTTGTAACCTTTAGGCTGTACTTCACAATGGACTAAACTAGCATTATCAGTCTGTATGGATTAAGTTAAACTTAGAGTGAAACACAGACAGCAGCCTCTTGGGTAGAAGGTTTGGATCTCTGGGCGGTTCAACAAAGCGCTACAGTAACTCCTTCTTCCCCCTTGCCATACGACTGCTAAACTCCTATGGTCGACGTGTGTGAAGTCTGTGTTTTATGTTTTATGTCCCGTGGTACCCCATTTCACATGTTATGTCATGTCTTGTCACTGTAAACTGTTCAATGTCTGTTTAAATTAACGTGGTGTATTGTCGCAGCTACCACCTGCACTGTGAAAAATTCCACCGGCCTAGCCGTGTGGCGATTAAAGAAACTTGAAACTTGAAACTTGAATTACCT